GCAAAGTAGTGCGAAAAAAACGGAAGAGAAGTTTCCCTTCTTCTCTGATCTTTCTGCTGCATATCGCGTGTTAAAGTCAGAGATCGACATGTGAATACACACTTGTACGAGCATCGATATGTCGCGGTTCAAAGTAGAACATGTTCGACATCCATCGGCGTCCGTTAGATTTTTTCCAGAGCATGACTGACATTTTTTTTCATTTTTTCTTTCTTAATTTTTTTAAATTTAATTTTTTATTATTTTATTATTTTTAGTTTTTTTTTTATATTAAATATGCAAATAAATTTCAGTATTTATTCAAAGAGCAAATGCTTAATTTTTGTCCTGATTCCAAGAGGAGCCCTGCCTGCGGACGCCTATGTTCAACACATGTGGGGCATAATTTGTAAAATCGACTTTAATTACAAAATCGCGTGTATTAAGTACACCTTATAAATCACGTGCTTTATTTGCTCTCAATATATATTCGTGTGCATAAATGGATCACGCACAACTCCCAAAGTTTGCCATGTTTAAATATAACATAGTTATAAATATTGAAAATTAAAAAGATTTAATTTCTCTATCTCTCAAACATTCAGCTGTAAAATTTCTCGGAAAAAAATATTTGAACATGATAGATGGTATCACTGAGCAAACTGCGCGATCTTGTTGAAAATGCGATAAGATGACCTAAAATACCACACACTCTTCATGGAGAGCCTCTCAAAATAATAGAATAGTAAAAATAGTTATTTTTTTCATGACTATTATATTCCAAGATTATATTGCAAATTAATTGCACGGTTAAAGGAAAATATATTAACTCTAATGTAAAAAGAAAGAAAGAAATAAATACGTGACAAGATTTATATTTATACTACACTACAAATTAATTTAAATTATTGCCGACGATTTATTTTTACTAAAAATAACAAAAAGAGTAAAATTTTAATTAAACTAATCAAGGAGAGCATTTGCTCCCCTAAAAAGTTCTGTCGTAAAATATCTCGATATGGTCTCTTCTGCAAATTTGCGCCACGGTCATTTTACCGCTATTCTTTATCGACGCCAAGAATCTGAATGACTGTGCGTAAAACACCTGTATAATTAGACGAAGCAAGGTGTGAAATCGTCGGCGATAATTTAAACGAATGAGAAGTCGTAACGCGTTCAGCAATAAAACACTAAAATTCCAGCATACCATGGAAAAAGAACACGTGTTATCTTATAGCTGAGCTAATCTTATGATTACGAAAACATCTCGATAGTATCTTCAGGAGGTTCATAATCATGAATAAGCTTATTTTTTACCTTATAAAAATTAAATTACGTATTGTTTATTACTTTAAATTTGGAACAATATTATTTATCCATTTCTTCTTACATTTTTTTTAAATGTTGTCACGTGTAAATATTGAAAAATTTAAGATAATTTAAAAAAAATTTTTATTAATAATTATCTAACTTGCGTCATTATTTTATATCAAATTTTTCCTTTACCTACTTTCGTGTACAAAAAAAATTATTACTAAAAATAAAAAATACTACCACTTCTCAGTCTTTTTTATGCGGCGTATGCAAAAGAGGGAGAAAAGTAAACCCTAGGCTAGAAAGACAACAGGGATAGAGTTCCCGTGGAAGCGAAGGAAGGTGGTTAACGACGGAAAGAGCAATAAGAAGCATAGCAAAGCCCGCATGTGACATTCGAGACACTTTTTCTCTCTCCCTGGCTATCTCCTGTCATCCTCTCGATGCCCTCTCGAAAGGCTTCGGCTGGTAAGAAGGAGGAAGAGAAAGAGATTGAATCGTCTCCTCCTGACCAGCTGGTACCACTTCTCTCCGTCTTTAATCTCTCCCCGCCTGTCTCGTCTTCACGACATAGGAACGAGAGCTCCGACGAAAGACAACCCACCCTCCTTTTCTTTTCTTCCTCTTCTCTCTCGTCGTTTTCGTACCACAGATCGCGGCGCATTGTAAACTTTTTGAAAGAGCACAAAAGGATGTTCTTTCTGCGAACTACTATGAAGTAGTCCAAGAGAACCACGAAGAATGCGTATTCATATTCATTCACGAAAAAAATGATATTAACTGCTTTAAAAGAGCATTCCTATATATTTCAATTTTCAATGACTAATGTCAACGAGTTATATGGTGATATATGATGCATAAGATATTATGTAAGATATATATTTTCCTATACATTTTCAGAAATTGGATAAATATGAAAATGTATGTAAACACAAAATATTGTTATTTAAAAATTAAATTAATATTAAGTGATTAAAACGATTTACTCCAAGATATAAACGACACATTGTACTGGAAAATCAGTAGTCTAATTTCCCATAACAATCTATCATCAGTACTTAGACCGCTTGTTTAAGCAGCCGCTAGAACAAGTAAACCAGGAGGAAGGCAAGCATATGATGATGTACGACAATGTTATACACTAAAGAGATCAAAAAGAGACGAAGTCTTCCGTTTTAAAAACGTTATAGCGAAACTTAAAAAAACATCTATAAAACCGTATAAAGAAAACTTAATACTTTATTGTGGTAACATCTCTCCCACAATCAGATGTCTAACACGTGTAATGCAAAAGCTTAGACGGAAAAATAAATATCGCGCTAATTATATCCTGCTATACTTGAAGAATTTCTTCAAGACGTTGCATAAAATCACGTTGCATCTCTGGATTTTTCTCGCTTTAAAGCTTTCAGCAACGGGGATGGATAAATCGTTATATAGAGAAAAGGAAGATGTTTTTCCCCCGAAAAAAATGAAAGGAGACGCCGACTGTGATTCGGGACTACGTTAATTGGTTTGCGACGAGTCATCAGACGACGGCGACGAGCCATTAGACATGTTTTTCTAAGCGCTACCACTCTCCGCATAGAGATAATATTTTGACGATGCTTCGCGCGAAGCCGCGCATCACGTTAGTGGGCGTTTAGGCCACCTTGTGCAAACACGAATTTCCGACGGTCAAGTCGCAGCAATAACACTTGGTTCGCAAACAAACGCGGAAGTACCCGAGGCAGGTTACCAAAGTTAACCGTATATCTAAGCGTATATATAGTCGCGTTTACCGTCACGAACAAAAAATCTCGTGCTCTTTTTTTCGGCTGCCGCTTTCTCTCCATTCGAAAAAAGCGCACCTATGCAAATCCATTAACGTCTCTTCATACCTCGAGATTGTTCGATGGGAGCGATAGGCGCGTCACTTGTGCATATTCGATTCGGCTTAAGAGAAGAGAAAATAAAAACGTCAAATTCTGAAAAATCTACAATGGGGCAGAATCGAATTGAAGATGCGTTAAGATTTCTTATAAAGAGATTCCGCCGAAAAATAAATTAAATATTATGAGTTCGAAAAATTAATTTCAAAAAATTATATTTAATATTGAAAATAGAAGAAATCGTATGTAACACTAAATTAAAGAATGCAAAAAAAGATTGTAATTTCAAAATATAATTAAATTTCTGGATAATACACATTTATTTGAAATCAATAGCTTTTTTCAGTGTATATATCATAAGAATAATTTAATAATCTCTTGTCAATAATACCTATTTATCCGCTCGCGCGTAATTTGGGATATTGAATTGTCAATGTTTATCAATTATTTACCACATGTGTATATATATGGCTCACAAATATAGAATCAAATTCATTCGATTGGACAGATATCGGATATTGTCAACGTCCGATCGAACCGGTAATGGTGACCCAGACGCCTATTCGAAGAAGAGATATGACTATGGCATCGGATAACCTCGACGTCGGATAAAACCCGTCTTCACCGGAGGTTTATTTATTTGTCCGGATGGCGATATGAGCCAGTGTATTTACGGCTTATCGGATCACTCGGCCGCGTTCAAGATCGGATGATTGTTCCGAGAACAGTTCGCAACAATGCATTCCTTCTTACGTGCGCGACACATCATTGCATAAAAAATCTTATTAGAATGTTAAGACTGCGGTACGAACGAAATAAAATGCAAAAGCAGATATAAATGTGATTGCGAGTAGTCTTATTTTATTGCAGCTCTTCATTCTTTAAGGGAAACGTCCTTGAGAAGTCTGTTGTTTCTTATTTCCTGTTTTATCGACAAAATGTGAGGTTAGATAAACTATAAATCTATTTATTGGCCATACGGATTGTTTTTTACCTGAAATTAGAACGCTTTGCCCTTTGTTAATATTAATACTTTAATTTGTACAACAATCGTTCTAATTTCAGGTAAAAAACAATCCGTATAGCCAATAGATTTATAGTTTATCTAACCTCACATTTTGTCGATAAAACAGGAAAGAAACAACAGATTTCTCAAGGACGTTTAGAATCTCCTTAAGGAGGGAAAAAGAAAGCGCACTAATCCGTAAATATTTGCTCATTGCATAGATGCGCGAATTAAATAAGATCTTCCTGAATCTTCAAACGCGCGAAAGGAAATATAAATCTTAATAAACGAGACGAGCACGCCGGGACGATATAAAGAACGTGTAAAAAAAATCAACCTGTTGAGCCCTTCGGCGAGACCGACGAAAGCGTTCATGCTAATTAAACGAATAATTTCTGTCTGACAAGAAAATGACATTTCAAGAGCATCGTTGCGAGAATGCCATATATGTATGTTTGAAGAACCCGTATACAATTATATTGATTTTAATGTATCGGAGATGGAATTAATTTTAATCATATTTTACTATTTTTTCATAAAATTCACACTTAAACACAATTCGTTACAAATATACTTTCACACGCACATAAATTATTACTATATACTTTTATCACGCTTTTAATATTTAAAAGAACGAAAAAATGCTACAAAATTCTAATAAGCTGATATCAATCGTTAAATTATTTGCTGTGTGTGAATGTATGTGGTATACGATTTGTATTTGCAATTTTTAAATTTGCATATATCATCCTACACATGAGGATTAAAATCTTTCGGCGTCAGTAGTAATACGGGGGCATGTAATTTATTCAGATTGAAAATGTACTCACTTTCGGCCGCTGTCGAGAAATCTGTCGAATTCCACAGACATTTTGCAGCAAAGAGCCCGCCGATTGTGCGAGGACGAGCACTTGGTGTTGATCATGTGGCCATCTGAAAGCAAAGGGAGCGAGATGAATGTAGGGTGGGCGTGCAATTAATTAAGAGGTTAATAATTATCCTCGTGAGCCGCTGCTACGGCGGTCTAATTAATTCGGGCTAATGGTTCTCGCTTCTTCAGAAGCGCTATCATCTTTTCGAGGATACCTATATCGCGATGTGCTACAACACACACGCACATATTAAAAGTATATCCTTTGTAAATCCATCAATAGTGTAAGTCGGAGGTAATTGTCTTAATTTAAATTAAATTCGGCAAAGGAAAAGAGAAAACGCGAAATAAAAATTTGTCAAAGAATTATTTACCAAAGACTATTAAATTAGGTAAGTATTTTATAGTCTAGAGATTAATTAATTTATTAGATAATTGAATGTATCACAAAGCTTATTATTATTATTATGTTAAATATTCGATTCGATTATTTTATTACGTATTTTCAATTCGAACTATATAGTCGAAAAGTCGAATAATAAATAATCGAATAAAAGATATGTATATGTACATATGCACATGCAAGAATGCAAATTATAATATCGTTTCGTTGCAATTTTTATACAAACAGTATTTTTTTTAAATACTAAGAGTCAAATATAATATATATATTACATATAAAATCTCATTAATTATGATAAAGACCCGAAAATATATGTATAATTTATATCAATAATATTATATATAATATCTATCTACATATAAGTACAGAACTTAATTTTTTATCTATTAAAATTAAAAAGTTAGAAAATTGCACTGTACATTTCTCAACGTATAATTAACGGAAGAAAAAGACATTAGCGCGAAAATTAGAATTTCTATAAATAATAGTTCCCAAAAAGTGATATTACGCGAGATCTCCAGTATGCGATGTTGTCAGCAACATCCCACAACTGGGTGAACCGCAAAGGATGGATCGAGTTCGAGTCAGGTAGAAACGGTAATGAGAAATGGCCGATGCGGAGGTGCAAACCGGTGCAGAGCGCGTGGTGAGGTCAAATGTCGGACGGTGCCCGAGGGTTCGCGTGCTCATCCCCTCCTCCTGCGAATCTTCCGCACCCGATATTATCCTTCTCAGAACTCGTGTCCACCCACGTTCCCTGCCTCCGCTCGTGACTAATGCGTCGTCCGAGTTATGAGCGAGGTATGAAATAATGCCGAGCTTTATTAAGGGGCGCCCATAATAATCCGCGTCAATTTCGTCATCTTTTCCTTTTCACACGCGAGGGTCATACTTTTGTATTCGTCATTTAAATGACTAGGTGTCCAGCAGACTCGATGAAAAAAATTCCCTGACTTTTTCAGATTTTCCAAGACCCGAAATTAATTTTTTTCCCTGACTTTTTAGGATTATTTTTTCCAAATTTATAATTTGCATATATCTATATGATAAATTAATTAAATGTTAAATCATGAAATCCTTTAGATATTTTTGTCAACAATGAAAAGATTGGGAAGTTAAAAAAATCAAAAGTTTAAATCGATTATACAATCTGCATTATGTACATACAATAATCGAAACAAACATGTCACTATAAACTATTTAAATACCTTTTTTACCTTTTTTATTTATATTATATTAAACTTTTTTAGTTTTTTCTCTATTAAACACATTGAAATAAAATAACACGACGATGAAAATATAAATTAATGAATACGCACAGAAAATTAGCGTGCTGCGGGAAGGAAAAGTTTATTTAATAAAAAAATTTCAAATTACTGAGATAATTGTAGAATAATGTGGAAAAAACCAGATGAATAGTAAAATTTCCTGACAATTCCAGATTTATAAAATCCCCTGACAATGCCTGGTTTTTCAGATTTCCCTGACCGCTAGACACCCTGACACAAGTTTCCTTTGTAAATGTCTATTTTTTTTATCGGTTTTTTATATTCTCCTCGGACAATACCACGTGCCCAAAAATGAGCGAAACAACACGAATGGAAACTTGCCTCTCACTTCGTCCGATGCGTAATATTATTCGCGTTCCCGATGCATCTTTCCGCCCTTCGTCGGCCGTTTCTCATCATTGGCTCTCTCCGCCTGCTCGTCATTTGCATCCGCGCCCGAGGGTGCAATTGAGATGCATTCTATATAGTAGGCTGGCAATGATATTGCCGGTTAGAATTCGCCGTGTTGCCGTTATTATCTCAGAGATTTAAGTTCACTCTTAACTGACGTTTGAAAATATAGGGAAAAAACACGATTGTGTAAATTTTTATCATCTGTCGAGGAAAAGCTTCAATATGCATGTTTTATTAAAACAATCTGCTATTTTTTTAAGTATAAAATGTAATTGTTTTAAAACAATTTATATGATTATTAATATATTGTATTTTTTAAAATATATACATATATCATGTGTATATTTTTTAAATTATATATATCATATATTTTTATTTCAAGAACTTGTCATTGAATTTTAAATTTTCACATTTAATTGATTGATCGATTAATTATTCCATAAAGGCTGTTTACAAATTCGTATAATGAAATGAAAAGATTTCTTTAGTATTTTTAAACAACATACTCATAAATATACGAGAATACAATCGATCTGTTGCATAATATATTATTATACATAAACTTGGCTAAACTATTTTAATAAATTTATAATAGGAAAAAATTACAAAACATGCGATAATAACAAATTGCGAGATTGAGTTTAACAAAATTATCAAATTTATTAAATTAATTTAATTGAACTATTTGCTAAAAATTTATGATCAATCATGTTTTATTAAACACTAAAATAAGCAGATAGAAGCATCACTTCTCCATTGTTTCGGAGCTCTCAATTCGAAGACGCACCAAGCAATTATCCAAATAAACAGCATCTTATATAATTCAACTCCGAACAGACGACCGAGACGTAGATGTGACTAAATTTTCGAAATGATTGACGAGCAACTTGGCTTCTACGAACGAACAAGACGAGCTCCTGCATATATACGCCTTCGTTTCGTTAGCAATTATCGCATAAACGAGGCCAGCCATTAAAACCCGCTGTCGTAATTATCTGTGACTCGTATTACAGAGAGAAATATTCATGTTTCGTTCGGGTTTTTTTTTTAAATATAGAACCATTTGTATGTTAACCGTTTACGTGCTCGCACATCGAAAAAGATTTCGTGATCTCGAGATTGTTGATTACGAGATAATATCGACGAACAAATATGATATAACAAACAAAATGAAATTATTATTCCGTTTGTAGTATTATTGCAATCGTATTCAATTGAACACAGAAAAAATCGATAATTTCATGATTAAACCTTCAAGTTAATTAATTCAGGATTAATTAATTCAGGATTAATTAATTCTGAATCAATTTCAATAATTAGCTTATTAATTTTATAGCATAAATTCACAGGACCAAATACTAATTTTTAATATTTAATGAACTAACGAGAAGCATCGATTGTGATTTATTACGATATAATACCATTCAAATTAAATTTTATAAATTAATTAAAAATTGTTTTTGACACATACATGTATCACATAATTCATTTTTATTTAGTTTATTAATACATTACACTGTAGGTGCAAAATGATTACCTCTATATGTTTTAAAATTTTGTTAAATTTTTAAACAGAATTAAAAACTGATTTATTTAAATAAAATTTATAAAGTAAGATAATCGCGAAGTATAAATAATTAAAGAATTTTATAGAAAATCTGTTTTGGTCATGCAAGATTTAATTAGTTTGAGAAAAAACTATTGGCAAATACTCACTAGTTTGATTTTGGAAGTACAGGTCGTCTTTATCGGTGAAGAACCAGGTCTGTAAACAGAAAGAAAAAAGAATTGTTATATTTTGATTATACGCAGTCCTTTTTCGATTCCACACCCGATGCAGCGCAATAATCACGGCTCTAGCACGTACGCGCTTGATTGTTTACCACAGACTATCGAGCCCAAACAACACGCAGCACGTATCGATCATAAATTTCAATCCCTTTCTTACCCCTTCAAAACGAATCGCTCCATCCGCGTCAGTAATACATAATAAATCTTATAGCCTTGAAGCAACTCTGCAATACACTCCTTTCATTTGTATTATTAGCGAGACGAAATCATAAATATAGGACACGAGATAAAAACGAATATTCGATAAAAAAGAATAATGTTTCAATCTTGCTATAAGCGACATCAGTATAAATAACGATATTTCTTTTATTTAGAAATAATTCATCAAAAAATGTATTATAATCATTAAATGAAATAACCCAAGTAAGGTTATAAATACTAGATCTACAATGTTAAACATTAAATTCTAAGCAAGGAAAAATGTTAAATGAGAATATTTTAAGGAATATTCGTTGCCAAATGATTTATGTATCTCTTACATGCATAATTTCGTTCATATAATTTCAAGATTTTTTCTAATAATCATTATAGATGTACAAAGAGCTGTTATAAAATAAAATTCCTCAAAAAGGAAACAAAATAATAATTAATTATTAGAATGTTCGGTGATTTTAATATTTGATTAAACAAAAATTTGGTTAAAAATTGTCAAATATTTACAGAGCGAAAGCAGCATATGGTAGGCATGAAACTATGATAAAATGATACGTTCGATCACAGATGATTCGAGTTACACTCGTGTGTTCTATCGCATTGAAAAATTTATTTCGAAGCACCGCGAGTTGAGACTTTCCATTTGTATCTGTCGCATCGCACATCATCCTTCCGTTGCATCTGGGACTCGAACATATCGCAGCGTCGTTACGTTACGATCGGCGTGCACGTGTTAAAGTAGTCGCTTATTTTTAGTTCCCAAGAGTAGAGCAGTTCCCTTCAGGAAGTGAACGAGCAAGAACGAATGTGAGATGGTGCTCCAGACGTCAGAGACAATGTCCCAATGATTTTCACGCGACAATATCTCGCACCGGTCCCATAAAACGCCGAAAAAGCCAGCCGAAGAAAATTCCAAGAGGAAACACGCGTGATTGTTAGCTTCTCGCAATTTCAGTGTAATTTTATTATAAAATGGCTGCTTAAGAAAAAAAATAAACAAAATTAATTCATTATAAATTATAATTATATTTTCCGATGTTTTACGTCGGCTGACATTGAATCACCAGTTGCTCGTTCTATCTTAATTCAAAATGGAATTTAAACGTTTATTTCAACTATACGAGACATTAAATAAATCGCACACGATCTAATCAATGGCATAGTTTTTAAATGCAAATTTCATCGATTTGCTAAGCAGCAATGTTTTAGGATTAATAAATTGCGTTTCGACATTTAAATACGCCGACATTTTCGAGTGTGATTTTAGCGGATATCCGGAGGTGCAACGAACGTAAAAATAGCGCGAGGAAGAAGGCACTGCAATTGTGACGTGTTTATCTGAGGCATGCAGATGGAGAAAAAAGGAAGAGAGAGAGAAATCGAAAAACTCGTCAGCATTCCCAGAAAGAACATGAATATCCGGTAGAACGAATAAACGTCGTGTACAAAAATAAGAGACGAGTGTCGCGATGACGTCAGTGGCACCGGCGTCGCATTACATCGATATAATTGCATTAATCTCACACGTACGTCCTGCTTAAAAGAGCCGTCATCAAGCTGATCTTCGGGCTTTTCGCGGGAATTCGTTAAGCCGTCCCGAGTGTCGGTTATTTCGCTCCTAAGTTATATCAAGTACGATACTCGGCACTTATGTATAAGGAGCGTAGAACCGTATTAAGTCTCGCTCGTTACGTCTAATTAAACGAGGCAAATTCGTCTTATAGTGTTAAAGGAACTTAAATCGTTCTATGTGAAATGCAAACATCGCCTACTGCCAATCTCCAAAATGGAACAAGACGATGATCTCCAAAATGGAACAAGAATTTCTTTTAAATATATAATTTTAATATATATATATAAATTATATAATTAAATTATGTCAAAAACTTGAAATTTTTTTAGCAAAAAATATAAATTTCTTGATGAAATAAATACTAGTTCTATCAATATCATGATAATGTTTGATAAAATATGAGAGAAGCTTTTAACTCATATGCAATATATAAAATGAAAAATATCAAAAGGCTTCATATATAATAAAATATAGAGAATATTTATTATATAATAAAAAATTAACTAATTGGAATTTTAAAAAATTTAATTAACAGATGCTATTAATTAGTAATGTCTGCATTAAAAGCAATGTGCAACAAAATTGTTATATTTAAAAATGCCTCCATTAAAATTCTCCATAAATAAATATAACATATAAACAAATCTAATATATAAGCAAATAAATAAAAAATAGAATATAAAAATATATTACTTAAAAATTACTTAAAAATTGCTATAAAAGAGATATAATATTTCTTTGTTTTTTATTTTTTCAATGTGTCTGTCCAAAATATTCTTGACGTACAAATTCGGTAGTCTTCAATTAGAAAAGATTAAATAAATATCGATGATGTGCGATTATATCGCATCGAGTAAATTGCAAATCGCAGCAGCGTCTCATCACCGAACATATAAAAGCAATGTAAATTAGGGGGAAATATAATTTGCAGCGAATTCTCATTGGTGCTCCGCATCGCGCCGTGCGAAATTGTGCCGGACCTTTTGAGACTTGCTTAAATAACCGAATAATCAACCAATTATCCGAAGTCAGTTCCGACTGATGGAGAACGGCCTTCGCCAATTGGGGGATTGCAGTATCGGCCGAGTCATTCTAAGTAACGACATCAGACTTTGACCCACGATCGACCTGTCGAGAATTTCAAGGGGTTCTTTTTATGAATCACGAAAATTTGTACCTAGAAATGTGTATCCACACCTCCGTTTTATGACACGACAATCGGACGGCATGACTATCTAAATTTAAAGAAAAGCATAATAAAAGATTCCGTCGAATTGTGAACCTTATAATAATGGCTCGAAACAGTTTGAGACTTCAAAGGAAAAAAAACATTACAAAACGTAAAATTACTTCAGTAAGATTCTAAAGAAAGATTTCCTCGTAAATCGTACTTCTAAAATGCAATATTTTAAAAATAGCAAAAGTTGATCTATTATAAAATTTTGCCAACAAATTATTAAGATGTTTCATAAGATTACAATAAATGGTCGAATATATTGTCATTATAACTTAAATTTAGAATTTTGGAACAGTCACTGTACAAAAAATGTTCGTGAGTAAATAATTGTTATACATATAGTGACACATTATAAAAGGGATATTATAACAAGGCGTAAACCCTAAAAAATATATATTGCATTCGCGTTTTCTGGGCAGATCTCGAGAGGGAAGCAATTTAAGCGAGTCGGGTGACTATTAACGACTTGACCCTATTATATGCCACATAAAATAACGGGCACGTAAGAACAAGAAAAGAAATAGGTAGCGAAATGTATAAATGAGGCCATTAAAGACCATTAACAACGCCGTAAGGTAAGGTGGTAGCCGAGGGGAGAAAGACGAATATAGGGATTGTGCCAACACTAAATACGTAATAAATGTTCCTCCTCAATGGAGCGCATTATTAAAACGCGTTCCTCGAGATATACGACGTATTAATAATCAAAACATTGCGACCTCTCTCGCTCACCTCTATCCAATTTGAGAGGGAAACCTAACACTTAAGTGAATTGCTATACGCGGTACTTTCTTCTTTTTGGAGAAATTGCAGATTTTAAAAATACAAAAAGGGGAAAGAAAGTATATAAAAATAATAAAATAAATTATATTATAATTAAAAAGTCAGAAATGCAAGCCACCATTAGAAAACACTAACTAAAATATCAGATTTTTCTATATAACTCTGAATCTTTTTTAAGACAATTTTTATTGATAATATTATTAATTGCAATATTGTCTAGCTAGTATTTCGGAAACAGTTTTCTAACAAAGATTTTCTTACGCGAAATTCATACAAAAAATTGTCAAAAAATAAAAACATAAAACAAAAATAATTTTATATTTCACAATTTTAATTTAAATTTAATGAGCTAATTTTCTTTTTTCTATATACCTACAGTTGTTTTGTTCGAAAACGTTTTTCGTTTCACGATACTGCTATCTATTTTAGTAAGATTGTTTTGTGAAAACAAAAGAAATTTGAGAGCATCTAAAGAAACCGATCTGCATTTTCAAGACATATTGGCCCGCAGATAATTTGAAACCTCAAGTGGTTAGGTTTCTAGCCGAGTCTATTATCCTCACTGCGATAAATCATCTACCGTAAAATGAATCGTGAATTTTTAATTCTTCAAAATGAAATGGGCTCTTTTTAACCGTTAGAAATTATTGATTTATTATTCGGCAAAATATATTTCTCTCGAGTATGTATTTTATTAATATCTGAAACGCATCCAAACTTTAATTATACATGTATAACTAAATCATTCATTTCTCTTTTAAAAGTAGATTTGATTCATTATGCAATTAATTACACGGTAAAAAACATTTCGTATTTCTGTTGAAATTATCTTGTGTAGAAATTTTTGTGTTAAATTTTTAACATACTCTTATGTTAATATAACATATTGTCGTTATGTTATTTTGACATTTGTCTGTTGAGTTAATATTCACTATTTTTAAGTGTTAAAACAACACAATTAAATGAAAATGTACGAATTTTTGCTTATATTATATTTTTATTTTTATATTTTTGTGTTATTTTTTCACATATTACGTGTGTTATTTATTTACATATTTGTCCTCTGTTAAAATGACATTAAAATTAGAGTAGATAAATTGAGACATGTGAAATGTGTTAAATTTAACATAAATTTTTTTACTGTGTAGCTATAAATATATATCAAACAAACGATTTGAATCGACTCTTTACAATGTAAAAATGTTTTTATCAAATTATAATTAATTTTTGTACGATATTCCATACTGACACAATAAATGCATCGAAGCTCTGCAATAATGAATACGTGAGATGATCTCGATCATTTCGATGTTCTCGATCACTCTTGCGAATAAAAGAACGATCGGTTCCGGTCGACTCAAATAATCGCGGCGCATCGCTTAATTATCAAGAAAGGAACAACGAAAAGGTGAGTTGGTTGAGAATGCTCGTGGGTGGACTAAGTCGGTTAACGCGGAGGTCGTCAGGGTCGGAGGTAAATCGTGAGATCTTCCCACGAAACAGAAACCGTGCACAGCCGGACACAGACTTTTATTATTCCCATCGTCCCTTTTCTCGTTCGCGTCGCGGAAAATGCGTACCGCAAATCATGAATAACGCGAGCGTACGCGAAGAAAAAGCGTGAGATAGTCGGAAGCAAAGAATAATTGGGAATATAAAGTGAATAAAGACATGAAAATTACGAATTTCTTACTTAATGGAAAAAATAATCCTACAATTTACTTTGAACCCCCATACATTTTTTATAATCTTTCGAGAAAATTTACAAATGTCTATTATCTTTTATTCCATTCAATTCATTAAAATAATTTTATAAAATAATATGTTATTCACTTTACGGTAAAATATAATCATATACACACATATTTCAAAAAAGGAAAAAGTGAGATAGATCTTTAGAAAAACAACTTTTCTTATATGTATACATGTATGTATAAATTGTATTCTTGTTTGAAGAGAAAGAGAGAAAATACATAAAATGTTAATTTATAATAGAGTTATAAATTGTGAGAATTGAATAAAAGATAGGCTACATTTATTTATTTTAACAAATCGAGCATGAACTCAGAAATTGACAAATAAAATTGTCAAAATATCTATACAAGACAGTGTTTCCTGATCTGACTGACATCTTGTACATGCTTTTATTCCATACAATACGAAAAAGAGAATCAGCTGAGAATACAGGAAATGCGTGAACTCGTGCACACAAATCCAAGTAGCAATTACCTGCAGGAACGGTATATTAACCCGGAGAAACACCAAAGGACGCGGAAGCTGCTGATGCACGAGAGTTATTTCTTTATATATCCGTTTCTTTATTCATTGTACCGGTGTGTGAGAACTTCTCAAGATCTCTTTATCGGTGTTAATTATCATTTGTTCAAGAAATTCATTGTCGTATCAATTCTCATAAAAACCGAATAACAATTTATCAAGATTCTCTGCAAAATATATAAATATTACATGTACTCTACATAAGAGCTATAATTTACAATTAATTTAAATCTAAAAAACAAGCATATATTTTTACATACACAGTAAAAAAATTTATGTTAAATTTAACACATTTCACATGTCTCCATTTATCTACTCTAATTTTAATGTCATTTTAACAGAAGACAAATATGTAAATAAATAACACACGTAATATGTGAAAAAATAACACAAAAATATAAAAATAAAAATATAATATAAGCAAAAATTCGTACATTTTCATTTAATTGTGTTGTTTTAACACTTAAAAATAGTGAATATTAACTCAACAGACAAATGTCAAAATAACATAACGACAATATGTTATATAATATTAACATAAGAGTATGTTAAAAATTTAACACAAAAATTTCTACACAAGATAATTTCAACAGAAATACGAAATGTTTTTTACCGTGTAACTTTCATGTAAGCAAAAAAACGATATTACATATTATATTATTATATTATTATATAAGAAATCGTAAGGGAAAGTATCAAGAAAAAGAAATATTTATTATTATTAAACTTGGCGCTGTTTTAATGTAAAAACACAATCAATCTGATTCTACAACATCGAATAAATCATATTCGCGAAATAAGATATCATTTGCTTACGAAGAGCATAAAAGGAAGCAGCGACATTTTGTGAAAAGGCAAATGGGAAATTGTAGAGACAGGAAAAATGGAACAAATCTCATTCCCACGGCGCAAGAGATTGCGAATTCACGCTGATCTTTCGCGACAAGATCTACTGTAAATACGCGTGAATACGCTTCGATACCCTTGGATAAGACTCAACGAATCGTATACAAAGTGTTGCCTATTCCGTTCCTGCAGAAAGCGTGTAGATGAATCTCTCAATGATGAAAACGCTGCGATAAGACTATACGTGCATTTATCACTCTTTAACACGATTAACCCTTACCCTGCTCGCTCGAATTCTCTTTGAAAATAATAGTTTCCGAAAAATCGTAAAAGATATCATTTATTCTTATGATTCTTGAATGTATTATATCCGCGTAAAAATCAATATCAAATTGAATGTTATAAACATTATTAAATATTAATTATTTAATAATAATAAATTTAGTAAAATGTAGTCAAAATAAAAAAATTTCTATAATTTTATATATATATATATATATATATTTATATCAACGATATATAATTGATAATATATTAATTAATTTTTATTAACGTTATGTATTAATTATCTTTATTAGAGTTGGATAAATTCTATCTGCTCTTTACGAATTACCGCGTACTTCGCTGTCATCGTGGATTTAAATCCATTTATTAATTAATAATGTGTAATTTTATATATTTATATATTAATTAATAAATAGATTTAATTTAAATAGATCCACGATGACAGGGAAGTACGCGATAATTCGTATAAAGCTGATAGAATTTATCCAACGTCTAATAAAGATAATTAATACATAACGCAAATAAAATTAATTAATATATATCATCAATTATATCGTTAATATATATGATTGAAATAAGTAAAAAATATCTCTTATATATGTATATATTGGAGATAATGAACGATGTTCTCCCGAGGTTCAAAGATATTATCATAGTCTGTTACGCTACATTTGTAACAAGACTACCACAAGACAAGATCGGAGTCTTGTAAGCGCAAGAAACGGAGCGACCAGGTGACGCTAATTAATCCGGGATATCGGACATTACACGGATCTAATAAGCCGAGACTCACCTGATTCTTGGCGAATTGGAACCACGTGTCGATGATGGCCGGTAAACGCGAATGATGATAATGTTTGGTGGTCTTCACACTGATAAATACGTCGTTGAGATTCGTGGCGAACGGTGCCATCGTCGCCGTCGCCACCGGCGGAGTCACCGGCGACTCCTCGCTGATTAACTTCCTCAACGCCGGCACTTCCACTATCACGCTACGGCTATTCACTTCCGCCACGTTCATCTCGTCGATCCACTGGAACGCAATTTATCAGAATGCATTAATTTTTTCAACGAAACTCCACGTCACAATTATTATCCAACTAGAGCTATCAATTATTATCAATATACATATATAGAGGGTGTTATAAAAGTACCGGAACAGCTATGATTTTTTCTAGAACTCATATTTTTCGAATTATTCTGCTGTTCCGGTACTTTTATAACGCCCTGTATATAAAAATTCTATCTTATTTATTTTATATACAATTATTAATATAATTATTTTACATATAGATATTGTATTTATTTATTTGATTATATCAAATATATACATAAATATGCATGGCATCATGATAATCATATTTAAAGAGCTCTCGTAGATATTCATATATTATCAAAATTGCAGATTATTAATTGCAAATGCGGTTGATGAATATAACCTTATTTTCCCTTGTATATGTATAGATTATACAAATATAGGTTTTGACAAGATATTGATTTGCGCAAAGTAGACATAAAATCGTATACGCCAGGAATGACGACAACGATTGCTCCAATTACCTGACGCGCTGCAACAGCCTGGTAGAGGAGGATTGTAGCGTAAGCGGTCGCGATGACGAGCGCTAACGTCTGGAGGCCACGTCTCGTCGGCAGACCTCGTGGCATCATGCCGGCGCCGACGACGTCGGCGGCGACGTGCGGCGTACGAGGAGCCTGAGGGCTGCTAACGGACTTGCAGGACCACCCTTGTCCCACCACCACCGTAAGATCCAGGCATCTATCCTCGAGGTTCATCGACGAAAACGCGCGCACCATAACACCCCACGAATCTATTTCACCCGCGTGTCCCTTCGATTGTCAGCGTATCACTCCGCCGATTTTTCCCGCCAAAACGTCACGTCGCGTGGCAACGGAAAACACCCTTTCTTCTCTTCTCTCTCTCTCTCTCTCTTCTTCTCCCTCGCGAATTTCCGAAGCTCCTCGATTGTCCCGTCAATCATATTCACGCACGCGAATCACGATCGCGAATTCGTCGACGCGACGCGTCATATTTCGCATCAATTGATCCCGTATCAATCACTTACATCACTTGGCAATAATGCGTTCAATGAGTTTCGAATCTCGCGGCGACGTCATTCGGCGCTGACGTCTCGCGGCACACTTCATTTCGTATAGCGATTTCGAGCGTTCTACGCAAATCGAACGACTTTTATCTCGTTGTTCGGTTCTTCCGAAGAACAGTTTCGACGACGAAACTCTTTTCACGACATCGCGTTAAAAAGAGACGACGAAAACTATCACATCGATGACGCAACTCACGCACTCGCACTTGTCGGATATATCCACATTCGCGCGCGGTCACTTTTCCCTCGGACGTCGCGAACTATCGAATCGGAGTGCAACGAAGCAACGAGTCATCCACTTCGCGTTTCATCGAAAATCGAAAATTGTCCGTACGACTGTCGAGCTGTCAAACCTTCGAGAGTAACAGGTTGCGGCGGCGCGAAACGCCAATTCGAGTCTTACACCGGCACGAATATCCCCTGTTGCCCGGCGCGCGACGGTCCGACGACTGATCACATGAGCCGTTGCCGTGACTACGCTGTAAACATCGCCATGGTAGGCACTACGCCGGGTAGGTGGGAGGGGGGAGAAAAGTGGTGCCAACAGCCGCGCGAGAGGGGAGCGCGCGAGAAATGTATACGTTTTTTTTTTTTTTTTTTTTTTTCAAACACGCGATTGTGAGGGAGGACGGAGGAATGTTTCGAATAAAAATATATGTGTATTTTGATTTATAAGAATATTAAAAAATGTATATATACATATATTACGCTAGTCCTACATATATATATATATATATATATATATATATATATAGAAAGATATATATATATCTTTCTAAAATTTATATTACTATATAAATAAATCGCCTCGTGAAGAATTAATTTTATTAACTATGTCTAGTTTATTGCGCATTTATAAAATAATTGCGAAGCTTTAGGAATAATTTTTAAAAAGAACAAGCTTCAACAAAAACATATACCATATGTCACAAATGATTGTTAAATTCTGATTGAAATCTTCAAATTCCAGCGATTCGTATATAATTTTTTCAGAATTAATTTTTTGCAGAAAATACACTAAGAGAAAGATGCCAGATTACACTCATTGTCAATAAAATAAAGATTTTTTTATGATTTATTATCTAAATAAATATATACATAAAGTATTTATATAGAATGTATATACTTTAAAATCTCGCGTGTCTTATAAAAAAAGTTTCTTTTTTTAAATTTTCATTGTCTATCTGATATTAACTAATTTTTTGATAGCATATAATAAATTGTACTTTTAATTAAATGTAGCAGTCTTTCTCGAAGTTCTTGTGTTCATATATAATTATAGAACGTATCACACCAGAAAATAAATAAAATGATTCAATACAAACGATAATTAGTAGTGTTAAGAAAGTTTTCTACTACGTACATGTATGTTATATAGCAAAAACTGTAAAAAAAAATATTTAGTTTAATATTCCAATCATGTTATAAATAAAAAAGTCCCTGTCATTTATATAATATAATCTAGCAGTAACTGTGGAAGATCCTTTCGTTAAAAAATTATAATATTTTTTATGAGATATTATTAAATATTTTTTCATAATTATCTATATGGTAGATTAACTTTGCTAATCTTTATCGTAATCGATTGCTTCAATTTAATACAAATTAATGATTGTTTGATATATGAAAAATCTGATTATATATATATATATATATATATATATATATATATATATAAAACACGCATATGGAAATATTAATGCAACTTAATTAAATGATACTACAGAACAGCAGTAGATAATAAACCTTCAGTCGAACATTTTGCTCAAAAAAAATTGAACATATTCATAAAGATATATATATATATATCAAGTATATTAATATGCATCTTAACAATCACGATGCACATTATATACATAATAAAATTATAACTGTAATTATAAAATTCTATCAAAATGTCATTGAACAAAATTTTGTAGCTACCTGAACTCGATGTATACCTAGGGATATTTCAAGATTCTTGATACAGCTTTTCGTCGGTAACATCGCAATAACCGACGTACATCGCCTTTATTATAGATTTGGCCCTATATAAATAAAAAATTCAAATTTAATATATTATATTTAATTAAAATAATTCATAAAATATTTCTTAATGTTAACAATATAAAACAAAAATATTAATGTAAATATATTTTAGATACATATATATATGAATAAAAATATAATAGTTTCAACATACATACATACATACATACATATATATATATATATATATATATATATATATATATATATATATAAATTTGACTACTAAATATATTATCGAATTATACTGTAAATGGCAATTTCAAAATAATATTTTTAGTGCAATAGGAATGGAAAACATGTGTCAACGCGATTAATTATACGATACGTACCCAGCATCTCCCTTCCGAACATTACTCACAACTGTATATTTATACATCGGCGAAAAAGTGAAAAAAAAATATTGGTTAATTTCGAATACACGAAAACGAATTGTCGATATCGAAACTAATAGCATATAATGATGATTACACGCGACGTATTTAATGCACCGAAATAATTAGTATCTATCACTTGATACTCTCGTTAATTGTTCGCGCACAAAATTCACTTTTAGACGACAAATAATCGTGAAAAATACAGAATTCGAATGCGACTCTACCTCTACAATCCATCATGGCGCGTTGAGACTGACTGCGACTTGAAATCGAAGAGCAAAATTGCGATTCTCGAAGTATCGAAACTATCGATATATCGATATATCGATAATCGCAATTCAAAATCGCAATATATAACTTATATAGATTAGTTCTTTGCAGTTGCATGTATTTTATTTATTTACTTTTTTAAAACAATATATCTTATTTCACATAAATAAATGTTAATATCATGCATCTATAAAAAATAAATCTAAATATTCGATCTAAAAAAAATGAAATATATCTTACATAATATTTAAATATCAATCGTTTTACTTTGTTACTGACGTGAGCTTTTTATATAATGTGAATTTGATTTCTAAACTTTGAAATATATGCGGTATGATTAGGTGGAAAGGTTGCATAAGTATTTTTATTACAATACTTAATGATTAAAACAATATTTACATTTGTACACGATCCACAATACTTATTTTATACGAAAAATTGTCATATGTTTGTAATATGTGTAAGTACTTATGAGCAATGCATGATTCTGAATTGTCGCACACATTGCAATCAATAGAATTGATATACAGAATTGTTGAATTAAAACATTATATAGTATTATTTAATTTTGCAATAATTATTATTCTTTCTCAATTTTCGATTAAAAATAAAAAACAAAAAATTTTAATATAAGATTTTTAATAAATATCTCAGAGCTGTTTAATCAGACGCTTATGATACATTGCGTTTCCCTCTTTCAGCTTGCTCGTTTGTATTAGCATTGAAAAAACGACAATTGTGATAATTAATGATAAAAAAAATTTACTTTATATTACCTTAATAATGTTTTAAATGGGCGATATCTTGTCACACAATAGCTGCCATATTCCATGATTTGTCAGTATCAATAATACATGCTTTGCTCACGCGTAATTCATGATGCTTTCTGACGTAATAAAACTATACTATTATACAACTTAATTGCAGGCCCAAGTCGTAAACACAGTACTGATATTAAATCCTCTTGCGTCAACATTAAAAATGCTTCGCCATCAATATTCTGCAATGTAATGTTACAAAATAATATACAATGTTTATATTGTAACTCTGACTAACTTCTTATTATTATTGCATTTGCTTTAAAACTTACGTGCTGTCTAAAAATATTTCCAGCTTCTGCACAATTAGGCATACTTTGTATAAACTTAATCACTTCTTCGTTAGACCATCGTCGTGGATTTGTGGTCTGCCTCGCTACAACTCTGTTTAAGGCATTACTATGTTTTGCCCATACATGTGGTGCATTTGGCAATGGATTATATCCCGGATTATATACAGATTGATACAATTCTTTACGCAATTGCTTATCTGGTATATTTGCAGCATATGAACTAGGATTCCAATGTAGATGACTATATGCAATATCAGAAACAGACAACAAAGACTCCTCCGAAATTGGGTGTCTAGAATTTAATATTAAATTATAATTTTATATAAAGATAAGAGAAAAAAAATTAATATTTTCCAACAAACCTTTTCTTTCGTTTTCTCGAAATTTCATCATCATCCGTTTGTCCATCACTATGCAAATGTTTGGATTTGTTCGATCTATGAAAGAAAAATCAATAAATAATATTTATTCGATTCACAATATTCATATAATTTTACTTTACTATATATTTGAACATACTTTTCTGAATTTTCTGATCTATTTTCAAATTTGTCATTCCTATCAGACAAATCTCCATCTTCTTGTTTAATATCCTTCTCAACTATTAATAGCCTTTCATCGATGAACAAAAGTTTATCAGGTTTATCATACTTTTCCATTTTTATTCTGTCAATCTTCTCTAATTTCAATTTTTCTTGCATTTCCTCCTCAAAGTCATAGGCTTCGTGTCTTGACGAACTAAGTCTATCAGGCATCTGTATTGATTTATTAAGATTTTGAGGAGAATACGGACAACCGGATGCCGAGTTATGCGTTGCAAATTTAGGTCCCTTTATATGTCCTATACCTCGGCAACCATATGTGCCACATTCCGGTCGATCGTTCAAATTATCAGGCGCTGCGCAGTAGTAAAATAAATCAGTAACATTGAATAATATTTTGTAATACATACGCAAAATAAAAACGGATATTTACTAAGTGGTGGTTCCAATCGATGACTAGTTTTCGAACACCAGCCCACGGGATGAATATCAGGTGAATCATCATCAACCCAATACGCATGAGTTTCAGGCCAACCATCAAATCTTATTTTCAATCTGTATATGAAAAATACGTAATTATTATCTCATGATATAAAAAAATTGATAAAATATATATATATGGTTAATACAAACTGATGATCTTTCACATCTTCAACTGTTGCCACTCTAATTAGTCGAGGGACTCGTTTATCCATCGCTTCCAGTTTCATGCCACGTTTGAATGCACAAGGTGGTCGCTGCTTGAACGCTCTAGATGGTGCCGCTGTCGTGCCGGTTTCTCTTAGATATGCATCCCAGGTAAAAGATTTGGAATCTTTATAATCTAAATATGACATTATAATTATTTATACATTATAATTATGTACAGGAGAATATAACTAAATTATAAAGTATTGATTTCAGATTTCTTACTATTTGGTGGCATCAAGAGACGTCCATTGTGATGAGACCATCCTACAGGATGAATATATGGTGAACTAGCATCAGCCCAGTAATCATACACTTCATCCCAGGAATCGAAGTGGACCAATATTCGGGAATCCATTAAACCTGCTATGCTGGCAACACAAAGTAATGAAGAATGCTTTCTATCTACGGCCTCTAACTTCATACCGACTCGAAAACCAGTTGGAAAGACTGTTTGCAGCACGCTTTTATTCGGAAATATATTTTTGCTGCTGCAGTTGCTTTACACATTTTTAAATAGGCATTCCAATTAAAATTGCCAGTTACATAACCCTTTGGTGGATCTAATTTCTTGCCGTTCTTCTCAGCCCAACCAGCAGGAAAGATATTCATACTATCTGCATTTACCCAGAAATCATAATTTTCTGGATAGCCATCAAAGTGCAAACGCATTCGATAACCTATATATCACACAATACATGTTATATAACAAATTGCACATCATTCATTATATAGATTTTATATTACGATACTATAATACATTATATACATATCATCCCTAACAACTTACCTACAATCTCGACGATAGTTAGAACGCAATATCGAGAAGGACGTTCCGGATCTATACCTTCCAACTTCATTCCAACTCTAAATTGACTTTTGGTATAGGGAAAAGGATCCTTGAATAATTTAACAGGCGCTGCTTTTGCTTTACAATGTTCAAGATATTTTGGCCATGAAAAACCCAATTTTCCTCTTTGCCAAGGATACTGCACATAAAACAAGATTTGAAAAGTTTAATTATTATGTTTTAATCTTTTATATGTGGTAAATAATTTTAATAATCTAATTACTATATTTACATTTAATTCATACCTTGGATTCTGATGAATCTCCTTGGCTCTCATCATCTAAAGCTAGTGGATCTTTCTCCTCATCCGTCTCTGACTTTGCCTTATCTGTTTTTTCATCAACCTTCTCATCCATATCCTTTGACCATTGTGGTTCTTGTAATAATCTCTTGCGTTTCTTTTTCATACGTATTTCTCTATAAATAATATAAATTTATATAAATTTTCCACCTTCTTAATTATTCTATATTATTATTATTTACATGTACACAATACATACTTCAACTCCTTTTCCTTTCTACTTATAGATTGTTTTTAGCTTCTATTATTTCTGTGCAGGAAGGACTACATGATATTGGACTTTCAAATTCAGCAGCCAATCCATAACATCCGCAAGATTCACAATGATACATTGTGTCTGCAGCCATTGATCTCGATTTTCTATCCTCAGCTAAATCAAATGTTTTTTTTGCTATAGTCATATAAATACTTATATTTGAATCATGAAGATGTATTATTTGTTAATTTACCCTTTTTCTCTACATTAGTGTTATTAATAATTCCTGGATTGCTCTTTGAAGAATTTTGTGTCAAACATACATTTTCTTTATCACCAATACCATCTTTTTGTTTACTGCTTTCGTCATCTTCAACTACTTCCATAATACCAAATTCATTCATACGAAACTATATAAATATTAAATAAATTATTCATACATGTACATACATAGAAGAATTTTTAAATGTGAAATATATTATGTTCATATAATTACATGGTCTTCACATACAGATATTTTAAATTTTATGTTTTAAATATATTATAATCAATATTTTTCTTAATATTATAATATGATTTTCTTACTTGTAAATTACTCCCAGGTAAAGTACCAACACCGTCTTTCCAGTCTAAAACTTTAGTTGCATCAAAATTGGTATTGTTTTGATTCAAAGTATTTAATTGTTCTTTTGTTTCATCATGATTATTACCCTTTGCTTCGTTCTTATTGTCTGGCACTGCTTCAACGGTACAATTCGTCGGAGTTTTAATAATCTCTATTTTTATATCATCATCCACATTTGTATTAAGTTTTGAAATTTTATCCTCGCTAGGAACAACTTTTATCAATGTAATATCGTCATCATTTTGAGCCTTCTTATCCTTGTCCTGTTCAGATTCTGGACTGCTTAGTGCATAATTAGTATCAGCTAGACTGTCTTGAGATTTCGTAAGATTTTGCTTTTTCATTCGTTTTTCCGCAGAACCTCGTAATATGTTGCTAATGGTCTTTTTCCGCTTTTCTGGTGGATTGTCTTCTTTTTTTGGAATAGGTGTGATTACAGCTGAATCTGGATTTTCAGTAATTTTTATACTATCTATGGAATTAGAATTGCCCTTATTTGCATTCAAAAGACTCATTTTTGCTATTGGATGCAATGGTGGAGGATGTGTTGTTGAATTCGTCGTTTTTGACTCACGTAATACTATAATGAGAAATGCAAAATTATCTCTTGTATTTTAATATATTGTAAATATATACATATATTACTAACAATAAGAAAAACTTATATCTATACCTGTTATAGTTCCTTTGCTTTCTGTACTGAGTTGACCATTATTTATTTTTAGATTAAACATGCTAGGTTTTGTTGTACCACTCTGCTGGGGAATGTTGACTGGTAATAGTAAGTTCGCCATATGTTTAGGGGGTTGACTTGAACCACTTGTGCTACTAGTTGATGTCTGAGCTAATTGAGAAATTACTGGAGTAATTACTAATTTTGGCTTATTGGCTATTTGAGTCGATGTTAGAGCACCTAAAAAATATAATATTATATAATTAAATATGCAAATATATTATTATCAAACACATTAATATGTATAATATTTAATTGTTTTTCTACGTTATATAAATTGGCATAAAGCAGCTTTATTCTAGAATTTATAGATTATATAATGTAGAAATTTATTACCTGCTGGTATAACAACAGATTCTCGTGACTTGTTAGGTTTAATAAGGGTTCCCAGATATGCAAATGTATGCTTCCCTACTTGCGCATTGGTTTGACTTCCTTGAGTTGTACTCAAGGGCACTATCTGAGCTGTAGATGTTGACTTTCTAAGTACTATATGTTTTTGAGACTGTGAGGTTGCTACAGAGCTCACAGTATTTATTGGTCGATGTATTACAATATGTTGTTTGCTTTGAGACGTAGCTACCTGCCCTGATCCTTGTATAAACACCTTATTTTGTCCAGTCACAATCTAGAATAAAAATTTTAAATAACATATTAATATTTAAAATTAATTAGAAAAAAAATAAAAGAGTCACTATCATTCTCGAAACTTATTAGAATAAAAAAACTTTTTGTATAATACGTCATATTAACTGCAAGCATTCTAACATACACAACTGTATGAACATTTTAAACTACAAACTGCAAATTTTAACACATACAATTGTATGAACATTTTAAATTAATCAACATTCATTTCTTATCTGCCAGTATATTCAGTAACTAGGATATATTTATATATTATAAATAAGATATATTTAACATAACACATAAGATATCTGAACTTTAGAAAACTTTAATTGTTATAAGTATTTAAATGCCTTTTATTTAATATAATTTTATTTAAATATATATTTGTAACTTGAGAAATTAATTTTATGTGCATTCAGACACTGCACAATGTCTCTGACTAAATCTATATTTACTATGAAAAGATGCACCATGCACATACACTCACTAGGATACCACCTATACATGGGAACTAATAAGATTCCAAGACCTATATATGTGTACACTAAGTATGAGCTATATTTAGTACTGTCATATTTTGCTCCAGAAATACATATAAATGTAATGTAATGCAAATTATTAAAATATATTTTTTACAAAAGCTTAATTAATCTTAGAAAGTTTGATTAACTGTAAAAATTCAATTCTAGGTTATTATGAATAATTTATGTATTTTTTTGTTCTATATAACACATTCTATTCTTATAAGCATTATTCTTACATAAAACACAAGTTACAAATATTAATCTTTAGTAGAAAGGTTCTCAATCTCTATTTGCAATATAAATTACAAGAAAAGGTAATAAATAAGATGCGCATTATGCACATACTGTATGCATCAAATAATTATTACCTGATTATTAACTGGATTAATAATGGCAGTAAGTTGGGTACTAGGTGAAACAAGGGCTTGATTTGCATTTGTTGATTGGGCAGCACGTAATTTATTTTGTTGGATATACAGCAAAGGCATTACGGGAGTTTTAGAACCGTCCCTTTGCTGCGTCTCTGCACTACCATTCTCATCAACATCGTCTACTACTATTTCTTCTTCCATTCTGTTGACAAAAAGGACATAATACTGTTTGATAACTAATTCGTGGATTGTTTTATAAATCAGCAAGTTAAGATAATTAAATACATAATTATTTTTGTTTAATTGTTTGAATTTTATTTTCTTCATATAAAAAAATTTTGTTAATATAAAAAAGTTTTTGTTTAATTCAAAGTATTTAATTAAAAATATATTTAAAATTATCTAACAGTTTCTATTTTCGCATAATTATTCAATAAATATTCAATTACACACTCAAATGTAATTTATTTCATTGTTTTAATAAATAAATCATATGCTATTATTAGAAAAGATCTAATACATGATACATTTATTCAAAGAGAGACCAGTGCAAGTATATTTTACGAACCTAGTGGACATAGTGTTTATCATCGGCATATCGCGTTGTTAGGGTTGTTACATAATTCGCGAAGGAAATTGAGAAAAATTTCCCTCTTAAGAAAAAAAAACACGGACAGTCAGGCGATCGTAATAAAATATTATCGTACGAATTTACTCGTTAATAAAAAAATTGCGTTTAATGCACTCCGTCGAAGAAGAGAGTTTCTGATAAGAAGCGCGGTTTAAATGGCGCGCCGAACTGCGTTACAGCCGTAGTACACAGCTTAGTCACACTCGAAAACACTTTTCACGCTTTGAAAATCACCGTAGACAGGACGGTGCGGAGTTTCAACGCCTCCTGAACGATCCGGGATACACGTCTCTCGTGACAGCGAAAAAAAGCGGTCCATCGCGATACCTCTGCTATTCAAATACTTTTGCAAATCCGGTGTCTGTCGCGCATCGTCAGCCCACTCGTCGATGAAGGAGGCAACTCTTGCGCGGCACACTCACGCACTTTTCTCCTAACCGGAGAATAAACCGACAGGCGCGATCGATCTCACGTGAAAGTCATCGCCGTGGGCGCGACTCCCCGTGCGCGGGCAACGTTTTTCCGATCCGTGGAAACGACGAGGGAATCGCGAATACGCGAGCACACGCACTTTTAACAAAAATCCTCACACATCTTTTGAGCGTTCGAGCCTCCAGTACGACAGCTACGTCCCCATAGGCCGGACGCGCGGTAGCGACGACGCGGCGAGTCGTTTCCCATTGGCCGCCGCGAGCGGCGCAGCGAGCGGCCGCGGCGGCGCCGACCAATCAGCGTCGACTCGGCGGCCGACAGCGATGCTGCCTGTCACGACGACTCTTCCGACTTCTTTTCAAATTTCGGAAATTGCTCGACTTCCTCGCACCCTCACGCGATCGCGAACCGCGCGACGACATTCACGAGCTATTAATTACCCGAGAATTTATCTTCTTGGATAAGGAGGAGTCTCGAGCTCTGCCTCCCGCGCGATGTTTCGCGGAAAAAAAAGAACCATGATAAACGGCATCGACATTTTGGCCAGAATGCTAGCGTAATGATATATATGATGTATATATGTTACACCGCCTGAAATATATCTGCGACCTGCGACACGTGGAATATCTCGGTGTCTTCGATTCTGTGCGACAGTCACGTCACACGATCGAGTCGACAAGATTATATTACATGAGTGGAATATATGCTAAATATATATATATATATACAGGCCGGTATATATATCGCTATTAAAACAATGATATATTACACCGTGTTTTTAAATATCAGCTGATTATGCGATTGAATTGTGAATTGTGAATTTGTCACGATTTTATCTTCGTAAATATATAACTCTAATTACTCCACTTTTTCTCTCTTCTCAAAATTGCACAAATACGTCATATCTATGTATTTCTTGAAGGCGGAAAAGAATAAAATCCGATGCTACCGAATATGATCCAGACTTTTTAAGATTTCACAGAATTATTCATTATAATTTACGTTAGAAATGTACCTTATAAACAAATCACTTGATATATTGCAATATCTAACACGGAGTATTATTGCAGTATAGAGTGTAACATTCGAAGTGCAAAAAGTGTAGCTAAAAGGAACAGATATCATAACGTGCATATACGCAACAATGTGGCATCTTTTATCTTAAATTCGCGTGATTGGTTAAGATTTCTTTATGCACATGTAGATGCAAATCTATGTAAATCCGTCTGAATATAGATCTCTATATAGTGACAACAATGACATGAGATATACATATATATTTTATCTAAAACACAGATGGTTAGATATTTATCAAAATTATTAATTTATTCTTATTTCCACAACCCTTTCTTTCGTTAATTTCTTTTATTTCTTTGTTTTAATATTTCCTACCAAATTATAAAGTACCGATTAAGTGTCTCTTCTATATATACTTTAATCTATATACTTGCTATAATGACTGTACATTTAGTATATATTCATCAATACTTTTAACGAGAATTAACGAGAAATATTACTTACAATGACATGAACAGCAAAGTTCGACGCGACTTTATACATTTTAGACGATCAGCTGATAGACGAGACGCGAAATACGATATGAATTTTTGTTGTTTTCGAAACTGTTTGCGGTGACATAGATACGATCGATATTTGTTGTACAGAGTCTGCTTGTTTTAGAGATGATATCAAAGCGCGATTTATAACCGTATTCGCGTGATACGTCCGAAAGATTAAATATAAGGCCGAAAATAAATAAATAACGATATACGTTCGATCGAAAAAGACAAAAGTAATAATCGAAAGTTTCACGTTACACGAGACCGATATACTTACAACTCTGTTACGAAAAAAAATGATAGAATACATCGCACAAGTAAAAATAATGTATCTCTTACCAAAATTCACATTGACACATGCAGTTCCTCGTTTAAAGAGCAATAGATCGTACGATAGGTTATACAATACAATATTAAGTTAACTAATAAATATATAATTTTAGATTTTTTTTAAGCAACACTCACCCGATGCACACGAATAATTATATGATATGCGCACGATGCATTCGTGATGGTAGAACCGGAACCGTCCTTATTATCGTCGATATAAGGTCTGTTCGTTTTGCCAACACTCGAGTGCACTTTACTTTCTCTCCCTCTCTCGTTCAACGAATATTTTATTATATTGTATTATATCGCAAGAGCGGACCAAGCGCAAATAATACTTTGACGATGAAGAGAGAATAATAAGAGACATAAATAAAGAGAGAAAATATAATAAAAATATGGATTTTGTGTCTTTTTTTATGCGTTTGCGTAGTCGAAAGACGATCCATCTCTACGATTGGTCGGTTCTGTATTTACCTCTGTTTTTTTCGTTCCTCGACTTTCCTATCTATATTCTTCCTATATAGTCTATGATCGAAAATGCGAGTTGCATCAATTTCGATATCCGAGCATGCGCATCGCGTCTAGGTATTCGTGCATTTTATGACTATGAGAATTTTCTGACTTACAATTTCGACGTCTATAAATATATATTTAGCACATGTTGAAGATTGAAAACTAAATAACGGCTCCCGCACTATATTAAATCAATAAGCAAAGATACAGTTTTAACTTGTTTAACTGACGATAAACGAATATTTAGACAGAATTATTTGCAGTCGGTTCGAATACGCCCCAAACGTACCTAACTTGACTCGAGATAGCATGGCGCGAGATAATTCCGTCTCTCTCTTATTGTGATATCGATATATGTAAATCGAAAGGTAATATACTTTCTCTCTCTCTACATGTAACTGCGACATGGCAAGTATCTCGCAATCCTTGAAAAGTTCGAATTACTTATTCCGTGAACATATGCGTAAGATTTGACAATTTCTCGAAATTTCACTAATTATTCTGTCGGTCGATACTTTTCTTGATGATACGCGTAATATATGACAGATATCAGCTGATTACGTTATATTAAATGCAAAAAAGAATTGCCCTCGCGCGGTTAAAACTGCCTCTTTAACCTCTAAACCACAAAATCTTGTCATACTCAGTTTTACATGTGTATAATTTCTGGAAGTATTTCGATGAATCAAGAGTAATTATAATATATAAATATCGTCATAAATATCCCGAACATGCTCATCTCCGGTTTATATTCGTTAATTTGACAGATATATATTAAAATTACACTTGTCATAAAATAAAACACTATTATATATATATATATATTTACGTGGCCAAACATTATTATACTTACTAGCAAAATTTTGCTAAATCCTGCAAATGTTAGATGTAAAAAAATGCAATTTGCATAGCGCGTCGTGTATAAGCAAAATTGTAAAGTATACAACAAAAAAATATGGCTTTTCAAGTATAAAAAATATTTTACGTGTCACACATGTGTAGAAGGAATATTTAAATAATAAATTTTTCAGATTTGTATGAACTAAAATATCTACTTAAATCTTTTATATCATAAAAAAATAAGAGAGAAAGTTTAACGAAAAGTTCAATGAAAGTGTCATAATAAAGTGTAATTCAACATTATTTCTCGGATGAGTCGCGGCGCAAAAAAAATTAATGCAATATGATCATATCGCGATATCTAAATTAAAAGTGCATGTTCGATAGCAATTCGAGTAAATTATGTCAAATAAAAAAAAAAGAATCCCATATATCCACGTACAATGTACGCTATTACTACAGAACACAAAGTGCAAATATATACATATTTAGTTATATATGTTATCACAAGTATCGCGTTGAATTCATAACCGTGCTTGCATATATTGCACGAATGCAAACATCTCGCGTGTCTATAGTTACGATATATACTTATTTTGTGATATACTTACTAGAGAGAACTGGAGTATATATATCGGGGTCTAAGTAAAAAGGAGCGACGATTTTAGCAACACACGCTTCTGGGGAGCGATCAAGGGTGACTGCGAACAATCCTGAGTGACGGACGATGCTCCATGAGTACGATTAACTATTTTACGTATCGACGACGCGTTACATACACAGGAAATTGTACGAATGCAGAACTCACGTTTTAAAGCAGTCGTTCGGAAGCCATCATACGAAGGTGAAGAACTCTTGTCAATGTACGGTATGAATGGACGCGATCCGCTTGACGTTTCCGAATGCTCCTACACTTTTGTGTTATCCCGTAACACAGGTCCACGCGAATCCAAATAATGCAATTAAAATTGCACCTTGAAGCACCTGTAACGTCGAGTGAACCGCAGTATCCAATGAGACGCTGGGTGAGAAAAGTATCTCTCACGCTTGCGTGATGCGATACCATACTTCGTCAGTCTTCTCATCAGTTGTAAATATATATATATTTTTTATTAAATTATATTTCTCGAGAAGGCTAGAATAAATAGCTGAAAAAGTTTGAAAGAGACTATAGTTGTCAAAATTCTGATTTTTTTTTATTGCAATTATCTGTAAATATATAATTATAACCTCGCATATATATATTCTTATATTTATATATTTATTATTATTATTAGTTTTATTTATTACTCTTTGTTTTATTTTTTGTATTTATTATTTTATTTATTTATTATTTTTTATTTATTATCTCGAGACAAAAAATCAATTAGAAAAATGATAAACGTGGTATTAAAAGATCAATTAGAAGAATAATAAACTGTCTATTTTAATTAGGATATATTAGTTCGAGGAATATAATTAAAAATTTATAATTTTGTACATATATATAGAATTATAAATTTATAAAATTTTATTGACGCTCGAGATAATTGAAGAGTACTGACATTACCGACTGTTTTCAGTAAGAATTTCAAATAAATTCCGCGCGAGGGCGTTAGCGGACCGCAACATCCCTCGGACGATTTTCGTCCAATGGCGTAGGAGTCTGTCAGTCGCTCTCGGTTTGTTTTGTAGTATCAGCTGATGGACTTGATGAACCTTTCGCGTTATAAAAACACAAATCCCACCGCGGAGGCCGTTCTAGTGTGTGCCACGGCAGTACGTCGTATCGTGTGGTCAACGTCGTAATATGCCAACAACGTTCTCCATCGCTGTCGAAGACATAATAGCGTCGAGACAGAATTTTTTTTCCCCTTTAACGATTCATCGACTCCATATCCGCTGTCATCGTCGAATCGTCTTTTGATTTGTGCGGTAATGCCTGTTATCTAACTTTCTAATTAACGACCCGTGTGTCGCTGCATGTTACGTATGTGGCTTCACAACCCTATGCCTATATAACGTAACGCCGTTAAGCGTCAACGACGTCGTTGTGTGCTGAGAAATTTATCAAATAAGACATTACTCTGCCAAAAATTCCTCGACGCGCTTCCTAACTTCGTGTGATACTTTGTTCGCTTACTATTAAAATCGTTGTTCCCGGGTCATCGTTCAATGCGCGAGAGAAGCGTGAAGACATTGTTATCGTAAATAAACATAAGTTTGTATCTCGCGTGCTTGCTTTTATCATAGATTGCGGGTTTATTGTTTTATTCGTTATTTTTAAATGAACAGGCCGCGATGTCATCTGTCGCATCGGATTATCGAGGATAATCGAATTAATGGATTGAGATATTAAGTTAGATTAACGCAACGACGTTGTTAATGCATTGGTATGACTTTCATGTTATTCATAATTAATGCTTTATATGTACTTTGACCTGATGAGCTATTTTTAAAGCCAAATCTGCGCATTTATGGACTGTATGTGTGTGTGTGTGTGTGTGTATGAGTTCAATTATTTTCTAGTATTTGAAAAATATGTCGTGAATCCATTGAATTCCTGTTACATAAATCATGAAGAATATTTGAGCAACAATTTTGTAATGGAACTTGCCAAAGCGCTAGTTTAAATTAGAATTTTAGTTATATCTGAGTCATTACTTTTTATTAACAATAAGCTGATATAAAAGGTGATGCCCTTTGTGTGAGACACGCAATAATCATGCATCAAATGTTTATAACATCCTCATTACAGACTTGGATAAATGAGCATTTTTTTATCAGCTTCTTATTTAATTGCTGGTTTACTATAATAATTATGTTATTTTTCAAGCTAGATTCTTCTATTTTTTTTATTTATACATTAATTTTTTTTGTAATGACGTAATGGTAAATCATTATGCTTATTATTGATATGAATATATCATAGAATTCTTGGTACTTTGACAAACATGGGAGGAGCTGTAAGCACCGGACAGGACAATGATGAATTAGTGGATAATTTAATGGAATCAGGATATATCAAAACGAAGAAAGTCGAACAAGTTTTTAGAGCTGTGGATAGAGCCGATTATGTTCTATCCTCTTGTCGAGAAGGCGCTTATCAGGATCTAGCATGGAAACATGGAAATCTACATTTATCAGCTCCTTGTATATATAGTGAAGTATTGGAAGGACTCAGTTTAGAACCTGGCTTAAGTTTCCTAAATCTTGGATCTGGAACTGGCTACCTCAGCACAATGGCAGGATTGTTATTGCGTAAGAAAGTTGTTGTTTTAATATGTACATTTATATATATATATATATATATATATATACATATTTATAATACATTGAATGTATGTAATATTTTTGTATCTTTTTTTAGAACAACATGGAACAAATCATGGCATCGAATTGCATCAAGATTGTCTACAATATGCATATGATAGATTAGAGGAGTTTAAACAAAAATCATTGGCTCTAAATGAGTTTGATTTCTGTGAACCAATATTTACACAAGGTAATTGAACAATAGAAAAGTGACTCACAATGTATGTGTGGATTTGTGTCAAGTGTTATATTAATTACATAATATATCCAATAGGAAATTGTCTTAGTGTCATACCTGGAAGACAGTATGACAGAGTATATTGCGGAGCAGCATGCCCTGAAAGTCACGAATTATTTATTAAGCAATTTGTACGTATTGGAGGTATATTGGTAATGCCTTTTAAAGATCAATTGTTACGTGCGCAAAGAGTGAATGAGGTTGAGTGGGACGAACGCACAATGCTTCCTGTATCATTCGCAACTCTAGTCATACCTCCAGCTTCAGAACACAATTTATTTCACCTACGTACGTAATCTTATACTTAATAAACAAATACTTATTATTATTTTTCTTTTTTTAAGGAAAAAGAAATATATTTTTGTGAAATTGTATTTTGCAGCGGAGTGCAATCCTTTACCTCTGCAAGAATTATGTCGTGGTAGGATTCGACATTATCTACGTCAAAATATCTGGCGCGAACATCCTGAACTCGAGACCGAAAAGCCTTTAGATACCTCACCACAGATACAGGAAAGACAAACTACACAACAACGTACTCTCAGACGTTTCGTAATACCGATCTTCGAGGAATCCGATGAGGCCTTATCCGACGACGAACAGGAAATTGGAAGAGCGCGCTTCTTGCTAAATGCGAGTCTTGCCGATGCACATCCTGGGGAAGCTATTACGACCACTCTTCAGTTGGTACGAGCTGTCATACAACCGAATCAGAACGATAGAGAAGAAAATCAACGGATCTCGAGCAACGTTAGCGAAGAGACTCGAGACACCGCTGCAACCACGAACGTACGTCAACAAAGAAGAAAATCTTCCGTGAAGAATTCAACTTCAAGTACAAGCACAGACGGCACAAACGCCGCGGGTCATAGTTCCACTACCATGACTATAGATAATGACAACAACAACGAGGAGAGAAGCGAAAGAAACGCGAGGAAGTCGGTAACCGCGTATTCAAACATGAGTGACAGCGAGAGTGACGCTGAGCAGGAGAATGCTTTCGTGCAACGCAAGAAAATCGCGAAACGCGAGAAGACGGATAGCGGTATAGTGGATGATATGAATTTCGAAGACGGCAGTTCCAGCTCGAACACCAACCAATCCGACTCCGACATCACTGATACAACGGACGCGGGCGACGCGATGGACGTGGAGCTGCCTGATGCGGTTTACAGTTCTTGCAGAAGTACATGCGGCTCTCGTTCCACGCCGAAAGACCCTACCTCCCGCCAGATTGCAACTGCCATGCATTTTGTGGACAGTAACGTGTTCGCCGTTTACATGAGGGAAAAGATACAACAATTACCATTGCCTTTTTCAATAAAGCTGTACATGAACTATAATCGTAAGTTATAAGCGCGTCACACGTTATTTTTATTTTAAAAAATACATTCACTTTATTACGCAATAATTTCACATTGTTTTTTTTCTTTTGTATATGCATTTTACTGCAAACTTGTATAATCCATAACGAGTTTCATCATTTCAAATGATGTTTGTATTTAATATGGACTCCTATCTCGAGCTATTTACATTTTACGTATGTTACGATGTCACTTAATCTCGCTACTGATAATACCTTATGCGTTTGTAGATAACGAATTCTCAACAACTTTTTTCCCAATATCGAATATTATTGTACTATCACCCCTGCATCCTACAAATTTTCTTTTTTGATATCCCTATTATTTGCCTTTATGTAATAAGTAGATACAAATTGTACATAAAATTAAGATATAACTAGGAATATAAATTAGGAAAATTTTTTAAAATATCCCAATTAGTCGCATATATTATTTGATATACTTTACAAAATAAATCGGCGCCAGGTTCAAATACTCTAAACAAGCGTTCGTTATCAGTCAATTTCGAACAGCCGAATATAAGAGAGTATATATATATTAATATCTATAATATATATGAGAGTAATTTACTCATCCGAATAAATTCAGGACGGGAAACAAACGGGATTATATAAATTAACGAATTGTTCATTGTTAGATCTACGCTGCGGCCTTTTCTCCCTTCTCCCTTCTAAGCGGCGATGCATATACATGTACGGAGCGTTAAGTTAGTCTGCGTAGGGTGCACCGGGGTTGTGCGCGGACAGATTCGGCGATGCGTGAAAGAGGGCTAACGCCCAGCAGCCCGGCAGATCGCGCGACTTTGCGTATCCCCGTGATAAGGTATTGGAAGAGCGATCAGTATCAGTGCGTACGACCTCGTTCGCAAGGTCAAATCGAAGGTTCTCTCCGGCTGAAAATTTCACGTTTGCGTTCATCTTCTATCGCCACTTTGCGGGACGAAATGTCGAGTTACGAATCGCTTCTCCCATCTCGACGATGGGCGATGGAATCGATCCAGATACACCGGAAATTCGCACTTCGCGCGGTACTCGCGAGTGAGCCGAATTAAGCACGAGATCTCTAGGTCTCCTGTCCGGGGATATCAGCGATGTAAGTCATGCTGAAGCATCTTCGATGCGAAAAGAAACAAGGAGGGTAGTCAATTGAACGGAAACGGAGAGGGCGACCGAGACAACTCGCGGTCGTTCATTTTGGAGTATTGCGAAAGATAATAATAAGCGCGGAGTTATAAACAAGGTGAGGAGATGTTGCATTAATTACATGTTTACTTTATGGCAACGAATCATTATTCGGATTTGGCATTATAGCAAAATTTATTATAATGAAAAAAAATTAATGGTATATGTATGAGTATTTACGATTTTGAGTACAGCCTTTTATTTTTTTTTCTAATTTTTATTGTAATTATAAACATGTAACTTGTAATTTTATAACAAAAACATGTATAAATATGATATAATATGTAATATAAGATATAATGTGTTTACAAGGTATATTATAATACGTAATATATAATATGTAATGTAACATATATAACATATATTTATAATATACCTTGACTATAAAAATGAAATAATAAATTTATAACAAATTTCTAAAATCTTATTCGAAATTGATAAAAACGCAATACAATTTTAATAATTTTGAAATGCGTTTTCGATAAAATGTGATTTTTTAAATATTTAATTATTTTTTATTCCATTTTATTGAAAAATAATAGCTCTTTTTTATTTATTATTTCATAAATATAGATAGAGGATGAATAATGGATATTGAATATTTGACCGGTTATTTCTGATAATGTCAAACACTGATATATGTATTGCCATACATTTATATCAAAATATCCGGATTCTTGAACGTCAACCGAAATTTAAATAATGTCTGAAATAACCGGGGATATACATATATATGAATTCAGATAATATGGTTTTTGAATCAGAAATATGAACATTATTCAAACATTAATATTATTATATGCTAGAAAATATAATAAATAATACTAGCTATTAATAATATTAAAAACTAAATAATACTATTAATATTTTATTATTATACAATAGACACAAATTTAAAAACGCATTTACAAGGGAATAATGTCTTATATTAATTGTAATGTATTATTTTGTTTTATCTAGATAAATTGATAGACAATTAAATCATCGAACAAGATGAAGTCGACCATCCCCGGCATCCTTCTTCTGTATCTCTGCTGCGTCAATTTGCCGAGTGTCACCACAAATCTCGACTCGGTTTGCGGTGGTCATCTGACAGATCCTAAGGGCGTCATACACACACCGAATTTTCCCGGACCGTTTCCCGTCCCGATCAAGTGTCGCTGGGTGATCGACGTCTCCGACATACCGTCGACCAACAGCTCCATCGTCGTCTACCTGACGCAGCTCTACGTCTACAAGGGACTTCGCTTCACTGAATACGCGTACTACGAGTCCGAGACCATGAACTTCGGAGCGGCCCTGATAAAGGAGGTGACCGAGGGCAACGTCTTCGAGTATCGACGTTTCAGGACATTCAGACCGTTTCTGGTGATCGATTTCGAACTCGATCGGCTCGAGGGCAATCACGTCAGGGTGTTGAACGATCTGCTTGACGTGTACGGGTTCAACGTGACATACGAAACGACCGAGGAAGATCCAAATTCTGAATCCTGTACCGTGCGCGACTGCTCCTTCGTCGGAAACTGTCTCGTCACCGCGGATTACACGTGAGTTCTTTGAGTCTTTATATTATTCTGATACAGTATATGTACATGTACAGTATGTCTGCATATAAATTAATTTTTAATCAATTTAAAAGCGTATTTAAAATCGTATTTACTTATACAAAACAGTTGTAAAGTAACACAGTAATGTAATAATGATAAATAGTTTTAGAAGATGACTCTCTAACAATAAGATAAATGATACTTAAATATAGTGATGACAATTTGTAAAAACTTTAAATTAATATTGATTAAAAATTCTTTTACAAGTATTTGCAAAAACGAAATTAGCGTAAAGAGCATCTGCGTTGAAAAGTTGAAGAGAAACTTTTCAAACAACTTTGACATGCGAAAGTGCAATTAGCATCAGAGTAGAAGATTAATTGAATTAATTAAGAAAGTCTAAGAGTGAATTTAATATACGTATATGAGACGTAAACTTGCACTAAGATATAAGCTACAAATTTAATTGTTAAAGCTCTTTAATTCTCATTTACTAGTCCGTAAGAGTCATAACAGATAGTTTTAAGTTATAAATTTAATAATCTCTCGTTTCAGTATATCGTTATAGCTATGAAGGATATTTTATAAATGATATGAAAATTTAAACGAAATAGTTTCTTTCCTATTGATTTTAATATGCAGACTTTTTATTTTATATTTTAATTTCATTGAATATTTGTGAAACAGCTTTAAAAAAATCGCTATTTTGCACATTATTCTCGATTTACGAAAGCTTCCGGAAATTTTTATCTGAAGAAATATAAAAAAATGTTAAACGAATATTTACAAAAGATAATTATAATATTGTGAAATTACAAATCTTGCTATTTATGTTTCTGTATTTATTATATTCTTTATTTTCTCATGGAAAGTGCATAATTTTTATGATTATGTTTTTTCTATCACAGGTCTTTTTGGTGCGACTGTTTCGACGGTTTCGATGGAAGAAGCTGCAATGAAGGTCCATTATGTTTCAAAGATGAACATAATCCAGTTTGTCAAAATGAAGCTACATGCAGGTATGAATATATCAATACATTATATAATCAATAATATTAAAAAATTTTATTTATTTCGCAATAAATTAAATAGCTATGTACTCTATATCCTATTGATTTAGACGAAGTAATTTTTAAATAAAAATTTTTGCAACTCATAATAGGATAACATATTATAAATGTATAAAAAATATAAAAAAAATAAAAAATAAAAAATAAAAAGCTATTTTCTTTTCATAAAAATCAAAAAGAATAATGTTCCAAAAAGATATATGTTTAATAGAAATATATAAAAATAAAAATTTCTACAACAATGTTAATGTTTCGGCTTGCGAAATTAATAATAACAATTGCTTTGTTCATTTTTTATAGACAAATTGGGGCGGAAGCAATGCACTGCGATTGTCCGCGCGGCTATGTCGGGCACAATTGCGAAACTCGTCTTTTGGATACTTTAGACACAGGTAATATTTTATCTCAATCAGATAACTTTATTTGTTTTACCTCGCTTGCGGATTATTCATATTTATCGTGTATTGATGATAAGACCGATTAAAGTAGATGAGTAGAAATCGCGTTGAAACAAAAATTTATAGAATTTTATACATGATTTTTATCCGATTTTTTAACCGACTAATTATCTCTTTGCAGAATGCGCTTCAGAAAATTGCATACTACAATGTCCACTCGACAATCAACAACAACCATGCACTTGTAAAGACAGTACGAAAATATATAACAGTGAGTTTCTTAACATCTTACATGTATATAGTTTATTGTCATATTATCAAAAGTATAATTTTTTATTATTGCATTTTACATTCATGCAGAATATTGCAATTTTTATAGCTGTAGACTTTTTAATTAATTTTAATTTTTTTGAGGGAAGAGAAAAATTTTATTTATTTATATTTTATGTCAAATATTTATTTTTATATATATATATATATATATATATATATATATACATATATCAAATATTTATACAACCAATTTCCAAATATATTGAAATGCTATTAAAATAAATAGAAAAATAAATAAATGAAGAATAAATTTCCGAATTGCTGCAAGAATGTCTAAATCAAGAAAATTGCAAATTTTAAACATCTTGTACAACGCATGGATTATATGTATACAGATCGATCGAGATACGAATGCAGAATCAAATTGTCGAATGTTACATCCCTCCGCACAGGCCTGATATCGCAACACGGAAGTTTGGAATCGATCGTCAGCAAACAGGTGAGTAATGAACAACTTATTACGTCAAACATATAGTTTATATAAATGTTTCGATAAAATTATACTCAGATTTGCGTTTATATAACAACAATAGTTCATTAAAATAACGCAGACTCCGTCTATTACGAGATGATATACAGTTTATAAATATTTACGATAAGAATATGTGATCACGCATGCTTTGGCACATATACACGCGTATTTATATGACAACGATATGCACGCGGATTACATAAGGAAATATAATTCCCTGCTATTAAAATAGCACATACGCACGTGTACAGACGTATTTCGTTGGAAACATAAAGATTTCCTCGTGTTTCACGTAAGCAAAGGTATGACATCGCATGTGATCTTCGTCATATGCGGTGAATTTCAAATTGTTGTTGTTATATACAGCCAAGATATTTATATACACACGTGTGTCGTAACAATTTTTGTGCATTTACGTCAATATGCTGAAGGATTTTTAAGCGCAAACGTATTTGAATACAAACATACGCCAATACTTATAATCCAATATAATGAGGAGAGCAGTTGATTAGCTATTACGCACGACTTGACGTACGTTTTTCATAACGTACTTTCATGACGTACTTCATAAAAATGAAAAGATAGCCAATATCAAAAAATATAAATATTAGAAGGATCCAATGTTGGAATAGAACATTAAGTTCATACATACATATACATACTTGAAAGTTAGTCAATTTATATTTCCTAAACGCATTTATGTTTCTTGAAATATAATTCTTCGTGATACATTTTTTAAAAATAAATTATTTTGTATCTAACATTAATATAAATAACATTTGAAAACTTACAATTCTTTGCTATTATTATAAAATAATATTTTATATATAAAATAATATTTAAATTATACAATATCTAATATAAAAAATATTACATTTTTTTATATTAGAACATCTATAATATATTATACATGTATTCTCTTTCTCTGTTTCTATATTAAAATTCTACATACATTAATAATTCAAATCAGATTAAATTCTTGTACGGTGATTATATTATAATTAATTTTCTTTTTTGATATTCTCAGACAAAGAATATCGCTGTAACAATCTCATTTCTTTTCTAAGATCTTTTTAATCTTTCCCAGATCTCCCAGATAAATTCGCGTATTTGTATGTGTGCGCATTCGTACTAATTGTTTCAATCACGGAATTAGAGTGTTCCGGTAATTTTTCAACATGCAGGTTTTTCCATGACACCTCAATGTCATTATTTTCATATTGCATTGCTAATAGATAATTTAAAATTTTAAAAGATAATTGAATAAAATAAAAAATAATTAAATGATGCATATTGGGTTCGTATACGATATATTTTAAATGATATGTTTTGAGTGTTAATATTCTTAATATTTGTTAAATGCATTTTTACTCTATACCCAAGTAGAACAGAAAATCAAAATAATATCATTTTGACGTCATATTGATCAAATTTGGAGTTTAAATTTGGTCAATATGACGTCAAATTGACATTATTTTGACTTTCTGTTCTACTTGGGTATTTTAGTGGCTCTTTTATAATTATTGTAATAAAAATAGCTTTGCAGTTACAAAATTGTTTTAATTAAATGGACAATTTTATATTATTTAATTGTCCAAAACGCAAATTTTAATCTTATTACAATATATGACACTCACATTGCTACATGATCGAGACACATTCTTTCACAGGTAACTGACCGCGCATACGCAGTTATCACATGGTATATCTTATATAAGTCTGACTCATACGCTCTATTAATAGGTGTATTCCTGAATACTCGTCGCTTTTTTTTAATCTATTATTGACATTGCCATTGACTTTATTACTTGGTTTTAATGTCACATAGGGTCTCTAACAATTGTGCTCCCCGAAAATTATTGCTCAAAAATTATTCGAGAACTGGAATTTTTGTTAAGGAATGAAATTTTTTAATAGAGAAATTTTAATTGGATTATAACAATGTTTCCCTCTCTATTGTTAAAAATAATTCAAAAATAAGGTCCTGCATACAAATAGAGAATATATATAGGAATAAATATTAAATATTAGGAATAAGAATTTTTTTAAATAACAAAATCGAAAACTCTGATATAAAAATAAAATTTGGATATAATAAGGGCTAATAAACTAGTAGGAGCACTTTATATACCTGAATTTGTATTTGTATATCAGATTTCAATTTTATTTTAAAATAATTCCTAATATTTAATATTTATTCCTAATATTTTTTCTATTATGCGCAAGGCCTAATATAAAAGTTATTCATAAAATCATGAGTATCATTTTTCATATACATCACAAACACTATTCTATACCCATTTAAGGCATGAACAAATAAAAGGCACCTGTTAATAATATGAAACATTATCTATATTATTCAAACACTTATTCGAAGTTGATGTGTGATAAATGATACGTTTATCTCAGACAAGAATCAGATTGTAAAGCAATCTTTACCTCTGAATAGCCGTAGAGATAATTAAGAAAAAAATAAAATTTTTAGATATTGATCCCAAAATACATTTTTTTTAATCGATGAATTTTTATTAATCGATGTAACTGATTTTCGATGTAGCTGACGGACATTGAAGATCGTCCTTGTGTAAATATAACGTCCTTGTCTCCGTATCGATTTGAATCGAAAGCGTGTCAGAGATTAATGTGAAATGCCATTCGAATAATCTTATTCCGCGAATTTTAAATTTGCGAGAAGTTACAACTGTTGGAAAGCCCGTTTGTTATATAACATTTTCGTTGGATGCCTTCTGTACGTAAACAAACCAGAATTAACAGAAAATCGCATGATATTATATTTATCTTTCCTTTTTCGTTTAGACCGTTTTGGATCTCATTTCTTAGAAATCATGCGATTTCTAATCATGATCCAAAATGTCATGGTTCATGATATTAAAATTATAACGTTCAAATATATAAATGTAGATATCATATTAGTTTCAATATTTGTCTTTCATAAACGCAGTTATTAAAGTCCATTGTGTACTTTAATGTAATTATATCTCTGTAATATCTTTCAACTTTCTGTCTTTCTTACTGAAAAAGAATGTAAGTTGTCGATTAGCATGTCACGTGTAAATGCAATACTTGGAATATTAATCTTTTCTGACGCACGAGGGGCAAACCCTTTCTCTTTACCATATGTCCGCGTAAAGTCCTGGGAAATCCAGCTTCTAAGTGTCTTGTATGTTACTTTTTTGGCCTACTTAATCTTCCGGAGACGTAAATGCACGGAGAAAATATTATAATAAAAATTGATATATTTTTTTTGTAATAGTGGAAAATATTAACATAAGAGAAATCATTATTCTTATTAAAAAATATTATGCGTATTGTATTTTTTACAAAGAAATGTGTGATTGTTCAAATATTTTGATGCACGAACAAATGCATAATTTACAATTTTTATAAATATCTTACTGTCGTTATATTTCTTTACAATAAATATTATAAAAAAATGTAATTTTTTCACGTAATTTGTATTGTAAAATTTTCTCCGTCCAAGGTGATTTTTCCATCTGAAATAACATCGATCTAATTAGACAAGGGAAAGAAAAGAAATCGCGTTAATTTTTCAAATTTAAATCACAAAAGAATAATTTAATCTTAAATTCTCCAACAAAATAAGTGGCATAATAAGAAAATAATTTTATTAACAAATATAGATAAATACACAGAAAGAATTTTCTCTTAGAATTTACCCTGAAAATCATGATAACCATGGGACAATATAGTATTGGAAGAATTTTATAAGATGTTAATATCTATCACAATAAGATATAAAATAAATACTAAGAAAAAATTCTCTTCGTCGAAATGTCACGTTTGTCACTGCAGTCTCTTTAACTGCAACAGGTGCAGCGTTGCATTAAGAATTGACAACTTTTGCAATAAGCTGAGGAAAGCTTCGATCAATATTCGGCGAAGAAAAAAGACGCAAGTCGTGAACGTCGAGTTGTGAACGTCACGAGAGAGGATTGCCGACGTTGATTGATAGAAACACACTGGGAGCAAAATTAAAAATAAATTCTATATATCACGCGAATAATATAAAAAATGCAAATTCACTATCAGCATTGTTTTTGCTCGATATCGTAGGCACGCGAACGTATGCATTCGGGCGCATATTTTTTTCTGAATCATCCTCGTGGAATTCGGTTTCATACTCTCATCTGAATTCGTCCCAATCATACTGTATATACATATACGTACATACATCTATTTATCAACAGATCAATACACACATGAGAAGCCGCGAGTGACGTCAAAGGGACTTTCTTTTCGGAGATCCTCAATCTCTCTTAATTTCCTGTGACTGCGTCGACATTCTCCCAATGATGTAACTGGCGGATGCATTCCACTTTACCAGGGAATTCCCGTCTCTCGAAAGAGACGACTTCTCAGAAAAGAGACAAATTTCGGGAAATTTTCATGACAATTGGGTAACAAAGGATAGAAATCTTTAAAATATATATCATGAATGATTTTACGAAACACGGATTCGACATTCCATCTTTCTAGTTTTTCTCTTTGCATTTTTCTCTTTTCTGAGAGGAATCTCTGACGTCAAAACTCGTCTTGTAACGAGAAACCTTGTTAATTACACCAATAAATTTATAAATTTGAAAATTATATTACGGAATATAGGTATATAGCAACGCAAGTACGTAAAAGCACATAATAATAAGAAGAGAGAGAGAGAAAAGGGTTCTCTGGTGACTTATTGGTTGCAGCATTTTTTGCCAAAAACCTAAATCCATAGATGATCCCCTTGACACTACGCCACTGATTTCGCCATAATTTTCTTATTCTCTCGAACTTGGCCCGAATAGCAATCAAGATAGTCCTCATATGTTGTTTCTCTCATCCTTTTTTCACGCTCAATAAACTTTGTCGCAAAGAGCAAAAGTTCTCGCTTCGTTTTTCATCGTTTCGAGCAAATTGTGAACAAATGCAATATTGCTTGTGCACGGTATTGCATTATCTGTGACGTGTTGATATGCATATTTATTCTGTTTATACGACTTGTCGCAATAATCTTTCAACGCAATTATATATATAAAATACGTAGATTATTATAATCAAACGCGTAGTGATAATATTTTTCACGGTGAATCTCTCTCTAACATTTTTTATAAAATTATTTAAAACGATAGTTGATAGCTTTATATAATGAATATCATAAAATAAGCAATTGAGAAGTGCTCTACCAATATTACATCATTTAAAAATACTGCGATGTCATATTTACTGTAGTATCGCAAGTATTGCAACATGCATTACTGTTTAAATATCTAAATGATATATTTTTTCAGATTATTTGATTTATCTCAATTCGATCTCTTATGTGTGGAATTTTTTTGTATCTAACCACGTATGTATCTAAGTAACCGCACGTTATCGGTTATCAAGCAAGGGCATTATACTTTTAATCTAGCGAGTCACGAGTATGTCGAGTCTACATATAAGACAAAAAAGTCTTGATACTTTGTTTTAATTTTGCGTTTTATTTAATATAGTATAAAATTATATTATATATTTTTTATTTAAAAATATCGAGATGTTAAAAACTTTTAAAGTATACCTGATAAAAAATCCAGGCTCGAGGATTAATTAATAACTTTTATATATTACGTACTAACTTTTTCTCAATAATTTGCAGGTCCTGATCGTTAATTTCGTTAATCTAAATCCAACTTTAATGCATCCTTTTTTGTTGTGCGTCCTAAATTTTTTTTCTTTTATCGAGAATGAATCTCGTGTTTGACCTTCAGACCAATACATATGTGGACCGAAACAGGTCCTGGAATATGTTTCTGGTCGAGGGATCGAATCTGCTATCCTCACATTTGTCGATGAAGGGTTCGCGATATAAGAAACAATTCTTCTTAAATCCAAAGTAAAATAATTACGAGTAATATTTTTTTTATTTTCTAAACGATGTTTTATAATTATTACGCAAGAAATTGTCTCATGTTTCCTTTGTACTTTTTGAAAATTTTCATGCGAAAAGATTTTTCCTCAAACACACGATTGTTCTGGCAAGCATCGTCAGTCTCGAAACCTAGAAAGAGATTAATAATAGTTTGTTCATAGTACGAGCGATTATCGAGAAAATCTAAAAATATATTTATTTATAAATCACACACAATGGACACAAATTTATTATTTGTTTTATCGTGGTATATTAAAGAAACAGAGACATAATCATACATTGATTACTTCCGTTTTCCAATGAAAACGCGGATAAGCAATTATCTTCAAAGAAATCGCAATAGTGACACGTTCATGTCTTTCATATCTATACGATAAGATTAATTGAACGACTATCTTATCACGTTTGTCTTAAGAATTGTAAATGCAGAAAATTAATATGTTCATCATTTATTTATTTTAGAAACATGCGCCAATTTTCAATCTTGATAGATTTTCAAAAAAACTTTATTATTAAGCATTGAAAATATTTTTCGAAATTCTTCACGTTAAACACGAGAAATACATATTTTTCCGTTTAATTTCAATATTATATCAGTCGAATTGACGTTACGGTTATTTCCCCGGAGAAATTTACATTATGCAAACGGCATTCGTAAGTTAAAAGAAGGAAAAAAACAAATACAGACGATGCGATGGCAAAGAATTGTATATGCATAATTAAATAATCTAGTTGCATATTTTATTTCGAGACAATCTCAGATGATTTGTTTCAGTTTAAAAAAACATATGTTTAAAACGCATATTTAAGTATAACTCGACTAATCTTATTGTTAATTATCATTTTTTTTTGTTATCCCTTGTCACAAATTAATTAATGAATTGACTTTAGGCGGTCGATTATCAACTGCGCGATATATTTAACTGCCTTTATACGCAGTTTTTACGGATAATCGACCTTAATGTGAAAGGACTTTGAAGGTGACAGTCTGTGTACCAGACTTGGGATTTCCCAGATGATTCCTCGTTAAAATATCCCTTATACTGTGTTGACAGATATGAAGGAACGTCTGCGAGGTTTTTGACCGACTAAATGTCTCGGTTCTCAATAATGAACAAGTATCTTTAACATCGTCCTGTTAAATTATAAGTTACAATTTTTTTGCTTCTTTCTCTTTATGACGCTTGTTATATTTTTAATCATAGAATAACTTGAGAATTTTTTAATTTTGTATTTTTTCTCATTTTATATGTTAATACTTTTAATAAATTCAAGCAAAGTAAATATGATAATATTTTACATTTGATTTTGAGAATTACAAGCTATATTTAACTCTTTATATGAATAAATTTTCTTTTCACTTTACCTCAACTTATTTATTTTTAGAGGTTTTAATCCGCTTTAACAATGTTTTTCAAAATAATTGCTCTCTCTCAGTTGACCTAGTTTTCCATGTTATATCGCCGAAATAAACGCATTTGTTACGCAATCTGCATTGCACGTACTTTTTAGTAATAATGTTAGCAGATTTAATTCATTATATTCGTTACAAAGAGGATCTCTACAAAGAGTAATAAATATGATTATAAAAGCAAGCCGTGAATTTCTGTGATTTATATATGATTAAAATAGAACATATATGAAATTTATGTAATAGTTTCTTCGCAATTGTTATTACTATCAATAGAGTTTTATTTAAAATTTAATATTATGGTTTCTATCGCTCTCATAACATCAATATTATATTATAATAATACCACTTTTTATTTTTTTTAAATACTTAAAATAAGAAATATTTTTCAAATTATTATACATGTTATTTGTACAAAAAAAACAGATTCTAAAAAATTTCTATTTTATTTTTGTAAATAATTGTCATATTAATTTGAAAAGTTTTATTTTTATTCTATATCTAATTATTTTATTTTGCATTATTAATTTAGGCAAAAGTATGAGACTATGCGTCATTAAATTAATAACGCCGTGTGGCGAATTTATCAGAGGATCCTCTACTGAATCCATACTAGCTGTTCGAAATGAATTTTATTAGGCTTTCCCGTTATCGCGCAGAAATTGCGCAGCTGATGAAATGAAGCATTCGTGACTTGCATCATCTTCACAGGGCGTATATATACAATTTTAACGCGAGTACACGTATACTCGATCAAGTGTTTCACGTGGTCGCAGGTTGTGCCAAAATGAAGTTTGTTGATCCACAGAATCGATCAACGTGGCTGTTCCTGATCAAGTGCTTGCGGATGATGAAACAGGACGCATTTATACCATACACTTGTATGATGCAACTTGTAAGCAAGAATTTATAAGTATTTTCTTCTCTTGCAATTTATGTTTTTAATTATACAAAATAATCAAACAAGAATTCTTTTTCAAACTTATTTTCTTTTTTGCAGTGAACGTTTCAATTGTCAGTGAACTTTGCTAGAAAACGCAATGTTGGCGGTGAACTTTGTTAGAAAACGCAATGTCATCGTAATCTGCATATAACATTTGTGCATCGAAGACGTTGGACGAAAGATCGGATATGAGATCGCTAGATAAATTGATCAGATAACTTGATATAATGCGTGACCCCGACCTGTGTGAATGCAATTTCTCGCAAATCTGTTTGCACTGCTACCAAGTAATTATGTTTCCTCCACAACTGGTTCTCGGTAGATTCCAACAAAATTTTCTTTTCGCTGGATTTAACAAATGATTTACGAGATTATTTAAATATGCTTAATAGATATTTATGACTTGTTGGAATTAACAGCACTGTTTTCCACTACGATATTCAAAAGTACAAGCGAAATGAGACATTAATTCATTAACTCTGAAGAATTTTTAAATAAGAAAGTTATTTGTTAAATTCTGATTTTATTTATTGGTCAATATATATATTTTTGAAAAAATTTGAGATGATGCATGTAGCATTTATTATAAAAAAGTGTTCGTCTTGTCCATCAAACTTCTATATCATGTCTCATTTCTAATATGCATATACGCTATTGCATAATTAATTATGTTCAGAGGAATACAATGAAAAATGAGTTTATATAATTCTCCTAAGCTTACCTTGAACTTATGTTCAACCGGTTTCACCGAATCGCATTTAAAAAGCTATACATGCAAAATCTGATGCTTATAGTTGTTTATCGATCAGCGTGCATAATATAATATATACTTTAGGTGGCGTTAGAATGAATCATACAACACGAGACTCCACGAGTCAGTTTATTTTCCTATCAACAATATTTCACTGTTACTTCTTATCTCAAAATTCTTTCTGCCAGATATTCGACCTCTTTCGATAATCAGATATTAGTCTTCGATATTCAACTTTATTGTCTAATCATCAATGCAATTTTATTGTCTAATATTACAATATCTGTAATATATATGTGTATGTGTCTTCCTCAGGCATAATTTTCACACAGATCTTAAGATCTATTATTCAATTCCCAATTTCATATATATAGAGATATTGATTAGATTGCTTTTTAATTCATATTTTTTGATCCGTCTTCCTTAGATTCAAATATCAAACTCAGAAAATCTATGCTCGAAGAAAATAAAAATAAAATCACTGTCCTACTATCTCGTCCGGGAAAAACTCAGTTAACTAACGTGGGGGTTTAACTCAATTATGTTTCTTTATTCGTGCGGCCTTTTTCCTCGGGTTTCCCGGTAAAGTTCACGCCGGCCGATAAAGAATCTTTCATGTATGTATATATGCCCCAGAGACGGTGCATTCGGAATATCCGTGGTATAAACTGGTAGGAACGTGGGTGATAAAGTGGTAGGGAGTGGACGCTATAAAAGGTGCGCGCGCCAAACTATGAGGTCATACTCAGTCAGAACCTTGTGGAGGAAACACGTTGATATATCAAGAGAGAAACAGAGAGCTCTATTCAGTTGAAGTAAAGTTTGCGAGTTGCGCGAGTTTGCATCAGAATCAAATCGAGTGAAAGCGGAGCGAGAGAAAGCCGCCAGTGATTCAGTGAAGAAGCTAAAGCTGTAAAATTATACTTTCAACAAAAGTTGAAGCTAATTCGTCCAACGGGTACCAACGAGGATTCGAAAATTCCTACGTTCAGTGAAGTGTGCAAAAGAGACGCATTGAGGATTAATCCACCGAACGAGGACCAAAAGGAGAAATTGCTGACCGATATGACTCGTTGCCAGGAATCGCAAGTTTATCACGCCCAGCCCACGATGACCGACAGGTAGCTATCATAAGCGATACGCGGGATTTCCACGTGGCTATCACTCGACAACCCCTCGAAACGACGGGTTGCGCGATAACCGTGTGGTTCTCTGTCGATGACAAAGTGATAAAGAGATGCTTGGTCACGCTGTTAACAAATGACTTTTCATTTATCTCTCGGCAAATCGAAGCTTCGCAATTGTGCAATCGAAAGCAATATATAGCATTACTTTGCACATTTTCGATATTCCCGATAAAAATTTATATATACCTAAAGAGTAATCTAAGATTTGCAAAAGAGAAAAATATCGTAGAATTTGCTGCGTTTTTCGTTTCGCACCGTAGAATTTTAACACTGTAGAAATTATTAGAGTCAAAGATACAGAAGAATGTTAAAACGTTACGCCTTTTAGCGATAAGCGTATAAGTACATAAATTAATACCCGCTGTTGCGTCATTGCAATTCGCGAAATTCCAAGCATCGCTTTACACTGTGTGTCGCGCCGGCTTATGTAACGTGACGCGCGGATGATTGATCGAGAATGTCTTACAGCGGAAAATCATCATGGTGCGAGGAGACGCACCGCTACGGAAGCACCATCATATGCGGCATGTTGCCGACCCTAAGGGAGCTAGCTTCCAGAGGCTGCAATAGCCGAGGAAGCATTTGCCTCGTGCCTATCAACATCGAGATGGATGCAGCCAGTCACCTTCAAATGACCCTTCTCGAGGCTTATTGCCGGGAGATAGGAATCAAGGTGTTGAGCGTGTCCAAGGAGACAATAGAGGCCCATTTGTGCCCAGGTGACACGGATCTGTCATGCGTTCTGGTTACGAACGACGATCCATTTTTCATGCCGAAGCTACCGAAGTGAAACTTGAACACTCATCCTTGAGAAAGTTGAAATTTAAGGACCGAAAATTACGTGCGGTCTTTTATCGAAGAAGACCGTCTCCGCATCGAGGAAATCTGCATCGGAAGACAAAGGAGGAAGCTTTGTTTAAGCATGCGATGTGTCCTACGTGTCCTACTAACGAGGCTGCTGATGATGGACATTTTATATTGTAAACAGCGAGACATATTCATCTATCCATCTCGCTATTAAGTCTGTTCTCTTCCGTCTGTCTTCAAAGCACTTTTCTCAATCTTCCTCTTTCTCCCTTTTTCCTACAACTATTTGAGAAAAGTGTCAAGCAGCTGAAAAGAGCAGACCTATTATCGTTAGACCATGATTATGAACATGATTATGACTTTGTACCAAGCGAGTGATGTTTCACTTGATGATTGTTGAATAAGAAATATTGATTAATGTAATATGTATATTCTTCAATGTACAATTCAGTGTACAATTCAATGTACAGTTTGTCGCGAGACAAACTAATCTGCGTTGTGTATGCTTTGTAAAAATCGACAGCCGAAGCGTTGTCGAATAAAAAAGATTTTATAATACCATCTCATTGATAATAAAAGATTACATGATATTTTAACAAGATACAAAAGAGAATCTCTTAATTTCTTTCCTCCCACCTTATATCCTACATTATATCTTATTCTATAATCGAGAATTTTGCTTAATTCGTTCGAACTTTTTCTCGTAGCTTGCAAAATATTTAAGGAACTCCAATATCACTTTTATGGAGGATTTAAAAATTCTGAACGTGACGTGAGTAGGTACTTATTTAAGGATAAAAAAGTACAGTCGTATGCAAATAAAACGGATTGCATTTCAAATGATTTTGAGTTTTTGGAATTATAATTATTACTTGTCGTAAATTAAAAGATATCTTCGAGGCAATTGAAATATATTATTGTACAAAAAAAGTCACTAACTTAAAGCCATTTTACTGTGTGCTATTTTCTTCAATAGACCCATGGCCGAAGTAACTTTTCATTTCTTCGGAAATTCCGATGACGGTGATAAAATTCGTGAATCCCTCAATCGACTCGTACAACGTCGACGTCTCAGCGAAATCGCATTGGAATCCACGCACTTTACGTTTCAACAGAAGCCCGCTCTTAAATTACAGGTACCTATGTATGTAATTGCAGTGCATGGATCGCTCGATATCTCAATATCATCATGACGTCAGAATATAATCGTGTTTGTATAAACATTATATAATTAAAGTTACGAGATTTAGAAATCATTCTCTTTTTCTATTTTTTCTGAAAGAAAAGATTAATTAAATCTCAGTTTAATGTAACCGACATTTTAATTAATATGAATGAGATTAATTGCTGCACACGATTAAAAATTATTAGAAAATTATTGCGTTTTAGAGTCTGAGATTTAATCAAATAAACGATTACGAGATTCATTTGGGAGAGCAAATCGTCTTGTCGTGCGTGGCTCAAGGAAGTATCAACTTCACTTGGTACAAAGATGGCATGTTGGTGAACATGAGCAAAGCTACCAGGTAACTGAAAACACGTCGCACTAAAAAATATGTATGATTCATTTTTTTTTTTTTAATAAAATAATGATTTTTTCGACTTATACATTTCAATCATTTCGACATTTTAGAGAAATATGGATCAGCGATTTGCCAAACGATGGATCGGATGTATACACGTCGGTGTTGACGATCGAGAAGGCGACTCTGCTCGATGCTGGTCAGTACACGTGTCAAGTGATGGATTGGAGTGTCCAGCAGTGCAAAAGTGTCTATATCGAAGTCAGAAACGAACCAGACGTGAAGGTGGTACCGATGAGCGCCACTATAGAAAAAGTAAACTGCGATTTATGCCTCTGCCCAGATAGCACAACGAATTTATTTGTGTCACCAATTCTGAATTATTTTTGAAATGTATATAAAATTTATTTTATATTCCACAAGAATGTTGAATCCTTTTTGAACAGATTACATTCATTTTTTCATAAAAAATTATGAAAAATTAATTCTTTTTGAGCTCATAATGATTTTCTGCTATCTGGGAATGCATGAAAAATTTAAATTTCGAAGAAGACATATATTATATAAACGATTGTTTGTTCAGGGTAGCAATATACAATTGACATGTATGACCCCCAACATGCGTAACATCGGCATCGGATTCGGTTGGACTAAGAATCGCGCCTTGTTAAAATTGGAGCCCGGTCAAGCAGTTTGGGAAGATCTATATCCAGCGGGTAGCATTTTAAAAATCAGTAATATTCAGGTAGACAAACCGATCACCGATTACTCTCTATAAAATATTTAAAAATTGTTCTCTATCTTATAAACATATTTAATTGTTTACAAAAAATGATAAACATTTTAATTTAATAATAATAACTAATATTTATTTAATATTTATTATTAAAAGTGTTAAAATATTATAGAAATCTTGACTATATTCTCTTAATTCTCCATTTCGATGACTTTGTAGAAATCTTTTTTCTATTCTATTCATTTGCTTGATAGAATTAACAGATATTAAAGAAAATCATTTAGTAAATATTTTTGATAATAATCGTCGTTTCGAAAATTTAAAGTGATTGTTTGATGTTTCAGAAATCCGCAATCTATACCTGCAATGTAGCGCACAAATCCATGTCCGTCCGAGTTGAAGTCATGAATCGAACATTGATACCGATATGCCACAACGGAGAATCCTGGGGTTTACAATGGCCGATTACTGCACCGGGATCGGAAGCGTTGCTGGAATGTCCTCGATATTTCATAGGTCGACGAGTATCCAGGCTGTGTTCGATGAAGGATGCTACCACACCGGAATGGCAGATACCGGATTTCTCACCCTGTTTGTACGAACCATTGCTTACACCCTATAATAACGTAAGCATTTTTTATAACACTTTACAATCTATTATTGATTTGAGATTGACGAGTCGCAATAATTTGTTAAATTTAAATGTAGATTGCAATACTTAAAATATGATGAGTACTAGTACAAAGCTTTTACACCTCATTTATATTTTATGTTAAAATTATATTATTTTAAATATTTATAATGCACTATTCTTGAAAGTTTGAAAATAAGCATTGTTATAGTTTAATAAAAAATGAAACATAAAAAATTAATCAAACATAATAGCTTTTTATTTTAATTTGTAAACGATTAATTATTATGATTTGTCACAATTGATTAAAGATTAATTTGATATCTAGGCAGCATATATGTATGGCTAATGAAATCAATTTAATTTATAGTTTCGAAGTCTGACATTGGGTTATCAAAATACCACGAGTTCAGACACAATCCTCGCCTTTTGGAAAATTTTGAGCAAGCGAACATTGACTCTCTATCCTGGCGAAGGTGATCGCATAATGAGTATGTTAGCGGAAATCGAACGGTATCAGTATAGCATCGATCCACCGGATGCGTATATCTCTGCGGAAGCTTTGACTCATATAACGAATCGTATATTGAGCGACGAATATTCAATCTTGAGTCAAGAGGTAAAGACAGAGTTATAATGTCAAGCGAGGAACAGTTTCGAATAATAGATTTTAATAAGTTTTTTCTATCAATTTTAAAACATCTTTTTCGAGTTTGTTGTTGGCTGCAAAGTTTATTCTGGTATAAACTCAGACAAAAAATATTGTTATTCAGTTATTATTTAAAACTGTTTCGTGTTCAAAGCTGTCCTTCTCTCTTCTATCTATTGCAAGTTCGATTAAACTAATTGTAAATGATAAATTTTCACATGTTTTTTCTCAGAAGCTATCGGTGCTGCTTCAGCTTACGCAACGCAATTTAATTCACTGGTCCGAACAATTAAAAGACGTATACAAACATCTATCTTTATCATCTATGGTTGTAGATATTCAACAACTACAGTCTCACAATGGGGACAGTATCACTCATTCTCTTGAGATACCTTCAACCAATTATGTGTAATTATTCCATACATTTATAGATCATATCTATTTTATTATTGTTCCTTGGCAAGACTCTTGTCCTGAGAATAATATATTTTTGTCTATATTCTGTCTATATTCAAAATCATATTTAAACAAACCAACTTTTACATTTTCGTTTTGCAAATAATCTTTTATTTTTGGCAGATATCCTGATTGGTACGAGGACAAAATAACTATACGATTATCGATGAAAAGACAGCGCAACGTAAAATCTAACAACACATTTATTGGAATCGTTATCATGTATAAAAATATGTCGCACTTTATACCAAAAGCGTACGTTAAAGAGCTCGAGTAAGTTGATTTATTTGCGAAAGATCAGTTTACGTCTGCAAGAATAATTTCATCTATTTTTTTATAAATTTTTTTTATGGAGTAAAATTATAATCAAACTAAATTTGGACAATTTTAAAATTAATTTCTTCAGATTGTTAAAATATATAATAAAATGATTTTTTATAATTTATAGCGATGGCACGGATTTGGAGTTTCGCATAAATTCTCGAGTAATCACCGTCGCAGTTCCCTCTTTCGGCGCCGATAAACACAACAAAATCTGGGTTGATCTACAAATTCGACATTTACAAAATCAAACGGGTTCCTGGAATACGTCGTGCGGTCTAATGGATAATACCGGATCGTGGGATCTCAATACTTGCATAGCAAATACTAAATCCGGCGATGTAACAACGCAATGTCTGTGCCCTACTACGGGTACCATCGCTGTTTTCTTAACAACTCGTGCAATAAAAGTATGACTTCAATTTAAAGAAGTTTCACTTTTTAGTACATATATATTCCATTAAATTTCTATAATTAACAATCTTATTTCTAAATCATCTTAAATTTTCATTTAAAAAAGTAGAAACTGCATATCATAAAATTTCTTATAATGAAAAAATATTTGTATTACTAATTTTTCGAATGTTATAGGTAGTATTGGCAAAAACGGAACAGACTACGTTTATTATAATATTCGGATGCGGAAGTTGCCTCGTTCAGTGTTTGCTGTCTGCCCTGATACTAGGCACCTTTTGGTGGAAACACAAAAGCTGGCTGAATTTCTTAAAACTCCAATGCTGCGGTGCATTAATCGGCGCGATGGCAATCTTCATTTATGCCGTCCACACTAATCTGCCAGAAGTAATTATATCCTCATTAAGAGTTAAAATAATTTGCAAGGTCTATTTTAAATAATATTCTATCTTTCATTTCTTTTATTAAGTGGTCCTTATAAAATAAACTCTTGTTATAGTTTCTGTAAATTAATTTAATATAGATACTTTTTATTTTGGATACAATTTCGTATTTCAAAAGACCTTATAAATTTAATTGATTTTAAACATTTTCATTAATATTTTCTTACGTGTTTCAGTCATTTTATTCGCTCGTAGCAATCGGACTGGAAGCATGTCTTCTCGTAGGTATGTCTGCGCCTATTTCCGAGGCTCTAATAGTATATGCCGAACTCACGCAGATTCGACCGAGTCAGCATCTTCAGCCGACAGTAATCGCCGTGATAACCGGTACGTGCATTTAAATAAATAATTTCGCGTGTATAAAATTTCTCGTATCACTTATAGCTGCATGTGTTTCATCTTAGGTGTTCCGATCTTGGCTGTATTCGCGACCGAGCTAACACATAAGAGTACTGGATGGCGACATGAATCCTGGTGGCTCATATATGGCAGTGGCGTTTACAACATATTCGTCAGCTGTGCCACGATGATGTTTTTGGTATTCATGTTATTGTACATGGGGGTGCTTCACAAAGTTCACACATTAGTCGAAGAGAACGTGATGAAGAGAGAAGCTGTAGAAATGAGGTATGGACGCAGAATTCTACGTAAGATCTGTAACAAAAGTTGCGTGATCCTTTTACAAACCACCTCGATTTTTCTTATACATTTTTTTTACATTCACTTATTATATTCACAGAATACGAGTATTACATCGTGCGGCTATCGTTATATGTGGCATCATCGCCATGGAGGCATCCTCTATTTTTTACATAAATTCATCATCCGTGATTTTTCACTATGTATTCGCGTCCTTATCCTTTGCCCTGGTAAGTTTCACAACAATAATTACATATTTTCCAGTAGCAGATACGTTAAAATTATTATATAATTGCACAGGGCTTCAAAATAATAATTGTATACATCGTTAATGGCGAGAGTGCTATCATTGGGCCAATGTTGCGAAGAATTAGATGGAAACGCAACGAGGATGAAGAACACACGTCAGAACCTATCAAAGGTATTACGATATTCGTCGAAGATGCTCGATATTCTATATATTATAACATTACATTGAACAAGAAACAAAGAAATTTAAAAAGTATGTATTACAAAAATATGAATCTTACCACGTTATCTTCGTTAGTGTGCTCGAAAGCTGACGCAGAAGTGGAGAATGATTCGGCACTTCCACCAGCATCCTCCTCGATCGTCGGCGACATACCGTACCGGGAGGTGCGAGGCGTCGCCGTGGGTAGCATAGATATGCGCGAGTTTATGAATTCCGAATCGTCGTCCGGATACGCGAAATCCGTCCCCGTTCCAGTAACCGGCAGATTCCTGCCGGAAATCCGAGTGGACCATTCGGACAACATAGATCTGGAGAATTACAGTACAAGTCCGCGCAAGTACCAGGAACCGTCGACCGTGTTCGTCGACCCGAACTTTTCTGCACGCGGTTCTCGCTGCGTCAACGATGTGGTGGCCTACGGCGGTGATTGTTGCAGCTTCCGTAACGAGTACCGCGGCGATGGTAAGATCTTTCTGCCGGTGGCGAGCGTGTCCTCTGAATGTCCCTCGGCCAAAGTTCTCTGTAGCGCCGATGTGGAATCGCGATTGAGTGCCATGCCGGACGTCACGTTGGCCGTGAAGAGCGACGTCGAGCTGTCATCACGGACGAACGCAGAGCTGAAGAGTCGAGAGCATGTGGTGAGCGCAATCCCGGACATCGCCAATACGAGCGAGCGGAAACAGCCCGATGGCGAGGAGAAGACTCCGGAGATCGTGGTGACCGCTGGCTGCGACAGCACGACCAGCGGTATGCTGGATCGTATCTCTCACGATCTCGACTATTTGCTTAATCGCACGCACGCCAAAGAGGGAGCTTGAAGATTGAGACTGAGGAAGTTGAGGAACGTATGTCAAGTAAACGAGTGTAGATTATTAAAGTACTCCACACTAATCTTATGTAAAATGGATTTCGGTTAAATCAGTTAATTCTTTCATATGTTACAGCTTATGACCTGCTGAATAAAAGATATATGAATAATAGCCTCAAAGCTAAATAATGAACAGTTATTGAGCTCCAGCTGTCAAACTCGTAGAATCTGAGTTTTTCGTATTTGACTGGCGTAAATCAGTAACTGTCTATTATTTAACTTGAAGTCTATTACATTTTGTTGTTAGCAGATCATAAGCTACAACATATGAGAAAACTAGCAGATTGTACTAAAATTCAATTTTATATAGAATTAGTGCGGAATTTTTGAATTTATATAAAATCCTAGATGAAATTGAAATCTCAATAAAATCAGTTGCTTTTCTCATAGGTTGTAACTTATAATCTACTGAACAAAAAATGTAATAGGTTTAAAGTTAAATAATAGATAGTTACTGATTTACATGAAAAACTCTCTACTGGCTGTAACTCAATAATTGTCTATTATTAGCTTTGAGACTATTGAATGTTTTGTTTAGAAGGTTATAAGCTACAACATATAAAAAAACCAGCTGATTTAACCAAAATCTATTTCACATAAAATTAGTGCGAGGTACTTTGTACAAAAGAAATTTCGTCTCAAATATTTCCATGCATGGATAAGATAATCGTAATTTATCTCGCAGTGTAAAGTGTAGTTTATTTATATAGAATATTTCAAAAAACTTTTTTTGCATTTGTGTCGCTATGTAAGACTAGACGTGACACGTATAATACGTTGTAACGTATATACACGATCGTACTTGAAAGCTGTAAATCAAGATTTAAAATGATCATCTTTTTTAATTTCGCTGATTATGAATCGATAAATCGTAAAGGAACGATGCGAAAAGTGATTATAATCATATTCTATTCATCGGAATTAAGTTTAATCTTAAACTTTTCATGCTGTATTTATATTTACGTCCATTGTATGTCGTATGAGGAGACTCATCGTATCCCTTCCAATAAACGAATATAACAATCAAACGTACAGTGTACTACGTAAAATTTCGCGTGATTCTCTCACGTGTAGGACGTAAATTTTCAAAAGAGATGAGGTAAGCCAAGTAATAGTACTTCCGAGTTAAAGTATTTATTTATCACTGTCATCGTACAGCCCTTTCATAATATCCACGAGTCAGTCGTCGCGTTTTTTTCGTCGTTTATAATTTGTATTATAAAGCTATACACATTCAATTTAGTTTGATAATCTACTTACATACTTAAGATCGAAGTTTATGTTGTTGTAGGTAGCAGATACCTCTAGTTAGGGTTAGTCGTTTACTTAATGAAAAATGCTTCACTGAAAATTAATTCGACCGAGGTAAGAAATTGGAGCGGTATCTCTTGGCCAAGCACGTGTTATAAATGCAAAAGACATAATAAGATCTGTGTTAGTCTGTTAGCATTCAAATATACCTATATGACTAGTTTTTTTCTGTCTCAACAGATTTTTCTTAAAAATATAAAATATTTACAAGGATTTTTCAGCTAATTTTATCGAGATTTAATAAACCTTGGTTTAATCACATCAATAATACCCAAGTATAGAGTAGAGCCGTGGCTTTATCCGATTACTACCAAATTACTCTATTGAGCCAGTATTCACATAATCTTGCCTATGAAATTAAAAATATGGTAAATAAACGTTACTGTACTTTCTCTCTCTCTCTCTCTCTCTCTCTCTCTCTCTCTCTCTCTCTCTCTCTCTCTCTCTCCTCTCTCTCTCTCTCTCTCTCCCTCCCTCCCTCCCCCCCCTCCCTCCCCCTCTCTCTCTTTCTCTCTTGTGAACGCTTGTATATGTATGTTCGCTCACTTTTAGACAGACTTTATAATAGACTGAGTATTTTGGTGAAAGTAACAAGAGTGGTGAGAGATCAAAATTCATTCGAAAGAAACTGAGCGTACATCGTAATATTTTTTAAAATATTAAAATAAATTTTGTAATATTTTTTAAAATATTAAAATGAATTTTATAACAGCTGTACAATGAAGAGATAGTTTTGTACGCATGATTAAATTGATTCTGCTCGATTTTTGTATACACGAAATAAATTTTATGAGACACATATGATCACTTTGAAAAGCAGGATATAGAATTCCGACAAATATTAATGTTCACCTTTTTGCAATTCTAGAGACATGAGAAACACGCGATACATAATAAATTCTCGTAACTCTATATCTTGATAGATTAAATTACGACAGATAAGTATCAAATTGTACGTAGCTTCGTGTAAATATGAATCAATATCCAGCAAGCCCCCTAACTATCCTCTTAATTATACAATCACAAGTATTTGGTCTTTTTACATTAGATTCGTACACTCTTTGTCAATTTATCATGTATCTATGTAACAGGTTATAGCCTGTGTAACGTAAAAAAACTCTAGACATATAGATGGACAACGAAATTTGACAACAGAGTTATTACTTTGATAGTCTAGAAAAAATGAAAATAAAGACGTTCTAAGCAATCCCTAATTTGCAATCGTTTTTAGCTTAGAGTAGTATGTATACATATACATATATATATATATATATATATATATATATATATATATATATATATATATATATATATATATATATATAGCCACGGCACCCTCCCACCTTTACGTTCACTCTTTCTCCCTTTTCGTTTACTTAAATATAAAAATACATAGCCAGTCTATACATAAAGCGTGCAAAGTGGCACAGTGAACTGAGTTATCAGACGTTATCCTGGATGGTTAACTGCCGCTCTCGCTGATTGTCGGCGGTTCTGCGTCATCATGACGTTGATTCGTCTTGTTACTTGACACGGATATACCTGAGGTTTTTGGCAGCAGGTTAGTTGCACTATCACTATTGGATGTTGTGGCGTTGCACATGGAATTGTCAAAGTGTTGCAGACATGGGAATTCCGAACCGGGCAGCAATAAAGTAGTTTGAGTAGGAAGATTAGTTAAAGATACTATTCCTGGCGTCACCATTTGCTTGTTGAAATATCTCCTCAATGCCTCTTCGATTAAATTGGCTATTTTATCACGATCGTTCTGTAACATTTCATATAATATTTTGTGCAAAGTTGCTCGTAGATCCGAAACTCTAACAGATTACATAAAACGAGAAAAATTTCCTACCTCATTAATAAACCCAAAATGTACAAGTTCCTGTGCAAGAAGCATCGAAGTGTCTGTTTGGCTCACAGGACACGTCAATTGCCTATTCATCTTGTCATCCATTCGTAACAATATTGTCATCTGCAAAATTGATCGATTTAAGATATGAGATCGCTTTATTTATAATATAGATTATCTCGCATACTAAAAATATTCTATGCATGCCACTCACAAGTAATTCACTACTATCTTCTCTAGGCTTAACATTACACATCATATTAACTACTCTTCGAGACTCCACGTCCACGGGCTCGGGTGTAACCGATTTAACCGATTCTGTCACTTCGGGCGATATCGCCCTCGGTCGGACAGGCGGGGGCAATTTCGCCATAAACGCAGTCAATGGATATATTCCATACCTGGCAATGTAAAATCACTGGTTACCAATTTATCCGATGTAGTAAGAGACCAGACCGATGTATCTCACGTGTGATTGAGATACTCACTTTACATCTTCAACAAATTTTTCTAATTTTTCCGTAACCGGAATATCACTTAAACGAATTTGTTGCGGGGACATCCCTTGATATTTTACTTCGACAACTACAGTGTCTGGTCCATATAGCCTTTGTAACACTTCGTCTGTGATTGTTTCCGAAATGTTAGCTGTAAAACATCAACATTAAATTAGAGACAAGATTTAGATAATTAAATAATTTCATATAATCATAATTATTTTTTACATCTAGTAAAATAACAAATTATTGAATGAAATTGCTTTTCAACTTACTAGCTGAGTTGACCAAGGCATGCGCTGCGAGCAACTTGAGAGAATGTACTTCGAATAGAAGAGGATGAAATAGCAGCTCTCTTGCACTCGGTCTACTAAGCGGGTCCACCTGAAGACATTTACGAATAAAATCTTTTTGTTGAACATCGTCTAAAGATTCTATTGTCTTCTGGATGTTCTCTTCGGTAACGATTGTACCCGTATCACCGTTTCCCTGAATTTCCAGCGCGGCCATTTCCAGAGCGCACATCCCAAACGAATAAATATCGATGGCTGGTGTGACGGAATCTTAAAGAAAGACACAATAAAAGATTTAAATTAAATATATAATCTGTGTATAAAGATATAAATAATACACTTACTTCCATATTCTGGGGCTACAAAATGCGTATTCTTCATATTTGTCCTACATGTTTTGATGTGATGATGAATTGCATCTGGAGCCACTGTAATTAGAAAAAGATTATTGTCATTTTTATAAACTGTTCCATTTCAAACTAAGTATCAACATAAAAATGACATATTAATGTGAACGCATTTGATAATGTGTTAGAAAATTTTGTAGGACAGCCATCAAACAGAATTGTATATGATCTAATAATTAATCAAATATATTTTAGATACATATTTGTAACACGTTCTGTATGTTTGCTGACTACATCGAGATGAATGAAATCACTCTAGAAAAATTGTGTTTCTGCTAAATATTTATCCTAAGAATAACTTGAGTCCTCATACAATTAATTATAATTCTCGCATATACACATGTGTGAAAGTGCCTCTGAAAAGAGAAGTATATATATATTTTTTTGGAAAAATGTACAAATAAAACATAAATGATTATTTTATTGAAAAAGTAGCTTTACATATTTGACTGCAGTTCTGCTATATATAAAGAGCCACTTTCATTGAATAAAAATAAATATAAATGTTGGGAGCGGAAAAATTTTGAGGAACTCTTTTTTATCAAGGATTATAGGATATACGAATAAAAAAATGTATATATATTAAAATACAATGAAAAGGCGTGCGCTAGATGATTGTGAAAAGGACAAAGAGATATACAAGTAAACTTTGCCCTTCTTATAGTTAAATACAATTAATAATAATCAGAAAATTAATAATGCAACATAATGGCACTCTAATGAAAAAAATTTAATAAATTTTAATTATTTGTATATTTAACGCGAGAAACTACTTATATAATTAATATAGAAATTGTTTACCTCTCTTCCTAATTTACTTAGCTGACATTAGATGATGACAATCTGCCAAATGAGATTTTTTTCTTGAATATTCACCACTTTTGACAATAACACCAATTGAAGGACACCGACGTTGGTGGATTTATCCTCTTGATGGACGAAAGTACGATTTGTACTTCCTCTCTCTTCAAAGGCTTTGCTGTGTTTTTTTCATTATCTAGATTAGCCTATTTGCTACAATTAAAAATGAGGACTCAAGTTACTCCTAATATGAAAAGGTAGTTTAAACACAATCTTTCTAATGGACTCATGTTACTAACATTATAAAGAAATGCAAGGAGAAATGTTTTATAATCTAAAGAGTAGTAATATATATAAATAATTATAAATTATTTCAAAAATAAATATAATTCAATAGAACCACATTCATTCCCATCACAATCAATATTCGATTCTTAACATACATAGTTTTGTACATTCATATGCATAATATATAATATATATGTATGTATGTATGTATGTATGTATGTATGTATGTATGTATGTATGTATTTATATATATATATATATATATATCTCTATCTATATATATATATCTATCTCTCTCTCTCCTGTATGTCCTCTATATCTCTTCTATCTATCTCTATCTATATATATCTCTCATCTCTATCTCCTCTCTCTTATTAGCCCCTGCTAAAAAAAAAAAGAAAATTTAACTATTTCCCCTTAACTCCTCCATAATTCCTGTTTTCTGCTTCCTCCCTGTGTGTATCCATAACCTTAATAAATATCATTTTCCCAGATCTTTCTCTTCCCCTTAATAATCTCCCCTCTCCTCTAATTATAATTCTTCAAAAAAAAAATTTTTTTCTCCGCCTCTTTCCCTCCCCTCTTCTTTCTTCCCCTCGTTTCCATGTGTGCCCTTTACCCCCCGTACCTCTTTTGCACACAATAAGATGAATGTATTATTTGTCCTGTTTGTTCAATCAGAAGCTGAGTCATATATAAATTTATTTACTTTCAATTGAATAATGAAAGTAAATTAAAAGCATGTAATATAATTCTAAAAATATCTGCTTCACCTATATTTTTAATACAGCATGTTAAACAAAGAGTTTAGGAATTGGAAGGCGCAGTATTCAGTACTTAAATTGAATAAAAATGTTAAACATAGATTTGCAATTTTCATTCAATTTAGTGTAAGTTCAACATACCCTCTTCATTTTTTAAACGATATATATAATAGAGAAAAGAGTAGTAGAGAGTTTTTAAGATTACAATTTGTGCTCTATTCCTCTTTGTACATTTCTCAGACAAAAAATTAGTGTAATATTTGCTACTTTGCTATGAAAATTTAATAAAACAAAGTTAATAAAATAAAGATGTATAATTTTAATAACCCTGCAAATGAGAAAAAATGGAGATACCTCACATATAGTCTCATCTTGATATATAATTGTGATTATTTCATTCAGAAAATAATAATCCTGCCATATGACAATCTGTTTTTACCAGATTTTATAAATTCAAATAGAATGCACAGACATGCTATCTGTTTAAATATAAAATGATATTTCTGTATACATTATGCATTTAATGTAACAGAGAAAGTTCATTATATTTTTTTTTCTTACACAAGTACTTACCTGAACCAATTTTTACAAGACCATTATGTTGAATAAATATAGTGTCACAGGTAAGATTTCCATGTATAATGGGAGGCGAACAGGAATGCAAATAACTGAAACATTTTAAACATATATATATATATATATATATATATATATATATATAAATAAATATTGCATTTGCATGATACATTATAGTATTGTTTATATTACCTAAGCGCAGAAAGTATTTGCGTACACCACCGTTTCCACGCTTGTAGAGGCAACTTTTTTACATTGCGCTTTGTTCGTTTTAGGAACTGTTTCAGGGACCCGGATGACATATATTCTGTTATAAATATAACCTGAAAAATAATATAAAAGAAAAACTCATTAATAATATATACATAAACTATATTTACATATAAACGAAGAAATTCATGCACTTACTCGGGGTTTGTCATTATGGGTATCTGTCCAATACCTATGAAATTTAACAATGTTAGGATGCTCCAACTGCGTGAGATTCTCAAAAACGAGTTGTATTTTTTCTTCCTGGGCTTTGAAATTTTTTCTTTCCGAAAATTGCACCTCGTTCCACACTACTTCCACACCCTCCTCTGTGTCCATTGCTAGATAAGCACAGTCAATTCCAGGAACATCTCTCTGTTCCACCTACAGACACAAAAAAAGTATTAATTCCTGTATATTTCTTAACAAAAATAAATGAAAAAAATATGAAATTATTTTATTATAAAAATTTGCAGATATATGGCACTGTATATAATATGAAAATAATCTCTCTTGCTGCATTCAAATATTAAGAAATTTAAAAATATTATTCAGATAGCCCAAGATCATTCAGTCATATTTATAAGGACTAAATGAGAGATTCTTAATAATATCTTTCTTATTAATAATATCTTTAAGTTCACAATTATCTAGATATTTTAGATATTATTTATAATACTTTATTGTAAATGCATTATAAATGCATATCGTAGGCTGCGATTTGAACAGATTTATTTGATACAATTTATAGGTCTATATATAGGTATAATGGATTGCATTACTGTAATCATCCATTTTAAACGTACTTAAAGTGGCACATTGAAACGATTTCAACGCCTATTTACTATTACATGGATGTGACCTTGTCAAGAATTTAAAGAGGGGAGATGATTCAAAGGAGGGCTTGCCACCGCAGATATTAGAGACAATAATGTCCAGCTAGTTCATAATAGTATAACATATGCAAATTGTTATTGTCTTCATTCAAATTATTATAATTCTCGGCAAAATGCTTTGAAGAAATGAGAAACTAACAACTCAATGCACACAAGTATAATGAAACGTAAAAATTATCCTGCTTCCTGTTTCACAATGTTACATACTTCCATTTCAGTGACTTCGTTTTCAATTCCTCTTGTCGATCCAAAGTTAGAACCTTCAGCTAACGTAGATTTTGAACCTACATATACCTGAAATAAATATATCTTTTATGATTAATGTAAAATGTATAGGCATTATAAATATAAAAATACACGTATGCAGATGTATATAAAATAATGTTAAAGCTATTTCATAAAATAAAAAAAAGCTAAGAGAGATTATATTATAATACAAATAACACTTTATAAAGCATATATCATTAATTTAAAGGAAATAATAATCAAATTATAAGTTTTACTCTGTGGTTTAGAAGCATAAAAATAAAATACATATACCTAAAGCATAGTAAGATTATTTTTTATAAACAAAAAATTTATCATAGTTTTAATATTGAGATAACAGAAAAATGTGCAAAATATATGCAAAGTATTCACAAAATGTAATCGTATTAAAATCAAAACCATAATTGTAGAAAATTCATGTAGGTATAAAGCTAGTCTTTTATAATGCCTTTTAAAGCGATAAAAATGATTTTACTTATAAAGGATAATGTTAGAAAGTGCTGAGATGAGGTAAGCATAATCAAAATAATTTCATTGATTTATATATTCGATAACAGAACGCCAGCAATCTAATTTTAGGATAAAATATGAATGAGCTTAATATTGGTGAGATGTTTTTGCCAAGAATCTGCTATGACTTAAGCTACAGATGAAGCATACCAAATAATAAGAGATATTCAATAATACAAAAGAAATATTTATGTTACACAAAAGCAAATTCACAATAATCTGCATATAATAGAACCATCTGTGTACATACGTCCACCTGTATAAATGCAACTTGAAATAAGTTGTTCTAATATTTATTACTATACATTGTCAAAATCATTTTAAACAAATTCATGTTAATGATACTGTTTCAGAAAAAATATATTGCAAATAAAATTAAGATATAAAGAAAGATGTGAATGCAATATTATGCGATTAAGTCCTCAGAGTGTTTTTATGATAATTACAGCCTGCTTATACTATGTTATGAAAATATTGATCATTATACATTAGAAACATCATTAATAAAATAATTTACATAAAATAACTTAACATATGATTCTAGTGACTGCAAGAACCTAAAAAAACAGAAAATCACTCTTGGAACAATCAGCTAAACAAGTAGTAAAAACCAATATAGAAATCATATAGCAAATCAATATTATTAATCTATGTTCCAACAACGATAAACATTAGAAATGTTAATCAAGTTTTAAAAGACATCTAAATGACGTGCAAAAGAACAAAAACATTTCTCATATGTTTTCTGCGGTGATGTTTGTTAGAAAATGTTGCATACTGTGGAAAGTTGCAATGCCTCGAATGCAAAATGGTCCAGTGTGCAAAAGCCCTCCCCACACCAGCGGAGAGGTATGAAACTGTACAGAATGAATGTAATAATTGAAAGGAAGATGTACCTCTTCCCGGCGTTTAAGCCACCGCCCGCACGGGCTCTCTTCCAGGATTTCGCTCTCATCCTCGGAGTCTTCACCACTTTCCCGCGGTGACTTGTGCTCTGGGTCCGTGCTGGAGCGGCTCCCGGGCATCACACACGCTTGCGATTAGTTAGAGAGGCAGCAGCGAACAGCAGGCCAAACTCATCGGTGACGACGGCGATGATGCTCTGTCTCTCTGTCTCTCTCTTTCCTTCAGCCTCGCATCGGGCTCCCGCCACGACAACGACCGGCGACGTACTGTGACTCGTGGTGAGGATGTACGAGGAAAACAACAGCGGCGACAGCGGCAGCGTCGTCGGTGTCTGCTACAGGAGCAACAGGAACAGCGGCGGCGGCGACGATGACGACGACGAAGACGAAGACCGCAACGGCAGTGGCAGCAACAACAACAATAATAATAATAATAACAATAGTAATAATAATAATAATAACAATGTCGCAAACAACGGCGCACCGCGCGTTTACTCGTGCGTAAGAATACGCGTGTAGGATAGGGTAGGGTACTACTACGTGCCCTGGTCGCACTGCACTCACAAGTGACACATGCAGGTGCACACAGCGCGCCCGCTCGTCTCCGACTGGCTGAGACCTGGAGCGACGATATTTCTGATCTTACGCGACGTACGCGCGCTAATCGACGCTACTCGGCTTCGCTCAGGGACGCGTCGTGGTGCTGAACATCGCGCTACCCGCTCGCGTATCGCACTGTCAAAATAAAACCTCCCTATTGTGAGCGAAACTGCCTCGATGTGACACACACTCTGGCACTCATCTTCGCCTATGCCTTCGATCACGTACGTCAGTCGCGATCACGATGATCGCCCCTTTCGACGCTCCGTCTCGTCCGCGAGCGCGACGCCATCTGTCGGCGAGTCGCCCGCGACACGCCCTCCACGACGAGCGGAGGCCAATCACCGCGCGCCCTCGTCGCTCGAGGAACGCACTCTCTTTGTTATTTTCGTTTGTTCGTGTCGCGTGGAGAGGCATCAGCCAGCACGATGTTTTTAATGAAATATTGATATTTTACGTCTACAGCTTTTGCGTCTTCTTCTTGTATATATATTTTCCTCTTTTCTTCTCTTCTCTTTTTACTATAGTATATATATCCGGATATTGGAAGAAGAAAAAATAGAATTTTGTAAGAATTATAAAGAATCTCATTTTGAAACAAAAACACCCGATATTTGATATTTATTTACAGGTATTTATATAATTTTATATTTTATTTAAAACATTCACTAATAAATTTTGACAGAAATAAGCTGAGGAATCAATATATATATATATATATATATATATATATATATATATATATATATATCTGTGATGATTCATTTGGAGAGATAAAGGCGTATAAAAAATTAATATGCGCAGTGTGTTCTAGAATTTAAAAGTAATAAGCAATTATTATAATATAAACGTCTTTTATACATATACATATATATATATATATATAGAATTTTTTAGTAGATATTTCTTTCTGGACTTTTTTGAAGTGATGATTTCAATCTTTGGAAAAATCGATTTATCTCGAAACTCAATATCGATATTATCGCATTTAGCGTGTATGGAAAATATTTATCTATTTTTTTTTATATATATTGACTCTTGAATAAAAATATATTATCTTTATTGGAGATTCGAATAAAAATTAGTGATCATTTTACTAAACGATGATTCGATTTCGACATATAAAATGTCCGTTTTAACCCAATGACTTGGATGATTGGTTATGCTTGTTGACTTATGTGCGATACGATGCGATATGCGTTCGAAGAAGCAACATGTGTCGAATTATTAGTTTGTCACTTGACGTCTGCGTGATACATTGTGTAATGATTACGTTTAAATACACATATTACTAATATTTTATTGATAAAGTTGCACAAAGTATATCAAATAGCATCCAATATCACATATCCACAGTGAGTGTTGACGTAATCATACCTTTTCTAAGTACATTATCGGTTTTCTTTGTATTTTTTTTTTTTTCATCGTAATTATCACAACTGTGCCATAAATATTTTATCTCTTTTTTTTTCTTTGTGCAACTACGTATTGTGTTACGCAGAATGGCATACATAGAAACATTGCCTATACTAGAAGGAGCAAAAGTAATTGTTATAGATGAAGGTTGGTTATTTCTTAAATAAATTACTCAATCTAAGTCAACAGTTTATATATATTTTGCAAAAAAAATATTAATTACTTCACAGGATTAGATGTAATGTATGCAGGAGCATTGATAGCTGGATGGCTACAGGCATGGAAAGAGAAAGATCTTAACTATAGTATCGATTGGTTGTCATTTTCTGATCCAAAACTATGGTATGAAAATGAACCTGGACCGTTTACATCCAAAAATGTACATTTACACGATTATTATACTGTCAATGTAAATGAAGTTGCAAAGAAAGATTTGAAAAATCTTGAATATATACTTAAAACTGTCAAGTTGAAACCTCGGAATACAGTTATTGTCAATTGCTTGAGTTCCTTAGTTCTATATGTAGGTCTAGCAAAAGCCCTACGATTCATAGAACAATTAAGTAAACAGGTGTCGCAACTTATATGTATTTATCGGAGAGATCTTGTACAGAAAATTCCTGCAGTTGAAACTTTGGGTACTGCTTATGTTAAGCTGGAGAAATTTACTGGAATTAATTCAACAAACAATTTAATTTATACTGCAAGACTCATCTTTAGAAAATTGAGCAGTTCTTTAATATGTCAAACAGAAATAATAAAACAAGATAGTATATCTTATCAGATTTATGCTGAAAAGATTGCAACAACAAATGGTCGCAAGTCAGAAGTAAATGAAAATCAATCAGTAAAAATTGAATCGTCGTTTAGGATAGAGATGAATGCTCGAGAAATGGAACAAAGAGATAAAACACCTTTACCTTATACTCTAAATGCAACAAATACATCTAAAATATTTTATCATCCAGATGATGTAGATGATATAGATGAAGAGGATCCTGATGATGATTTATGTTTTTAGGGGTTTGTAAAAGTTCTGATTTATAAAAACATGTTTATAATACATATTTTTATATAAAACTGTCTTTTATGTAATTTATTGTTCTCCAAATTTTTTTAAGCATCCAGTATATATTTTATAATAATAAAAAAAAAGAGGAAATAATTTTGTATATCAATAAGCATTTGCATTTTTGATATAATTCGTGTATTTATTATCTATCGGCATTATACATAGTATATATAAAGATTTATTCTAATAAATTAATAAAACAATAAATAGTACATTATAAGAAATAAAATCAGATTCGGTCTAATAAAAAATGTCAAGCTATTGTATTCATTGAAGAAACCTTACTCGAAACTTCTTATCATACATTTTTCGTCATGATCAGTAATATAAACTATTAAATCTTTTGTGTATATTTTAAATATTAATGCAGAATAAAAAAGTAAAATGTTTGATATAAACATTGCAATAGTTTAAAAATACTTTTTATATTTTCTTCTTTATTCTTCAATCATTATTTCCATTATATCACACTTTGAATTAAATATATTATACTAAATAATTAAGATTTTAGCATATAAAAATAGCCTTTTTGTAGGAGATTTCTCTATGTTAAACTGTATATTGAGAGTGAAGTATATAATATATTAAACACAGCCTTTACTCATTTGATACATAATTAATTAATTGTAGTAAATAGTTAACAAAAAACCATTTAATACTGATGCTGAATTTCACTGAATAGGAATATATTATCCTACTGTGCAAAAAAATTATGCGTCGCGTTTCATTAACATAAATATTTAAAAAGATATTTCTCTTTTTGATCGTTTTTCCGAGATGTCCTAAATAAATTACACCACATAAATAAAATTTTAACAAAATAAAAACTGTGTAAATAAATTAAATAAAACAATTTGTTGTGCTTTTCAAAAAATTTCAAACACAGTTAAATTCTATTCATAGTCATGATAGTTTAGCCAGTAAACTTATCTTCATCTATGCATTATTTTGATATTAATTTCATTCTTGCTTTTATGAATAGTAGAGATCTTTTTCTCTTAAAGAAAATTATTCAATCTAAAGCCATAAATCAACATAAAGAATATAGAAGTTTCAATTTTATAACAAATTATCATAATTAAGTTATTTCTTTCGATTTTCTTATTCAAATATTCAATATTTGAAATATTGATACAAATAGAACTAATTTGCCTCGTCGAAAACATTCGAAAATTTAGTTATATATTGAACGTATATAGAAGATTTTGATCATAAAAGTGATGTGTACCATCGACATGTTGCAGGACTCTACTCTCTAACAAACAACGACCATATTGTACAGCGTCCTCTCGACTGCTGACAATTCCGACTTCAAGCAACCAGTTGACCAAATCTGATCCCGAAAAGACTCCTTTGTATACTTTCAACAATCGCCTACGGCACATAGATATACGTGCTCGACATGCCTCTAAATGACATCGATTAAACTGTTCTCGGATCGTCCTTGCTTCTGAACTGAGAGCATCTTCACAAGGTAATTGTAATTCTTTTCCTGTAAATATAAAATATTATTAACATATATCAATCAATACATGTATCAATCAATAAGTTCATTTTCTATAAAAAATTAACCTAGTTATAATTTTATATATTGTGCATAATTTATGTGCATAAATACACATAAACTTGTGTATAAATATGAAATGTATATAAAATGATGTTAGAGTATTATGTTAGAGAAACCATACCAGATTGCCACTTCTTGCACATTTTTTGCAACCAACTTCCTAATTTACCCAAACTAGGATCTAATCCAAAGATGGCAAAAGCTATTAAAGATTGTCCAAAATTGAACGCGACATCCAAAAATGCAACTTCGGCATAAATACCAGTTAATTGCTCCATTATTAATGTTCCAACAGATATCGATAAGCCCTATAATATGTCAGCATTGATTTCACAATATCTTAATAATGTCCAATTGATAAAAGCAATTTACGCACAACAAACATGGAGCACAATAGTAAAATAAGAAAAACGAGATGTCGTAAAATTTGCGGATCGTTATCTGTATTTGTTTCATTTTCTTCATCGCAATCTCTCTCTACATCATCAGCTCTGCATGCTCCATTGGAACAACCATTTTGAAATTCACAGCCAATTCTGAAAATATTGTTTATAGTTAATTTGCAAACTTTTATTCACATATTTCTATATTTTATGAACTTACCGAGATGCATTAATTAATGGAGAACCTAAATCTTCTACATCTACTATATTTCTCTCATTATTTTCAATTATAGTATTTTCTGTATTATTCCGTACACGTTCATATGACTCTATTGTAATGTGCCTTCTTTGATATCTTTGTTGTAAGATCAAACAACCTAATGTCACTATATAAAAAATAGTTATTAAAAAAATTCTATATCATTAAGATATTAAAAATGTCTTCATAAAATACAGCAACATATTATAATACTAATTTAAAACATACATGTTGCTAAATATAAAAAATGTGAATTAATATCTCTAATTAAAATGTACCTATAAAGCAGAATATTAATATGAATGAAGATGCAGCAGCTTGAGTTCTGCCCAATTGAAAATTCGGATTTTTTAAATCAAATTCAGAAGGAGGTAATGTAACAGTCGTGCACATTATTATCACCATTAAAAGTGGTATTCTGTAAATTATTATACATTATATAAATATATCGCGAGTAGAAATATTTGTATAAAAAATTAGAGAAAAACATGTATCCTTACCCCCAACCAATAGGATAAAACCATTTTTGTAGATTTTCAACAAAGGACAACGAACGTGAACTCAGAAATAGTAATATTGCTGCAATTGCAGCCGTCCAAACTCTGCTTGCATATACGCCAGTAGTTATTAAAATGAATTGAATATACCTATAATTAATATAAACGATTAATAATAAAATTCTATTTAATAGAAAATAATCATAGTATAACATTTTTATTACCATAATGTTGATCGATTAGCGTTTGGGTCCAGTGTTGACCAAATTATCACACCCACTGCTGCTGCAAGCTGAAATATATGAAAAATATATTGTATATGAAATTAAACTGACTATATACAATGTAGAAACACAACTTAATAATTTGTTTTATATATATATACCTGCGCAATTACGAGACACAGGGTGCATCGATGAGTGACTTGATTATATCTTTTCCGTCCAAATCCAAGGAAACATATCAACAACCATATGCAAGCTATTGCTGACGCAACGCTTATGTCAAAGGAAAAAATATTTAATTGCCGTGCATAATTAGCCGACGTACTTCCAGCGTAAACTGCATTGATCACTTTAGCCGATATAAACATGAGCGGGGCAGAGAGAAACGTACAAGCTACCATTGCTGAGGCGATCAGATCGATTTCGAGATTATATCGTAAAGTGAAAATAAATAGAGCCGGTGCTGTCGGGATAGTACCATACAGGAAACCATAAGTGCTCAAATTTCTCGTTTCCGTCAAGTTATCTCCGGCATTCAAGAGAATAATAGATTCTCTTATGACTAGAGGCAAGACTAGCAATTTCACCGAAATCAATATACCCGGTATAACTAGCGCTGTACCTTTCAATTTGTGTATCTTTCCTACCATCATTGAGCCAAGAAGGAACAATGCGCTAGCAGAGAAAGCGTTACCAAGTACTTCAAGAATTGCGGCGAGTAAGCGTGGTACACTGTGACTAAATATAAGATTGCCTACAATGCCCAAGACTGTCATGAACAGCACTGGATTTAATACGACACCTTTCACAATGGAATAAACCATATTTTTACAATTTGTGTGCTCTTCCACACGTCGCTTGCCTATTTCCAACAGTACAAAACCAATCGGATTTAAAATGGCCAGCGATATAGGCGCCATCAGATATAGATATGCAGCATATTCTGGATGAGTTTTTCCATATAAAGCATTAACTGAAAAGACGATATTTAGTGTGAATAAATTACATACTATAAAATAGCATAGAATTATGTGTAAATATTCCATTGTTCTCACTCATGGGATATCCAATAGCAAAATCATTGCTTTGAGTAGTAAATATTGCAAAGAGAGCAGCACGTCCAGGATTCGATGGCTTTTTAATTACTAATGAAACTGCAAGTACAGTAATAAACACACTGCTCTTAGCAAGCAATACAGCAAGCAGAAATTTCCAGTTCACCAATGTGAAATCAAGTTTAGCCAAAGACATGAAGATTAATGATGGCAGAGCAAAAGTGCCAACAAAAGTATTCAGACCATTTGCTTCGGTTTTGGTCATCATACCAAACCTTCCTGCTAGATATCTGTAAAATATATATTCTCATTATTACTAGTATAAAAATTTCAATTAATCATTTATATAAATCATTTAATTTATATTTAATATGTGAAAAGAATGAAGAACAATATTACAGTCTGAGAGGTTTGAGAATATGTTATATTCAAATTTTTAATAGTTTCCCCATTTGACTATTTAGACAATCAATAAATGCATTCTTACCCACATAATATAATACCAAAGCATTGTATCAGTGCAAGATATAAATTATCTGTTGGTTCATCCTCCGTCTGTGTGGAATATTGATTGGTGTTCGAAGATAAATAAGTTGATAGTACACTTTCTTGTTTAGTCTAAAATTTAAAAAAGTATAAGATAAGAAATATCTTATATATATAAATTTGCAAGTAGCATAATAAAAAAGGATATTTATTTTATTTCTATAATATACATACCATTTTTTTCTACTAAATTAATACAATTCTACTTTCTGTTATATCAATAAAATATCATCTCTTTAATATATCGTAATTAATGCTGTAACAGTAATCTTTTTGTGTAATAAACTCATATGAAGTTTTCATATTTCCATTAATATAAAACAAAGAATATCCTTGTTTTAAAAATACAAGAACCTGTAATCACACACAAGAGTTTTCTTTTAGTTCTTTATATAATTTTAATGCTTTCACATTCATTCTTTTGCACTTTAATAGATTTGTTAGTAACATATGTTTAGAGAAAGTGAAAATCAATTGTAAAAAATATGTATTTCAATATGTGCACACATGTAAAGATATGAAAATTATGTAAAATCAAAAACTATTTTCTTGTTAAAGAAAAAGAATAAGTTATTTCAGACAGCGAGACGTTTTGATAGTATAAAATATACAGGATGATTTGACACTTTATCGCACAAATACCTAAAACGTCACTGTATAGTAAGAAATATGTCGATCATTCGAAATACACGCTTTTCTAGTCGAAAATGCGTTAAAAGAAGGGAAAATTTCCGAGTACCGGCGAATATTCTCAATTTTTAGCAACAAGAGATGTGAATCGAGATTGCTATCAATCATTAGGCGCAAGGACGAAGTCCGGCATAACGTACGCCATTCATTGCACGCACGTCGCAGGTGATAACCGCGCAGTCGCGAGTCGCGAATATTGGCGGTCTCAGCAAGCGAGCGAAGTGCGCCGCAATTGGCTCCTTGCGCGTCATATGACTTGCGCGAAGCAGTCACGTGTTCAGGTGTAATCAGCTGATTTCAGCTGAGTAAGTTTTTAAAATGTTAGCACTTAGCCGGAACGTGAAGAAGGGAGAGATACATGGTTTGTTACATTGATTTATTATAATAAATCGAAAAGGCTCGATGCAAATACAAATTCAAGATGGACACAGACTAAGAATAAAATGCACAAATTAGCAACAATTATTATTATAAAATACTTTTCTATTTAAATTGAACGTTTCGATCCTTTTTATATATAACCTCCTTAATTTAGCGCAATGCAGCTTTATATGGTTATGCCGAATAATTTGCATCCTAAATTAAGAAACATAGAAAGTTGATATAAATTTTTATCAATATTTAATACATATACAATATCTTTATATATTTACACAAAAATGTATTATACATATATATAACATTTTTCTTATAAAATATTTATAAACTATATCTTGTATTCCTATATATTTAAAGCATTACTTTTAGCATTAATAAATTAATTATTTTTTTATGGAAAAAATAAAATATATTAGATAAATATACATATAAATAATCTTTCGTAATATATATTTTAAAAATATATAAATTTATAACGCCATTTGACATGTAACATTAAATATGCAAAGATGATAATCTTTTTCACATACTAAAATATCATATTAAAATTATTGCTAGAAATTATTGTTTTATTATATAAAAAATAATCGCGATATATTATGTGCTCAATTATCGAACGATAAGATTATTTAACAGTGTATTATGAATTTTCTAGAGCTTCAATAAATCCAATTAATTGCCATGTTACTTGTATCTCTCGGAAGATCTGAAACTTTTCTTTTAACACCTGAAGATATAAAGATTATAAAAGATCTTTTCTAAAAATTAATGAACTTGACCAAAGTGGCAAATATATTTGTTAATTACAATCATGACGTTTCGACTATTATTTTTAGGTTCTTTCCAAGTGAAATTATTCTTATTTCAAGTGATATTATACTTATATATATATAAGTAAAATTATTCAGCAACTAAGCGACCTTTATTATTAAGTCATATATATGTTATTAAGATTTTCGGTATTCTTTTGTAAATTTATTGTGTTATTGTTTTTCTTAATATAGAACATTTCAGCATAATCTCTCTTTTCTTAGTATGTTTTTCTTTATGTAAAATATACAAAAAATATTTATATATTGAAATGTTCTATATCAAGAAAAACAATAACACAATAAATTTACAAAAGGACACCAAAAATCTTCATAACATATATGACTTAATAATAAAGATCGCTTAGTTGATGAATAATTGTCGAATGTGCCTGAAGTGTATCAATTGACAGAAGGAGTTTCTCCTATAATTGTCTAATTACATCTTGTAAGTTTATATCTTTCTCATTTATTTGTATATTGATTACTATATCTTGTAATTTTCTCCATTTTTCATTATATAGATCGCTTGAAAAGGACCTAAAAATAATGGTCAAAACGTCGAGATTGTAATTAACAAATATATTTACCAGTTTGGTCAAGAGATAAGGAGTTCATTAATTTTTATTATAATACTGGCGAGTGTCAATTTCTATCCACATCTATATTAATCTTTTCTAAATATTGTTGTTATTAATTTTATCTTTTGTCTTTTTAGATGGGGATATTATCAGATTATCAAAATAAAAATTGGAACATATATTATCATTCAGTTAACTTTTTATATTTTACTGCTGGCGACTTCTCTACATTTTGTGTACGTATTTTTTTAATAATCTATTAATATTTCCGAATTTTAATAATGTTTTTAATTTTAATATATTTACTGTCATTTATTCATTTAACTTTTTATAATCTTATCGTTATATTACTTATATTTTCTATTTGAAGATATGTAGCGATTTTATTTTGATTAATGCTTCCGTTTCCGATTACATCATATATTTTCTTTATGCTTTCTATCTCCTTAAATAAATCTGAATATTAATTAGTAAGAAATTTACACATGTGTGTCTCCTTGAACATATACACTTCAGAACATTTATAAATCATATATATCTCTTATGGACTGTAAATATATTAACATAAAAGCTATTAAAATGCGATAACAAATGACAAAAAAGATCATTAAAGTATCATAAAAAATATGAAATATCTTTCGGATGAAGTGTAAGCACGATTTCTAAAATACTGCGTACAAAATATATTATTCGAATATATTGTTTAAAAATACATATGTAGATAAAAATATAAATATTAATATGTATCATACATTATTACATGTGTACATAGTAATTAAAATTAATCGAGTATATTTTATTGTGGTAAATATTAATATTTTTTATTGTGGTAAAAATATTAATCAGAGAAACTCTTAAAATTCTTTCATATATTATTCCAAAATGACCATGATTTTCAGGGTAAATTCTAAGAGAAAATTCTCTTTATGTACAAATTAAGAAAATAATATATTAACCAGCGCATTTTGACTGATTCTTGTTGTTATATATTTCTTGCAAATATATTTTCATCCGAAAGAACTAATGTATATCGTATAAAAACAAGATTTTAAAAAATTATCATTTAGTTTTAGACCATGTTAATAGCACGTAAATATTAATAAGTATATACGTGAGCATGATATCATTATATTAACGTTATGAAGCTCACGTATATCATATGTTATCCACTTGGCAAAATTAAACCGCAATTTTACAATTCAATGACGCGTACGTTGCAAAATAACATGCCGTTTTTTCATACAGTTTTTTCCTTGAGCCACATAATTTTCTACAAACACTTTTTCTTATTCTTCAACCACGCCAACGCGTGCTGTTATATTCGCTTACGTAAGCACCTCGATGTATGTAATTGCAGTTCCTATATAGATATTTATATATTTAGGTGCTCATTTGACTGTTGAAGTTGCATATCGCCGAGGATCTTGTATTCAGATTTCATCGATGACGCACAAATTGCGAATAATTCCTGTTCATTGAAAAAATATACTCATCCAACGAGAAAAGAATAAAGCTGCATCCCTGTGAACAAATTCTCTCTAATTAGTAAGTATATACTAATCTATAGTTAACAAAACCGAACGTGTGCGTTGAAAATAAGTTACAAAAAGTATCATTTATATTTAGAAAAAGACTAATTCGATTATATATTTTTTTCTATATTGTTTTTTCTTCGACAGATTTTAAGATATTCAAATTTTAAATATACTATGCATTACAATCTGAAATTACATTTTAAGCCGAAATTATTCGATGAAACTGAACGGTACGGAAATAAAAGCCTCCTTTCGAATGTTTGTGGAAAAGATCGTGATTAATTACGTGTCTGTGGTGAACGGTAAATGTGATTTACGTCACTATACATATATATGACTATATACATGAGTCACAACTCCGGATAAAGCACGATACACAAAAAAGTACCGCTTATCAATCGCAGCAAATTTGCGACGAATGTTCGTGAATAATTGCTTGTAGATAAAAAATACTAGGAAAATTTCCAATCGATCTTTCTGTTATCGCTGATTGCACAATCTGCACGTACACAATTACGAAAATAATGCCTTTTAATTTACGTAATTGAATATATATTGATTAATTTATAAGAAACTTTAGACAAATATATAAAAAAATAATACGTATAAAAGAGACGCAATATAATAAAGTCATAAAAACGTTATATTTGCCACTATAGATAAAATTAGAGATAAGTTAAATCCCTCAATTGTGACGCGATAAATATCTCCGCTCCGAAAACTTTACTTTTAGCTCTTGCGCAATGTTACAAAAGAACGCGTCCATTTAATTCGCACATATTAACATACACAATAAATGCATAAACGGGAAATATATTCTACGCAGCAGACGAAGAGAACGTGGCAATTGGTTCGTATCCAATTCTCATGAGTGAACTGCGTCGCAGCTCTAATCGGGTCATACAGTAATCACGTGGCTGATAGTCGGCATATTTAATATAAAAATTTCTCTTAGAAGAGGTCTGTGACTTCTCCATAATCTCGTTGATATCGAAAAAAATAGGCAGAAATCGACATTTCGGAAATGAATCTTTGATGATCGCTCCTTCTTTTTCACGACGTTCGAATTAAAAATAATATTAAAATTATAAATACAAGAATCTGTATAAGAGAGAATTTAATTATGCCAGCTGGCGGGATTTGCAACTTCTGTTCTGCATGTCGTTCATTGCATAGGTGATATGCTCCGTTTTAATCTCGGATACGAGAGTTATTCGCGTAAAAACTTGCGCAAACAAACCCGCAATGATTTATAGTTTTGGCAACTTTCGCGAAAACATATTGCCTATAATGTATAACGTTTCAAAAGCGCGACTGCGCTAATCGAAGCCGCGTAATCGCGTGACGTTCAAGGTCTTTCGAAATATAGCTGCTGAGAAATAATAAGACATGCGAAGTAGAATGAAAACCCAAGATAGTTATCCAATACGCTTTTCCATGTCTGAAGAAGGCTTCTCTTTCCCTTAGGCTCTAAGCTCTTAATTTTTTTAATTTTTAATATTTAAAATCAGTTGCAATTAAATTTATCTCTCGCTTTCGTTCTTTTTAATGAAAGCAATCCTTCGTAATCGATGATTGTAACGTCACGAATATATGATCCGAACAGCTGAGAAATAATTTCGAGAGGCACGACGCCATCAACCAATCACATTCCAGTCTGACCTCATTTTTCCATCACCCCTAAGCCCCTATTATAAGATCATGATAATTATGTGTAATAAGAAACACAGCTGGAGTTATTACACTTCTTATACATGTATGTGTGTGTTGACTATATGCGAACAAAAAAGAGAATATACAAGTATTTGTAGATTGATGTTTCTCTACTGCAAAAACGACCTTTAAATCTTTTAAAATCTATAATTCTTTGTGAAATCTTTTAATCATACATTTGAGCAATATATATTTCGCGGAATAACGCAAGTTCCTGATAAACTTATTATTATGCGTAAATATATCTCAGAGGAAAAGAAAAATATTTATATTTGATTATACACATTGACTTTTTTGGCTTAATTAAGATTAATCATTTTTAAATGGATATATCTAATTACGATGAACCTATTTATTCCCTAAAGTAGTATGAGTAAAAAAACAGAAAGATAATTACCTCACACCGCATGCATATACAGGATATTTCTAAAATTATGTCAGAGATTTTATTAAGGTTGTTTTCTAATTAAAATAAGAAAGTAAATTCCCATAAACATGAATCTAAAAATGCTTTTTCTCCGAGTTATAGCTCCTAAAATTGGGGAAAAAATTGTTTAAATGTATTGTAACTCGGAGGCTTTTTTACAGATCGTTGAGTAAATCTTTTTCTCGATCTGTGAAAAAGTTCTTCTATAAAGCTAAAATATTTTTTTCGATTTTTTCACCCATCTTTAAGGGAGTTATAACTCGGAGATTTTTAGACTCATGTTTATATAAAAACTTTTTTTCTTATTTTGACTTCTACAATAGGACCTTAAAATCTCTGACAATTTTAGAAACACCCTATATATTTAAAAGAAGAGTTCCGATCAGATGTTTTGGAATGTCTTTTAGATGATGCCTGCTGTTCTGGAACAGTAATTAAAAGAAAAAAAGAACTATCTTAAGCACCTCAGCGCGAGACAATATAATATATAATATTTTATTGGTGAATTTTTCAGTAAATGCTGGTATCGCAATCACGTGGAAAACGCACACATATAAAAGCATGCCGACGATGAGTAAGCGGTGAAGAGGAGGGTCGAATAAAGACAGGAAAGAGGTGGAAGGGGCAGAGAGAGGGTAGCGAAACGTATATAAACCTTGCCCGCGTCCTACCTCTCAGTTCTACTTGGAGTTCGGACACGTGAGTTTCCGGAACAAAGCTCGCACGAGGGGAAAGTTTTTGTTTGTTTGGTGCGCTCGTTGTATGGGTAAGTGTTCGCGAACGATGCTCCAGATTAATGCGAGTAATAACATCAAGATTTATTATTTATCATTGAGCTTATCGAGATTCGTAGATTTTAAGAGAAACACGTGCTTATACGTATGACGTTTTATTATGAAAATCCTTATTTTTCATTTGAAAACATTTCTAATTTTTTTTTAATCATCCGCATGAATCATCGCATCCAAATGTGAGCGTTAATAAAGATAACAGCGCGGGAAAAAGTGATAGGAAGCTAATTTGTCAATTAATATTATAATTAAATATATATGTACAAAAGGTCATCGAGACGAGTTTTATTTTGATTAAAAGAGAAGCCCGCGTAATCTTTTTTCTTTGTTTGACATTTAACGATTCTCGGCTGTCAAACTCGTCATCCATGTATGACGAATTTTGACAGCTGATTGTGTTTCGTCGTGATCGAGCACAAAAGTTTTCGTAGAGTGTAGCATCCTGGGTCGTGACGGCGGAAATTCCTCCGACGAGAAAGAGCACAGATAACGGATTTGTGTTCCCTCTGCGATTTCTCTTTCCTCTTTCCTCTTTTTTTTTTTTTTTTACCCCTCTCGGAGTATCTTGGCGCGGTAAACGACGCAGCGTATTTAGCGGACGAAATCGCAGACGTGACGACGAAGGTCGCCAGTAGACACGTGGCACGCGCTACATATCTATTTGGTCGTGTATTGATTCACCACGCGCGTCCTCTGAGCGAGTCATACCACCATGTTGGATACCGAGCCGATGACAAATTCAATCCGCCTCTCCGCACTAATTTCGCAGATCTTGTCTTACGGCACTGTGCTGATCCGTGTACTCAAATAGCAGTGGACTTACGGTAATCGTCTACGTCAGTATTGTTGTTTTCTTGTACGGAAGATAACCTGGGTGACTGGAGGAATTTAACGCCAATGTCTCATCGAGATGTTGCGCCATAGCGTTGTTACGTCATTACGATTGAAACTTGTGTCTGTTTGTAAGGAATATCATACGCACTGTATCGCATCATAGTGTATCATATCATGATCCAAAAGGGGTATCGAAATTGTATTTCTGCAATTGGAAATATATATTTGACAGATTTTTGTTACAATTCTTCAAAACGCGTTATTACGTCTATTTTACTATGTTGCACTTTTTATTAATATCTATATATAGATATTTTCAGAAAATATATTTATTTAATTTTATTGAATATATAGAACCTTTGGAACAAGGTTCTTATAAATAATATATCATATTGTAAGTTGTCGTTGAAGACACAACATGCTCAAAAGATTATTCGCAATGCAAATCTATATACCTTTTCATATTTTAAGAATAAAATGAGGAGTTAATTATGTTTCCTAATATTTACATATGCTTACAGAGCGAGAGAAGAGTATAAAACACGGAGAGAGCCCTGTGGAGCCAATAAGCAGCTGCAGGGACGAACATGGATTTGTGCCAACGGTTGGTCGCTGGGGCAACGAATGGCCGAGTTGACTCGAGACGGCAGAGATATGGTGCCAGCCACAGGGGCAGGCACGCGGGCCCTGGATCAGGGGTGTTCCGCTACCCCTGCCGGTCTGGGCCCATTACGAGTCACCAGCCCTGACCTTTTCGAAGGTCGAAAAATATGAGGAATTAGCAAGCAGCGTTGAACTTGAAACGCAACGCTTATTGCGTGAGCATCGCTATGATACTATTGGTAATTTCCTCAGGTATGTATGTAATCTGTCATTTTAATCATTATTCTTAATGTATTCTATATATAGATGTAATACAAGCAATATCAACAACAGGTTTTATAAGGACTATATTGCAAGCGGAGAGAAAGCGTTAGATCGATTTTACCGAAAATATCAGCCTCTAATAACACATGAACACCATACTTGCGTCGGTCTTGGATTTGAATTATTACATCGATTAACAAATTTGAACAAGCGATTTCCAGGAATAGCAAGTGGCCTCTACTTAGTATCTTGTGAAGAAGTAAGTTTGAGATATTTAACATATTTAAGATGATCCTAAACGTCTTAAAAAGTCTTTAAGAAGTCTGTGGTTTTTCCTTTTTTATTGACAAAATATGAGATTAGATAAACCATAAATCTATTTATTGGCTATACAGATTGTTTTTTTACCTGAAATTAGAATGCTTCGCTCTTTGTTAATATTGATACTTTAATTTGTGTATAGGAAAAATATTTATCAATCTGTATAGTCTCATTTATCTTGGTGAATTCTTAAGAATTTATAATTCTGTAATCAAGAAATATGAGATTTCTCAAGGACATTTAGGATCCCCTTAAACATCCAAATAATACTTCAACAAATGTGTTATTGTAGTACTGTAAAAACAAAATATTTTATTTTAAAACATCAGTAAAATTATGATGGTATATATAGCGTGTTCAAAGCTCTTATATAGACAACATATTTTGAATTTTATCAACTAATTGAAATCATTTTTATTCTTCGATGCTAACTCATCAATTGTGTTACAGACGATTGGTGATATTGCCGGCTATGTTGGCGGTCCACCAGCGGCAGATAGCGGCGAGAAGGAGCATGTATTAGTGTGCCTGAAAATCATGATTGGTAAACGTCGCGGCGTCATGCTACTCGACCCCGGTTACCACGTTGCGCGCGTTATCACTGTAATGGCCGATAGAGCATACCCTCATACAAACTGGTTTACGCAATCCGATGAGCCGACTTGCAAGAAAGAGTACCACTACTGTTTGTGTACTAACGATCCTGATTATGTCGAATGGCATGAAAAGAGAACTCAACCTGGTGCCTTGGAGAGAACACAAGTCGCTCTCATTTATGTGGCAAGGCCATATTTAACTGCCATTGACGTTACAGAGCGTAGAAACTTGGTTTATAATCGCAGAAGTCTCCTTGCCAGAGATACAAAGGGTCACGTTACTGCTGGCATATACTTCTCCGTTATGGACATGAACGAAGCACAGACCTTCACAATTTTCTATCAGACTGATAATGGGAAGAAGCGGGTTAAGATGGCATTTAATAAATTCTGCGAGTCATATAAGGTAAACTCTTGATATTGATATCGAGATCAAAATGGAAAATTGTTTCGATGAAATAACAGAAATTTATCCTTTATTACAGATAAGTCCTAACGCCGAGGAAATGGAGGTATTAACGGAATGTGCACGACAACTTAACATTTCGCAAGATGCTTTGAAGGACATACTCTCTGCTCTAGCTGCAATAATGAACGATTCGTCATTTGTGACGCAACTATTGACTATTAATGCGAGAATCAACACCTTAGCAGAGGCAAATTAACAGACAGGTCACTTTACTCAATATAGTCTACACAACATTATATTTCATTCTTTTGCTGGCTTTCCTCTTATATTCTTTTTCTTTTATTACTTTTGATATTTTATTAGCTGTTCTACTATTTGAAGTTTATAAGAAACTTTATTACACAACTTTGTAATATCTGTAAATATACAAGATAAGTCATGTAATCTTGTAAAATATTTGTAACATGTTACGTTTTAGAAAGTATCTTGCAAGAGTTTTAGCTTAATATTTTTATACATAGACTAACAAGACTAATAAGAAAAATTTATTAAAATATAAAAAAATACAATTATTTAAATTTATTAAAAAGGAACAATTATACATATTTTTCAAATACATTTATGCAAAAAAATAAAATTACTATAGTTTTTATTGTATGTAAAAATATTAAACATTAATTCTACAAGAGATACCTTGCTTGAATTACATGACTTAATTTGTATATAACAAAGCATTCCGTATAATGACTTGTAAGAGAATTTTTTTTTAATTTTACTATCAATAATATATTTTGTTTTTGTTTATGATTTCAACAAAAATTCACAGATATTAATTGATATGTTTATAAAATATATATATATATATATGATTTTTTAAGATTAATAATTTTATATTTGCTTTTTTTTATCCACAGAATGCAGGCCAAGATTATACCATTTTATGTTAGGATAATATCTAAACATTTTTTAAATTATAGTTTGCTTTTTTTGTATTTTATCATTTTACTTGGATACTATAAATTTTCATATGCTATATTCTTATATATTAGCATTTTATGCTAATATAATAGTGTGATGATATTTTCTTTGAGTAATGGAACTTAAAGCAAATTATAGATTACTATATTTATGTAGGGGAGACTGCACTAAAATTGTATTGGTACAAGGGATAATTTTATTTTATTACTTCTTTAGAATAATATACTATATATGTATATCTTTCAGTTGTGAACAGTGAATTTGACTTTATTTGAATAAATAATTTGAGAGACAAAAGGTATTTTACCGGTAATATCCCCGACCTATCTGATAAATTTACTTTAAAATGATAAATATCTTACATTTCTATTGATAAAAAGATTTAAAATTGATTGTACAGGACATTTAAACATTTAGAAACGTATTTGAAACAAGAAAAATTATTTATTCCCTTTATACTTTTTAATATTCCATTATATAATAGCGAAACTAATGTCGATGATAAAGTTGGTGGTCAGTTGGTGTAACATATCTTTGATTACATACAAGTATTTCATTACATTTAAACTACATTTTTTTATATATCAAATCTCAGAAATTATAAATCTAACAAAACTTAATAATAGTTATCGCACTTCTTAAACAATTGTATTTTCTTACTTTTATCGATACCTTGTGTAACTTAACATCTCGATATATTAAACATTTTTAAAAAATAGAACATATTTGAAAAAAATTGCTACATTAATCACCAATATTTTTTATAAACAGAAGAAAAATTTATGCTACTTTTAATTAAACATAACTGAAATTAAAATTCACACAATTCTATCTGAATAAATATTTATATACAAGGTAAAAGACTTTGATACTTAAATAATTTAATGATTTTATTGCAACTATTTAAATGGTTATCAAAATAATATCTTATGAGAGAATGTGAAAACAGATAACTGTAGAAAAAAATATACGGAAAATTGTTAATGTTTATGAGAAAGAATAATACATTCCTATTCTGTTTAATTTAAATCTTATATGATTTTATTATAGGTATGTTGTAGATAAAGTATATGTTTTGCAGATAATAGGTTGAGAGATATCCTAGTCGTCACTATCAGATACAGCTTGATGACGCTTATTACTAACTTGTCTATCCGGTTTATGTTCGCGTTTTCGAGATCCTGATGCAGACGGTGATGCCGATAATACTTCAGCTCTCGAAGACATTGCAGATTCTACAGGCTTGAAGCTATAAACATAACAAATTAATGCCATGATATTTTTACATGAAAATTGAAGGAAGACAAGTCTAAAAAAGGAAGCTGAAGCATGAACAATGATAGAAGATATGTTGAAGATTTGTACAATTTTAGGTGCAAAAAAAAACAAGAAAAAAAAGAATGCAAGCGGAATAAGCAAATCATGCTTCTGTCTTATAATAAGATAAAATTGCTATTATGTTCTTCCAATTATATTGTTGTTTAAAAATAAACAAAGGATATATATTGTTATATAAGTGACATTTTAAAAATATTTGCAAGCTAATACAAGAAAAACAGCATTTGTTACAATTATTTATCAATATTGAAAAATATTTAGTAATGTGTCATAAGTAGTATTGGATCGTGATTGATTCATACAAGAAATCTAACACAGTGATATAATGTACAACTATATACTCTTATAATTAATGTCAATTGTTGATTATAAATATCACCATTAAATTTGAATCATTTTCTGTAGTTCGATAAATAAAGATGCATATAATGCATAACATAATATCCAATATCTAATATTTCTTTCTATTCTGTTATAATAGAACTGATTACTTTCATTCCAAAAGTTGTGATATACATATATATATCCTAATACATCAAGATATCAAAGATATTATTAGTCAGAATATGTTAAACAGTTTGTAATTACAGATTAGTATCAAAAGTAAAATTGAAACGAACAAAATAAATAATAAATAATAGAACGAAGCGCAACGTACTTACGTTGCACAAGTGTCACTGCTGTATATATGTACTATGCTTTTAACTTATTAATATTTGCGGCTGTACCTGTAATACACACACAAGATGGTATATTCTATATCAATCTTAACAGATTTATTACATTACGAATTATGCATTCCATAATGACACACTGTAATTTAAATATGATTAAAATCACAGTATTGATATCACAAAAAAATAAAACTAATAACAAAGATGCTAACATTAATTAAAATCTTGCATTTCACTGTCATAATATAAATATCTTGTTTACATTATATACAAAAACGAGATATTTATATTAACTGTAGATGAAATTAGATGAAATTTACGGAAATTTTTTATGAAATTGTGAAACAAGACTAATAATATTCTTAAAAAAACGTTAAAAATTGATATAGAACTTTACAAAATTTATACTTTTGGAAATGATCTAAGAATGATTTTATATATTATAAAGATGTCACTCATTAATAAAACAATAGTGAAATATATATTTATTGTTAGAGTATTATCATTCATCTATATATATCTAATATGTTGTAATGCATTTTTATTCTTGATTTTAGATAATGATGCATGTACTTATGGAAGACAGATTTGATAAATAAGTGAAGTAATTACATGAAAATAATCGCATATTTTTGCTTTTTCAAAGACATGCTTTCAAAAACAGAAATTGTAAGCTTTTGATCTTTAATTCAGCAAGCAGAAATCAATAGAAGCTAAACTTACCGTGTAGAAGGAGGTGTATTTTTTACTTTGGAAGGATTTAAGGTCCTTATAGCACGTCTAGCACCGGGTATCCATCTTGTACCTTTATTAGAATGTCGACTACAAAAGCACATGACAACAAGACCAATATATAAACAAAGGAAACTAGAAAAATGCTCTAATAGATGAATAAGTAACAATACAAAGAATGAAGAATGAATAAAAAGGTATTATATGAGAGTAATATTTTATATATCATAATTATTAATTTTTTGTGTCACTGATTCTTTAGTCGTTTTATTTCTTTCATTTGGAATGACAACAGAGAATTGCAAACAAATAAATATGTAATAAATATAAGGTATTTTAATTTAATTTGTGAAGAAATAAAGATCTTATTTTCCTATAAATTTAAAATATTGTTTACTATATAAAATAATAAAAAGAATATATATATATATAAAGAAAAATTGTAAAAATAATGTTGTAATATAAAAACATACATGCTAGTACATATGGAAAAGCAGACATGCATATATCTATTTTAAAGCTGGATACACATAAAAAGAGAATTGAAATATACAAAATAGAAAGCCCATGACCATATGGCAAAATTCTCCATTTTTATCTATTATTTTTTTCTAATATATCTGTCTCCATATTTTTATTTGCAAACATGAAATTTTTGAATATTACTAATGTCAATCTTTTAATGCACTATTTTTATAACTAATAATTCAATCAACAAAATTGACATCATAAGATTAAAATTTGATAATATATTTAATAAACTTATTAAGATACTAGATCATTATTTGCAGATTATTTCAAATTAATTTAGTTATAAATATATACAACTACTAATATTAATATTCAAATAATTCTCAATTATATTTTTTTATTTAAGATGTGATAAAATAAACTTCTATTACGTATGTAAATATGAAAGATTAATGATGGAAGTGTAAAATATGAATAAAGTAAGAAATATTATATTTAAAAAAATATGTAATCATACAATCTTATAATTTACCAATGCAAAAAAAATAAATGTTCAATATTCTTACCTTGAGCGAATATATATAAGATTTTATTCATTTCATGACTATATTTTAGTGTTTTGAATTTAAAACTCACCTTGCTGATGCATCTGTAGTAGATGGTAAAGCCAATTGCCTTGGTTCTGGTCGGTGCCTACTATTACTGGCAACTCTAGTTGAATTGCCATTATCAATTGCACTAGTATGTGCACGTCGCGTATGTGATACCCATTCGCGATTAAAAGAGTCTGCCTCTTCTACAATATACAGATATATAATAGAATAAAAAAATTACCTCCCTTTCTATCAGTAATTTTTATTATTTTTGAGATTACAAGAAAATTACCTTCATCCAAATTGATAAATTCCTGTCGTTCTTCCTCCTCACCACGCATATTACGTTCTCTTTCAAGAATATGTGCCCTCTCACCAATGTGATGACCAATAGCCATTTTCCTTGTTCCAGTACGAGAATCACTTACCGTCTTCTTAGTTTCTTTTATGCCACCAGGTGCTGTTCTGGTAGACATGGTCTCCTGATAAACTTGTGGACGTCCATCAGGACCACTGGACATAGTCATAACAGAATGGCTCATAAATGATTGACAATTTCCATCAGGTGCCATGTTGTTCTAAAAATTGTAGTAAAAAATAATTTTAAAGTAATGTTCATGATTATTATCAAATGGTGAGTGAATTAATTAGTATTTAAAATTATACTTACAAAACCATATCTTCCAAAATGGGGATCAAACAAGGTGAGTGGCATATTATTGTGAGGTACTCTACCATGATGTGGCATAAGAGCATTTTGCCCCATCATCTCAAATGGATCACGGAACATGGAGTTCATCATCATGTTGTTCATCTGCCTCATAGTATTCATGGAAGATCTGTTGACCATAAATAATAATTTCAAAATTCATATTCTCACTTGTAGATTTTGTAATTTAAATATAACATAATAATATTAAAACATATCAATTTTATTGGCTAAAGATACAAAAGAAGACAAATGACATAACTGATTACTATAGGGACTGATTACTATAGAAACCTCCCATTAGTATAAAAATAATTGTATATATTAATATTATATATAAATTATTATACATAAATTTAAGAAATTAATTATTTTGAAATTAATTATTAGTCTTTTAATATACATTCTCAATTAATAATATTCAGATTTATTAAATATTATTTTATTAAAATGCTACATGTGTTATATTTTTTAAATAATGACCTTTCTTTTTTTTTAAATTTGCATTTTAATGTAAATTATACAAAAGTAATTATAATTGTGATATATATTTCACACATATCACGGAAACCAAATCCATTTAAAAAACAATTAGGTATATTTTCTCTCTTTTTCTCTTCTCTTTATTTCAGTAGATATTTTATAGAAAAATAATTTCATTAAACATATTTCCTCAAATATAAAAAAAATATATCTTTGATATTTTGATTATATATTTAAGATTTGGATTAATAACAAATTTTTTTATATGAATTTATAAATATGAGCTATACATATTCAAACAGATGAAAATATTGATAAATCTAACATTTAAATATATTTATCAAATATATTTACATATTTATAGTATTATGTGTGTGTGCGTATGAGTGCGTGTAATAGAAATAAAATGTTTGTAGAGAGAGAGAGAGAGAAGGAATCTTCTAAAAAATATATAATTATTTATAAGAATGTTGTATGTATAATATGGTATAAAGTACTCGTAACAAATCATCAGTTGAAGCTAAAAGTCATCTCATATTCCTATGTGACAAAAAATGAGATCAGTCAAATGGTTTTTCTAGAATTTAGAATAAAATATTCTATGTAGAAAAAAATGAAACAAGGAAAATATATCTCCACAGCTCTGAAGATACATATAACAATTTCTTGCATCAAAATGCAAGTTATGTCTCTGACAAAGATAATTAAGATTTTATTGTCAAGCAAAATAAGTCATTAATATATATTAACAACGTGTCTCTTTCTCTGACATCACGATCCATCACCAAGTGGAAGAGAGAGAGAGAAAGAGAGACCACAATCTGAAGTATCACACATATATGTCAGATAGAAATCACGGTGAAGCTTACCCAAAAAATTGAAAATATCATCATCCATAAAGGATCCGAATAAAGACATCTTGCTGGATGTTTCTGAGAATTCCTACACGAGATTCGAAAAATTCACCTCGGCGATCGATAGAAAGTGGATTTTCTTCTACGCGTCACGCACGAAAGCGGCCAAAGTGTCGCAGACGAGCTCACAAGAGCGCCTATTCCATTCGCGGAAGCTTCCAGAACTGAGCCACGCGATACGTCATGTGTCATATTACACCTAGATGCGTTCGAAAATCTACCTGTCAAAAGTGACATATTTTCAGTCGACCAATCGGAAGGAAGGACTAAAATTTTCTTTTTCCTGATTGGCTTCAGAATTGATAGACGTGATACGTCAAGTGTCAAATTACATCTAGATGTGTTAAAATCTACCTGTCAAAAATGATGTATATTGTGTGCTCCTCTATTCTTTTTTTCTCTATGGCGAAATGAAAGCGTACACAATTTACACAAATGGATCTGCCGAAGAAATTGCTCATCGAACGAGAAAAGGATTTTGTCAAAAAAAATATCCTTCAAGTCAAACGTTCCTATCCTGCAGAACCCAAACAGCGATACGTCGATACTCGTTATGGAAATGCACATGATTTAAAAAGGAGCGGATTACTTCCAATTTACGTGCACAAAAAAGTACGAATATATATATTTGCATACGAAAAAAAATTTTAATATATCTTAATGTCGCTTATTTTTTAATTTACATATTCTTTCGTTATTTCTTTACACGCACTACAATTATACATTTTGCACTTTTATTAATACTATATATATTTTGAATGAAAGTCATATGTTTTTCTTCAGAATTATGGAAAAGTACCGAAATTCGTTGTCGATACGATGAAAGCCGATGAAGTAATTACACATCCTAATTTCAATGGAGATAAGATATCAAAAATACCTTTATCGTGTCGATATATTGATAAAGAGGAACGGAGAATATTATTAGAAGTAGGTATAGATTTATTAGGCTTTTGTAACGTTGCAATTTTCAATTAATTTGAATGGAAATAATTATTATATATATGTATTTGGAAATTCAGGATATGAAGAAAAAATGGGAAGAAGCGATGAAACAATTTCAAGGATTACCATTTCTTGCCGACACGCTACCAAAAGCGCAAAAGAAAGCGAAGATGGAACGCGAATTAAAACAACTCGAAAAAGACATAGCAATCATCGAGCAACATCCACATATATATGTTTATGACAATGATTGTTAACACAATGTGTTATACAATATATTAATTATATATTTATATCTTATTTATATTAAAATTTATATTATTATTTGTGTACTACATATATATGATTATTTCTTAGACAATTTTTCTTATGTGAGTTTTGTATATATATATATTTATTAAAATATCGAAGTAAAAAATTAACACACAATTAAGTTAATTAATGCTAAACTTTTTTATGTTTTTTATTTATATGAATGTAAAAGATAATTGCAGGTTCTGTATATAAAGTAATAATATACGTACGTATTTATTATAAAATTAAACAATTATATTAATATTACTAAAATAAAATATATTAATATTTTTCGTGAATTTTTCTGCTGTTATATTTTTATATTCAAATTTTAAAAGACAAAAAAAATATTTTTGTACGAAAATTTCGAAGCGTCTGACCAATCATAATGAAGAACTCACGTTAGACATGAAACAAGAGATTAATATAGAAGGACGATTTTGCAGTTGACAGCAACAGTTAAAAATGGGACCATAATGTTCGTTCGCAACGAACGATAATCGACCAACACGGAAAAACAGGCAAAACGTCGATACGCTCGCAACAGCTCGCAGCATCCCTTTACGGCAATTGCGTTATTAGCTCCACCGAGCCTATCTGCTAGAAAATATTACCGTTTCCGAAGAAGTTTTCGCGACAGACTCACAAAACTAGTTCAAAATGGTAATCAAGTGCTTCTCAAACATACAGAGTTGACATAATTTTCCGTGATTGCAAAACCGTCTCTTGTATTTTTTTTAACCATTAAAACCCGCGCGAGATTCTCTTACAAAAATAATTTCGGAGCAATTTATTTATAAAGTATCTTTCGTACGCATATATAAACAAAAAACTCATAAAAATTATTTATCTTGCAGGGTAATGAAAGTTCGCTGCCTATGGAACTTTGTTCCAACTGTAAGTTGCAAAGAAATATTGTGAATTGATATATTTCTTAAAGTAACCTGATTTTTATTCATCACAGTGTTTTGCAATTGAGACCTATAAATATATAATTACTTGTATATTAGAATATAAAAACATTTAGAGAGCATCTCTGTACTTTATATATAATTTGATGTCTTTAAAAATACATATAAATAACTAAATTTTTAAAATTTATATATATATATATTTTATATTAAATATTGATGCTTTAGTTGACGTAGATGAGATTAGAAGATTGGGAAAAAGATTTCGGAAGCTAGATTTGGATAATAGCGGAGCTCTTAGCATCGATGAATTTATGTCTTTACCTGAGTTACAACAAAATCCATTGGTGCAACGTGTTATTGACATATTTGATGCTGATGGTAATGGAGAAGTGGATTTTAAGGAATTTATTCATGGAGTGTCTCAATTTAGTGTCAAGGTAGCATTTCTTTTTCTGCAGCAATTGTGTGTTATATATATATATATATATATATATATATATATATATATATATGTGTTTATATATATACAATATATATATATATATGTGTTTATATATATACAATAGTTATATAAATTATTAATATTTAGGGAGACAAAGAAAGCAAATTGCGATTTGCATTTAGAATTTATGATATGGATAATGATGGTTATATAAGCAACGGAGAGCTATTCCAAGTCTTAAAAATGATGGTAGGAAATAACTTGAAAGATACACAATTGCAGCAAATTGTTGACAAGACAATATTGTTTGCTGATAAAGACGAAGATGGCAGGATTAGTTTTGAAGAATTTTGTTCTGTAAGTAAATACATACATCTATCATTTTTTTTTACATAACATATAATACATTATTACTATATAATCATTCTTTAGGTTGTTGGTAATACAGATATTCATAAGAAAATGGTGGTTGATGTTTAAGTGAACCAAATTTGTGAAGAACTTTTAATTTTACAAAATATGGTATGTTTAATTGAAATCTATAAATTAATAATCTATTATAACAACAGATTTATGGGATAGTTCTAACAAAGATCTGTTTAGAGTGAACTTATACAATTATTGTTCTTAAGCCTTTGATCATTACAAGTCTATCCAAACAAAATTTACGTGATATGTCCGACTAGTATAGTATCATGCACGAATGTTAGATCAACAGATACAGATTCATTTTGATGTCATATGTTAAAAATATTATGGAATAAATCAAATCATCTAATGTGTTCCTTTAAATATAAAGATCAACAATATGATCTTAAATAATTAAAGCTTTTAAAACTAGCACTACAAGTTTAATACTATGTGTTTAAAACTTTTCAAGATTTTCTTTGGAAATCTTAGAGAATGTTTTTTTCGACCACTTGCTACAACATAATTTGGCTATAAATGCATTTAATTTAACGTTTGTTTTAATGATTTTTAGTGAAAAAAACATGAAAGTAAATCAAATCTCGTATTATTGACACAATCACCATACCATAACTTGTCGTACTTTTGTCATTGTTCAAAAAACTAATTGTTAATATTATCCTTAACGACATAATATCGTTAAAATACTTAATAACTTCAATCAGTCTTTAAGGATATTATTTTAAATGCTATTAATATTTTAGAGGAAAGTTATAAAAGTTAGATAATCCAGCTATTCATATATATATATATATATTATATTTCTAATAAACAATTCCAAATTGTGCATTCAGAAGATACACTGGAACAATTTATGGAGTTACATTAACTATTGAATCTATTTGATTAACCTTTGTGTGTATAAGACTTGTGTGTATAAACTGTGTATTGACATTGGATGTTTGTAATTTTCGAATGTGCGATTTATTTATTTATTTAGATATTTATTTATTACATATTACATATGTACGATTATTAAAACAATAATTTATCATATCAAGGTATATTAAGATATTTATAATACAAATAAGTTTATTTTACCATTGTTAATTGTTTCTATGTATACTCACATGTTATATGATCTTATCATGTCTAATTAAAGTTTAAAATTGTGAAATATATTGAAATTAATCTGTATATTAGTATATGTATGTATATATTACTTACAATTAGTATATATAATATTGCATATAATTTTCTCTGATTGTGAGATAAATTTGCAAAATATAGACTTTCTCCTATTCAGATTAAATGTACTTTACAATAATGTATATTTTTTTTACATCCATATTCTTCAATAATATTTATTTTCGCAAAAATATTTTACTTATTTAGTCTGGCTTCAATAATTCATTTTTTAACTAGCTTTTAGAACATCGTTTCATTCTTCTTTGTACTCTCTCTTTTTTCTTTTTTTATTTTTAATTGATTTACAATGACGTCACAAGTTTAATGTTTGTATGTCGGAAAGATACATAATTAAAAAAATTAATCAATCTATAATTAATGAGTCATCTTGAATCGAATAAAATTAACATGAGATATTATAATTTACATAATGTATAACAAATTTTGTTTTTGCATTAGAAACGCATTTTTATACATTTCTGTATGGATAAAAAAATCTTAATTTAGATCTCTTTTCTATAAACAAGACGTATTTTCTTTTTTTCTTTTTTTAATTTTTTATTGAACCAACGCAAGTTGTAGCAGGAGGCACGCCAACCAATCAATCTTTCGTTCTCGCGGAAAGCTGAAAGTTCATTGGCTGTCGCGTCGTACGTGCTTGTGACGCGTTCGTTGTGGAGGCGCCTTTAAAGTAGGGTTTTCGCGGTTGTCAGTCGGAGATTGCGACTCATCAGTTGGCACCACTGCCATTCTCCCTCCTTGCCATAGTTCTCATTGTTGCTGTTTTGTGGCCGGTGTGTTTGCTAGTTTATATTTTTGGTTGTTTCTCTCGCGTAGAGCCATTTCTCTCGGAAATAGTTCGTATTTTACGCGACGATATTCATCAACCGACAATCGAGATAATTGACGGAAAACGCGGGAGATACGTCGGAGGTGGTTGTCGGCGGCGGCGGGGAAGATGGAAAATTTGGAGGAGGTGTTGCAGGCGCTCGATGAGTTCGCGAAGATGCGCCCCACGGTGATCCCGCAGGAATTGGAGGATTATCTCTGCTGGGTCGCGAAGACCGGCGACCCGGTCTACCAGTGGCCGCTGATCAAGACCCTCTTCCGGGAGAAGCTCACCCGGGTGATGACGGACTTCTACGAAAACTGTCCCAATTTGGAGTTCGCGACCTGCCCGAACGTCGAGCACTTCAACTACGACGCGATGAAGAGCACCCTCCTCGAGAGACTCGAGTCCTTCGCGAACGCCCCGTTCACCGTTCAGCGGATATGCGAGCTTTTGACAGCTCCGCGTAAGGAGTACAACCGCGTGGACAAGTTCATGCGCGCCATCGAGAAGAACATCCTGGTGGTGTCGACGCGCGAGCCAGGACCCATAGCTAGACGCGGCGAGACCGGTGACGGGATGGTGAACGGTTCCGTCGAGGACGACACGGCCTCGGTCACCCAGCAGCAACCACCGCCACCACCTCCGTCCCCTTCGCCAGCCCTGTCGCCGTCACAGTTGCCGTCGTCACCGCCACCGTCGTCGCAGATCCAACCCCAGACTCAATCTGCGCAACCGACTTCCCAGGACGTCGAGATGGAGTACTGGGAGAAGGATTGCACCTCCACCGTCACCATCAGTGTGCACACTGTCGCTGAGAATGAAGCTTCTCTTCTGAACCCTGATATCGTAGCACCTACTTCTGAGTCTCCATTGACCAAGAGCATATTTAGTACGGATGAGGCTGCTACTCGAGAGAAAGTCGAACGAGAGACCTCTCCTAGGACAGAAGTATCAGAATCCAATTATATTTCTGCCACTTCCGCAGAGTTCTCTTCTATATCGAATTTAACTTCGCAGTCGCACGAACCGATATCGCCAGACGCGTCTGAAGTTCCCATCGTACAGAGTCTACCAGCTGTTGGGACGATAATCAACGACAAGGTCACCGGTGACTCATCTGTCGGTGCTACTGATATTGCGGAGGTGATGATGAACGAGGACACTAACTCTCAACCTAATCTAGATATGGAGAGCGAGGATGTTGAAGCAGCGACAACGGCGAGTTCCACGACGACGACGACGACAACGGTAACGACGACAGCGGGGACAACGGTAGCGCCGTCGACGACGTCGGCGGCGACGTCGACGTCATCAGCGGCGACAACGACGGTGACTGTGGTGGCTACGGTGATACCATTGACGACGGATACTACGCGGAATCTACAGGCCGCCTTCCAAGCAAAACGCTTTGAATCCGATAGCGAGAACAAGTGTCTGGATAGTAAATCCGATGAGAAAGCACCAATTTCATCGACGGTGATCAGCGTGGAAGAAGGAGGAGCCGGGCATTCCATGAAGAGCGAGGAAACGACGTTGAACAAATTGAATTCCGAATGTATGGATTCGAATGAAATGTCTTGTAATGAAGATAGATTAACCGAGAATTTATTACAAACTGATATTGATATGAGACCGGACACTTTGGCAAATAATAATACCGAGAGTGTAAATGCCGAGGAAATAGTTTTAAATAAATCGGAGGAAGAGAGTACGTCGATTATCGAGGATGTGGACGAGGAAAGTTTGCGTTCCAAGAGCGACGACAACGCGAAAACAGCTATATCCGTCGAATCTGAACTCGAAGAAATAGATAGTACAGTTACATCCTACCCATGTATGAGCGCAGTCATTGTAAGCAACAGTGAAGCGTTGTACAAACCAGAGAAACCTGAGATACACTCTAAAGAGGTGTCTGTGATGATTTCTTCCAAGGAAAGTTTTATACACGATGAACCCATAAGCCAAAAATTGAGAATACAGAAGTAACGGATAATGTTATAGAAGCAGTTCCTAGAGTAGCGTCTCCTAATAGCAATGATAACGAACAAGAAGAAGTACAGGTTCCTGAATTCGGCATGGATAATATGAAAGTCATGGAAATTTCCAACGACAAGACTGCTCTTGTCGAATCTATGGTATCACTTCCAATAAATATAATAGACAAACCTAAAGAAGCGACATCCGTAATTGAAAAATTTGTTCCTGCCGAGATGACAAAAGCCCTGATAATAATTGTCAATCTCTGAAGGATGAGAAGTTAACGGAAGAAATTCAAGATGATAGTTTAACCAATGCACAAGATAATAAAGGAACAGTGTGTATTACTACAAAAGAAAACCAGTCTTCTGTAATAGAAAGTGTAATTTGTATAAAGGAACATGAATCTACGGAATTAATGGACGTCGATGACGAGGAAGGACTGTCGACGTTTCAACAGGATGAACCTATGGAGCAAGAAACAATGGAGGAATTGTCAAAGAGTTAATCCCAACTAATCTAATCAATTGCTGTTTCTCTCTCATTTGATATTCTATCTACTGTTTGTACAGATAGATATCGAAATAAGAGCCACACAACACATAAGTATCTTTACGCATGAGCAAGTGCGTGGCATATAAATTTCTACAGCCGTTAATTATTAATTATATGTGAAATTTAAATTATGAGTAAATATTAAGTAGCCTTCAATCAAGTTTTTCTTGACAGTTGTAACTTAAATATTATTTTTCGCTCTTCTATTTATTTTGGATTTATCATTAGACTGAATAAGCTCCAGCATTCACTTATAAAGAGATTTATCGAAAGGAATTTTCTAACTCTTAAAAGAAAAAGAACACTGCCTACTCCCTAAAAAAGATTGTAATACTTGAAAAAATTGCTTGTGTATAGAAGCCAGATTTGGTAAACGTTTCAATATGGATTTATACAAATACCGTAAATGTCTGCTTAGAATAAGGTTGTGCCTATAAATATTATGTATATTGCACAAGTATATCTAATAAATAAATTTTTAAATAACGTGCGTAAGAGAGACCAGGATCACATTCGAGGAACATTTCGCGAAGATAAATGAAACGGCATCGTTCGTGTAATCACAGCCTTATACTAAGTTTCGATTTCGGAATATTTATCTTGGAATTTTTGTAAAATAATTCCGGAAAAAATATATTCGAGATTGATCAAAAATATATTCCTTGCGACCTTTCTATATTACGCAACAGCATTTGAAAATGTTAAAACAATGTTGCTTCGAAAAGATGTGTATTAAAACTTTGATTAAGCTAATTTAAGATCGATATTTCGGATGTATCTATGCCTATAACTGGAATCAGTGTATAAAGTATATTTCACGATTTCATCAGTGAATAGGTATTTTTTTTTATAAGCGTTTGCTATATATAAAATGTGAAAGAAATTAATATAAAGCTAAAATTTTCAACTTTTAGCTTTTTGATTTTTTGACTTTTCTTTACGACTTGAAATATAATATCCTGGTTCCAGGTAAATATAAAAGTTATCGACTCTGCGCGAATCTAAACGAAAATCTCTTTAGGCAGCCCATTACAAATTGATACAATTCTTATTAAAATCGATTCACGAATTAAAATCCGTTAGGATTATTCCGAACCGCTTATACAATTACATATACTTGCACAAAATGTTTTCAAGCGGATTCGAATTCATTGCTGATCTATGAAAATGTTATTAGAAAAATATCTGTAGGAATGGGATATTAATTTAAGAATTAATATAGATTAATAAAAAAAACATAATACACGAATGTGGATATTTGAAAAGAATAGCTGTACATTATTTTATAAGAAAATATATAAAAATAAGATTGTCAATATCTATATCTTTTATTCGTAGTGAGTACCTGACCTTGATATTCTCAATAAAAAATTGAAGAAACAGATTGAATAATCAGATAACGTCATAATGCCGTTCCCCACAATGTAATAACAGGGTATTTAAATAATACCGTCGTTTGTAATCATTTCCGCGAATTATATATATGTTATCTTTCTATAACATTCAGCAATAAATATACAGCATTAGGTGTAATATTGCACTCCCCTATTTTTATTCCATCTTAATGATATACTATCGCCAAAAAATATGCTAATATTATAAAACTTTAATTTTAGACATTTGAATTAGATAAATATACATATGTATATATATATGTACATATAATACACTGACAGACACCGTACATAAAAAGAACATTATAATAAATCAAGGAATAATTAGTGATTTCTGTACATCTATCTATGCAAATGTTTGATGTTTTACCAGCTTTTTGAAATAACCATGCTCCAGGTTCATTAATTCGACATAAGTGCCGGTTTCCGCAACTTGTCCTCCGTCGAGTACCACGATTTTATCGGCGTTTTTTATTGTACTAAGCCTGTGAGCAATCGTTATTACCGTTCTGCCACGGATAGCACGTTCTAATGCCTCCTGAACGAAATATTCGCTTTCCGCATCTAAGGCACTAGTCGCTTCGTCCAATATTAAAATTCTTGGTTTCTAAAAGAGAGAAAGAAGAATTAAAGATATTTTTGCTCCAATAAAAAGAATTATTTCAATAATTATATTACATAATTGATTACGTAAATTAATATTTATAAATATATATATATATATATATATATATATATATATGTATGTATAAAATTGTGATTATATAGTAATGTTTACCTTTATTAATGCTCTGGCAATGGCGACTCTCTGACGTTGTCCACCACTAAGAGTAATACCCCTTTCTCCGACTATTGTATTTAATCCATCTGTCATTTTTTCCGTGAATTGTAACACATGTGCTTGTTTGGCGGCTTCCTCTACGTCGGAATCCGTCGCAGATTCCGTCCCATATAATATATTGTCCCTTATCGAGCCGCTAAAAAGAATTGGTTCTTGGGATACAATGCTAATTTGTGATTTTACCCATATAGGATCGAGTAGACAGAGATCGTAATTATCTAAGAGTATCGATCCCTTTGTAGGATCGTACAGTCTTAATAAGAGTGATGCTACGGTAGATTTTCCAGAACCTGAGGCACCGACGATAGCTGTCATAGAACTTTTGTCTATATTTAAATTAAAGCCTTTCAATACGTGTATCGTTTCTCGTGTTGGATAAGCAAAGAAAACGTTTTGAAACGTCACATTGCCCGACAATTCCTTCTCTAATATTTGTCCACCCTGGATAGGAATAAGCGGCTGTCGATTGATCAATTCGAACAGACGAGCATTCGCTCCTAGAGCCTTGTTTAACTCACTGTAAGCTGATGATAATCCATTTAAAGATATTCCAACGTATCCTGCATATAGCAAAAAGGCGCTTAAGCTTCCAATTGTTATTTCGGAATTTGAGACCATAAATACTCCATTGTAAAGGACAGAAAGAACAATAGCATTCCCAGAAAGACCAGTCATGCCGAAAAACATTCCTCTATATAAGCTCTCCTTGTAACACATTTTTAAAACCTCTTGCAGCTTAGTGCCATATCTGTCAATTTCGCGGTTCTCTTGTGCAAATGCTTTAACAGTTCTTATATTACTAATTCTTTCCTCCGCAGTCGCGTTGAGCACCGCAAAACTGCTCTGCAGATCCTTGGCTATTCTTCTCAAGACACGTCCAAAAATGGCAGCGACAATTACAACAGGCGGTACTATAGCTAGGCCAAGTAGAGCAAGTGACGGTGACACATAAAACATCATAGAAACTCCTGCGATAGTCATAATAGCAGAGCGCAAGCCATCTGATACATTAGATGTAACAGCAGAGCTAATAAGTTGCGTATCTCCTGAAAAAAAAATTAAAAAATTAGAAAGAAGAAATTGCAAGGTCAACATATTTCAACAAAACAACAAGATATATACCACTTAACCTGCCGACTAGTTCCCCTGTACTTTCCTTGTCAAACATTGCAGTTTCCTGTTGTAAAATTGCAGCATACGCCTTTTTCCTCAGAGACTGCGTAATTCTATGTCCTGCTTTAGACATCAAGTAGACTCTGCTAAAATTGCTCAGCCCACCTATGAGAAATACTACAAAGAGAGCAAACGTCAGCTGATTCAGCTGTTCTTTCATGTTTGTTTTTTCCATGGTGTTGATGACATCTATCACTTTGCCAAAACAAAACGGGACAGCCATGGTTACACTGGAAGACACGAGTAGAAATGCGATGGCCTTCATCAGGGTCCATTTTTCAGGTGCGGCCAGCAAGATTAGGTTCTTCAATTCCGAGCTTTTTTTCGTCTTCACTGAGCGTACGATGGATATTGAAGTGTCAGATCCGATGGCGTTAGACGTATAACGTCTCAATTCGATAAATACACGTCCTTTCCTCGATATCCTGATATTTTGGTGTCTCGTTAAGCAAGAACCGAACAAGTATTTCCTCGATACATTGATACCGCAGCATCCTGATTTTCGCAGCATACCAGGATTAATCATCAATTTCCAGAGAAGCGTCATACTATACGTAATTTGATTATCACGCTGTGCGACATGCAAATTTCGTGAATAATGAATAAGCAATCGTTAACAGTAATCCTCTCGCAAGAATCGGCCTTCGCTCCAGGCTAACCTAAAAAATACAACCATACAAAAAATTCATAGTTCCTTAAAAAATTAAACGCGTACTCAGAGAAAATGCAATTAATTATTTAAATAAAAAAACTTCCATGTGTTTGATTCCTGATAATTAAAAAAAAAAAAATTAATCCATTTATAAGCTAATTAGGTTGTAAAAATAAACTTTACAATTATACACTTTGAATATGTCCAATGTTGATGAATGCGAAAAGCTCATCATGCGAAATTCATGCGAAAAGTGATAATTGGAAAGATTAACATAAAATTAATTTACGCAAAATTTCGCTCAAGTGCTCGACGATTATAAAATTTCATGACGTCACGTCTCTTTCCGCGGGAAACTCCCGTATATCGAATCGTTGATTGGCTGTCGAATAGGGAATTTCTAAGGTTTTTTCCGCAACAGCCAATCAACGTTCGATATCGAACGTTGATAAATATCGATTTTTTTTGCAGCGAAAACGTTGATTCATCCTCTAGGTACCACATATTTTTCTATGGTCCGCACAGATCGTCGAAAACATGGCGCTCAATCTTACTGTCAAAGTGCATCCCGTGGTTTTATTCCAGATTGTGGATGCTTACGAACGACGAAAAGCGGAATCGTTACGTGTTATTGGAACTTTATTAGGTAATGTTTATATATATGTCGAACAAGAATGCGAAAAATTTTTCGTCTTGATGGAATGTGACAGTTTTGACAGCCACGCGTGAACACGTGTTTTTCCTTCAGGTACCGTGGAAAAGGGAATAGTTGAAGTAACCAACTGTTTTTGCGTACCGCACAAGGAATCCGAGAGCCAGGTAGAGGCTGATCTTACCTATGGAATGGACTTGTATGATTTAAATCATCGAGTTAATGCGCAAGAGAATATCGTGGGTTGGTGGGCTACCGGCAATGAGGTTGAACTTTAATCTCTTTACTTCCTTTACCAGATGTGTATTCCTGCGAATATAAAATAATCAGACAAAAATGCATTTTTAGGTCACCACACATTCATCCGTTATTCATGAATATTATGTGCGAGAGTGTAACAATCCGGTGCATTTGACTGTTGACACTACGTTGACAAATACAACTAGAATGGCGATCAAAGCTTATGTATGTGTTCCATTAGGAGTGCCTAATGGCAAACAAGGCTCGATGTTCACACCGGTTAAAGTTCAGGTTTGTCAGATTTTGAACAAGATATATTTTATTAGTATCATAAAAACATTTTGGCCCATAATATGAATTTACATCTATTTCTAGATGTACCTCTAAAGTTAGGGATGCAAATAAATGTACATTAAAATCAATCATATTTTTATTGCACATTTAGAGTTAACATCTATCTCTTAAATGTACCTTTAAAGTTAGAGAGACTTATATTTTATATTTAGAGATAGATGTGAGCTCATAATATGGCCCTTGATATCTTGAGACTGTCTTTAACATTGTTAAATTTTTCTGTACAGATTACATGCTACGAGCCAGAGGTTGTAGGACTGCAATTATGCTCCAAAACTCAAGTGCAATCCCACATACCAGCATCTGGAATGAAATCGGGAGGAATAGAACCCATGATGGACCTTGCACAAGTCTCGGAGGCTTGCTCCAAGCTTTCTTTAATGCTAGAACAAGTGCTTGCATATGTTGATGATGTTCTAGCAGGGAAACAATTACCGGATAATCAAGTAAATATATATTCTTTTTTTTAAATGTTTATTATTTAATCAATACAATGATTTTCTGTTGCTTTAGGTTGGCAGAGCCCTTTTGGATATGGTACATTCCGTGCCGAAAATGACTAGCGATCAATTTGACGAAATGTTTAATAGTAATGTGAAAGATCTTTTGATGGTTGTTGCATTATCGCAATTGATAAAAACGCAGTTGCAACTTAATGAAAAGCTGACACTACTTACAACTCTATAATTTAAAATATTTAATTTTTTATTTGTATAAAAACGTGTAATGCAACAGAAAATTAATAATAATGATCCATTTCTCATATATTTTTGATTCCTATTAATATTGATCAATTGTTAAGATTTATAACAATATTTTTAAAAAATGATTATATTAATTAAATAGTATTCTACAATGATACAATCACAATTATATATACAAAATATCGAATTATAAATAATTATAAGTATAAATTGCTTTTTTATAAGTCGATAAATCGCAGCATATTCATTTATACTTCGTAAGATGTTTCGTCTTTTTGATTATCTATAAGATTGGGCCAATCAGGAACTCGATTCGTTTTTAAATATATTTCTTTTGTTAAACATCGCAATGGTAAATCTGTTGTGCCAAAGATAGCACCACCTAACCATGCTGTATAATTTGCTTTACTAGGTGCTGTGTGAAATTTAAATGACTGTACTTTTAATTTACTTTCATACAAATCGCTTTGGACTAAAGCCAGTAATTCCGATTTTAAGCGACTTACAAAACCCTTTGCCATAGTTGTTCCACCAACGAGTACTATATTTTCAGCCAATACTCTCCTCATATCCAAAGGACACTAGAATCAAAATTAGTCGATATAATATTAAATGTAACAAACATATATACAGTTATAGATTTAGATTATTACTAACATGATAAAATTACTTTATAACAGAAGTATTATTCTTACTTTAACAATAGCATCAAGTATCATAGTCGGCAACGAGAGATTATCATTGTCCCTTTCCCATAGTACTTCAAACGCCTTTTCTCTAATCTCTCCAGGTATCAAAATTCTTTGAACACCTGGATATGTAACATCAGGAGGTGGAGTAGGAGCGTCCTTTGTTCCCAACTTTGCAGATCTTTCCAATGTAGTTACAAAACATGTTCTTACTTTGATATCTTCTAGCAGTTTTTCCGATAAATCTGTATCGCTCGATATATTGTTGAAATATCTTTTTAAGTTTCTACAAATTGTAAGAATGGAATTAGTAATGTCACATAAATGTTATAAAAATGGAAAAGTATTATAAAAGTTGAAAACTCACTCGTGTACAACTTGTCCACCCAGAGGCAGAGCTTGCCAAGCCTTGAGTACGGGTATTCCTTCAAAGATAGGAATTAAAGTTGCATCTTGATATCCTACATCTAGGATCAAAGCTGTATCGATACCAAGAGTGCTAATTGTTGCTAAATGGCTCGGTAGAAACAGTATAGAACCAACTTCGAAGTGCTTGAACATCACTTTTGCGAGGGTATTTCTAAACGACGTCACTGCCAATGGTGATTCTAAAAGTAATATCCTTGTGTCTTTTGGACTAACCACAACGTATCTGTGTGAGAAGAGTTATTTTGAGTAAAAAAACGCCAAGAGATTGGATAAAATAAAAATGTAGAAATGTATTGTCTTACTTGAAGAACAATAGATGAAGAAATTCTACAAGAAGTTGATACAAGTCCTCGACATCCGTATGATCAATAATTCTGCGTATCTTTTTGGATTCTGGACATCTCACTTCTGTTCGAATGATACCACGTGGAGAAACTTCTCCCGCATAGCCAAATCTGTTGGATTATGTTATAAATTATATTTATTATATATATATAACTTTTTTTATATAGGATTATATATATATATATATATATAAATATTTATATATTTATATTAATATAAAATTAATATATTTGATCACATATATAATAAAAAAATAAATAATATATTATTTATTCTATCAAATATATATATATATATATATATATATAAATAAATAAATATATTTTATGTGTGTCAAAATAAGAATATTCTATCAAATATATAATAGTATAAATAAATAATATATTATTTATTCCATCAAATATATATATATATAAATAAATATATTGTGCCAAAATGACAAAGAAGCTAATAAAACTTCTGTAAACATCTTTTCAGAATACTCACTTTGTGTAGGCACTACCAATATCAAAAATTATCATCTGCTTATCCGAAATATATCTCACACCCTCGTATCCGCGAAGCATTTTTATTTCGTTAATTATACGCTTTTCGTTGTAATCAGCCTATAATATAATATACGTCAGGCTCGTTTGACAGCTGAGAAAAAAAGCGAAGAAAAGGACAGAGTTCTTTGCTCCGATTGGCCGAATCGAACGCTTCGAAAGCTTCGAAACGTCAAGAGAAACGAACAGATGACAGTACGTTCCTAAACCGTCCGAAATTTCACCCACACGTTCCGCAATCAATATTACGTAATAGCCGAGGATCACGATAAAGGGAGTCGCGTTACTAGGTACCCCGCGGCCTTGTCTATGGCTCTCGCGTTTCTCCCGAAGAAGCCAAAGCGACGAATGTAAATATGGCCGCCTGACAAAACATTCCGAGATAGCAGCAGCGATCAACGGCACCGTGTATCGCTTTCGCTCGCGGACATGTTGCGCAGTGGAACGACGTCATCCTGACCGCTCGGGGTTTCTTGCTTCGGCGTGACGCAACGACGAGGAGTCGACGAGGAGGAACCGCGAGGGAGAGAGAGAGAATCTCGGAGAGGAAAGTTCTGGTCTCGAATCGCCAGGTTGTACGTGAAAAAAAAATCGCATTAAATAGGCGTAGGTGGTGAGAGAAGGGGGCGGATCGGGTTCGCGATCACGAGGGGTTGTCGCGATTGCGAGGTTCGGACAGGAGACAAGAAGGCGAGGATTTATAGAAGGTCTAGGAGTAGCTATCAGGTGAGGCGCAACGCGATTTCCGGGGCTTTGCCCTCTCTCTCTTTCTCTCTTTCTCTCTCTCTCTCTCTATATCTATCTATCTCTCTTTCTGTCTCACGCGCACTCTCTACTCTACTTAAGGAAAGATTTCTAAGAGACAAGTGTTTTGCCAACTCGTCGACCAGGTACGCGGTGCCACCGGATTCGCCGTCGATCTATCACGGAATAGTGGATACCAGCTGATCTCAACGAGGGTCCTTATATAGTGCTGACCCAGCAATTAGGTATATAACAAAGAGAATTTCTTTTTTTTTATCTTTGGCTTGGTAGATCATTTCTTTGTGCATTGGAGTGATTGGAAATCATTGGCAAATGAATTATTCATAGTTAATTATTGAGAGAATATTTTGGAAATCATCGATTGCAATTGATCAATTTGTTTACGACTAATGACTGGTGACTACGGTAACCATATTTTCTGAGAGATTATAAAGGACATATCTGAACATTTTGTTTCAACAGGTTTCTAAATCAGTTTGTGCGACCAAAATGGAGATTGACAAGCAAAAATAATAATTCTGTGACTATCAGAAGTTCTATATATTCTTAGAGTTTGAAACTGATTCGACTATGTTGAAACAAATCCTTAATTTTTAAAGAGGTTCCATTGTTTTCGTACTAATTCTCATGTTAATACTACAACATTAGACATTATAATAAAAAATAACGAACAAAATTGTAATATAAAGGACATTTTTAAAATAAAAGGCAAAATTGAGTTTTGGGAAAATGTATAAATCTAAAGGACAGTTACTTGAATAAAGGACTGTCCTATAAAATGAAAAATAAAGGATGGATGGTCACCTTACTTATGATTCATAGATTCGACTTAACGAGGAGAAAGAGAAAGCTAGAGAGGAAATTGATCGTACGTCTCGATCATGACAATTCTATCGAAGAAGAAAACAAACGCCTCGAAAGATAGGACGCGCGAGACAGGCGCTGGTCCAGAGGTCGATGTTCATCACGGGGTAGTTCAGAACGAGCACAATTCCGGGAACATCGCGCTACCGAACAGTCCTTATCAGGTAAGATGCAATGCGATTTCCAGGACTTTGCCCTTTTTCACTTAAGGAGCAATTTAAAAAATATATTTTTGTCAACTCGTTTACTAGGTACGCGGTGCCAGTGGATTCGATCTACATGGAGTACCAGCTGATCACGGATCTCACAATGGTCCTATAGTGTTGACTGGCAACTCGTATGAGGTATATAACAAAGAGGCTTATTTTTTTCTTATCTTGGATATGTCTTGCTCTTGCATATATCATCTCTTTGTGCATTGGACTGACATAAACCTTAAATAATATGATTATGATATTAGTAAATGTGTAATAATCAGTGAATTAATTAATTATGTTGAAGAATAGCATTATTATTTAAAAACATAAGCAATTATATTACACAATATTGTGTTATATACAGTTACAAGTGCTACACAATTGAATATTTATAATTATATAATTAATTCATATAATTTATATTTTTTATTGGTTCATAATGTCTTTATACATATTTACAGGCAAATGTAGATCGTCGTGAAGACAAACACTTTGAAGATGGGAGTGGTCCAAGTCATGGGAAACGTCACAGACAAAGAGCCAGCCCTCACAGGTACTTGAATTGGTTCAAAAATTTATAAAAAAATATGTTTTATAAAATGTGTAAATTACATTGTGTCTTTATATTGCAACACTTAATTTATGCATAATTAATATAAAATAAGATATATAGAAATTGTGCATAATAGCTAGAAGATTGTAATGATAGTTAGATTTATGCTTATAATTTATGTTTATACATTTAATAAGAGGGATCTATCAATTAATAGCTGTATTAGCAGACCTTCACGTGCAAAACGTGACAGAGAAAGGGACAGAGGCAGAGAGAGAGAGAGAGAAAGAGAACGCGAAAGACAAGCTACACCACCAGCTGCTTCTTGCAATTCACAAGGTAATGTATTTTTTTTATATTTGTATTGCAATTAAAAATGATTATTAAACTATTATCACAAAACCAAAAAACTATTAAAATAAAAAATTGTGATTCATAAAATGAAGTATTAAATATAAACTTGATTTATTTAGGTACAGATTCTAGTGTAAGTGGGAGAGTAAACATTGTTGGAAATGCCTCTAATTTGGAGGAGGCAAATGGCTACAATAGTGGTGATGAATACACAGGACGTACGGAAAATAATCTTACATTAGTGGAATGGCAAGAAGTTAGTATTATTAAACTTATATTCCAAGTAAATATGATTTTTATCTTGCATTGATGTATATCTCATATTTTATTTATCTGTAACAATCTAGAGGGATAGATGGTTTGAGAAGCGTCTCAAGAAGAAGAGCCTTATAATAAAGAAGATGGCAGAGGATGGAGCATGCTTATTTAGAGCAGTTGCGGATCAAGTTTATGGAGATCAAGAAATGCATGGAATCGTACGAAAGCACTGTATGGATTACATCGTAAGTGTATATAAACTAAATAAGATAATATTCTTTTCATACACAGTTTGGTTAAATTTATATTTTTTTTAGTCTTCCAATCAGGAGTTCTTCTCGCATTTTGTAGCAGAGGATTTCAGCACCTATGTGGATAGGAAGAGGCAAGAATATGTTCATGGAAATCATATAGAAATGCAAGCTATGTCAGAAATGTACAATCGTAGCATACAATTGTACTGTTATAGTACTGGTACGTACATCTTTTATTAATTCAATAAGGTTTTTTTCTAAATTGCTCTTGATTATGTTATTGATAATTTTTTTTTATAGAACCTATCAATATCTTTCATACTATGGTGGAAAGTGATAATGAACCAATCAGGTTGTCGTATCAGCGTGGCAGCCATTACAACAGCATAGTTGATCCATTCAAAGCCACTATAGGCGTTGGGCTTGGTTTACCATCGTATAATCCCGGTGCTGCTGATCGCGCCTTGATTTCGGATGCAGTTCGTCAGAGTGAGGAATTACAAATTGAACAGGTAATCATAATAAGTTTATACACAAATTCGAATTCCCTTTTACACTTCAATTTAACTTTACAAATATTCAAAAAACATTCTAAAATTTCGATTTTATATATAAAAGACAATGTTGGAAGATAAAATAAAAGCTACTGACTGGGAAGCGACTAATGAAGCTATCGAAGAACAAGTAGCCAGGGAAAGTTATTTACAATGGTTGCGCGATAATGAAATGCGTAAGGCAGTAAGTAAAAATTCAATCAAATCATGTTAGCCATTCTTTTATTGGAGCGAAAAGACTCAGTCACGACTTTTGAATCAAGCGTTCAGCCAGTAGTAGCAGTACGAGCACAGTTACGAGCGCGCAACATAATCATTCACACTTTCATTCACATGGAGGTCGTGGACAACAGCGTAGCCATACCTCTTCTCCGACTACGACACAAACTAGCCAAGATAATTTACGTAATTCTCCAAAGGTCCGTCTTACATTTTATTCGCGTGAGGAAAGCTTCAGACATTATTTATAAGGGATATTTCTGTTGCGATTGTTAGGTGAGCGACGCGGTGCGATATAGCAAACGATCGCCGCAGCATCAGTCGACTCAAGGGTCTAGCATATCCCATTTGCCACCAGAATTTGAAGTAAAGGTGACATCGCAAGAGCCTGTACCGGGCAGTAGCAAAGAAGCAAATGCGTCACCCGATATTTCATTGTTCAATCGCCTTCCTCCTGAAGTATTTGGTAATAATATTTAAATTATGTTTCATATACAACATATATAATTAAAAATATTCTTATTATATATAATTAATATATATGTAATATCTATAATCAAAATACAATATAATATACATAATATATATAATATTTAAATTATTTCTCACAATAAAAACAAAATCTGAAAAAAGATTTTATAGAATAACGTTTGAATTTCTGATTTCCTAGGTCTGACAGATTGGGAAGACAGCCATATACTTTCACAAGTGTTGGCGACTTCGCAGCAGGAATATTTGGATAGTCTGAAGCAGTCACGCGTGTCTGCCGGAAGCGATGGCGCCAATACGATAGAATCTAGTGCTATTAACAATTCTTGAAATGCAGTCGGTAACGACAAAGTTCAAAAAATATCAGAGTATAAATATATATTACATTTATATATTGCAGTATCATCTAATCCCATATTGTGCTAGGGCATAAGGTGATTTGCTTTCTTATCCTCGAGTAAATGTTGCAATAATCACTATTTGGTTTTCTTCTTTTTATCTTGTCTCTTTCGTGTTTTATCTCTCTTTCAACAATACGGCTACAATTACATACGTATGGCACTTTTTAGTACATACGTCATTAGGCGCTTTGTTAAGACTAATAAAGTAGCCGCGTAACTTTTTTTTGTTGCGCAGTGTACCTTTATATTATAAATTGATAAAAATAGTTTGCATCACATTCTGATATTGTTGAAGAAAATTTCTTGTTTTTTTTTGGTATGATAACCACGTTTTATCACGATTAATGTTATACTTTTCTGTGTTTTGGGATTTGACATTTATCATTCATAAAACTATGCAATTTTTAAGTAAAAGAAACATATACATATATATGTTTGATAAAATCGTGATGTTTTTCCTTAATATAGTTTAGATCACAATGCTTTAGAGAAATCTGCATTGCATTTGTAAAAAAACAGAAGCAAAATAAAAAAAGTATCATCTATATATATATAATTATAATTATAATTTTTATTGATATTTAATATAACCATTCTCTTAATTTAATGTTATTGCCATAATATAAATAATAAATTTGATGTCAAATTTTATTTTAAATTATAAATTTAAATTTCGATATTTTTTACTTAAATTTAATTGAATTAATTTTTACGATAAAATATTTTTAATGAGTCAGAAATTTTCTTAAACTTAAAGTCTGTAGAAAAATAATTGAGAGAGTTTTTATTGAAAACTAAAATTTATCACACGTAAGTCTTAATTTTTAATTAGAATAAATTGATATTTATTTAAACTTTTATTTATATTTTGTTATATATCTGACATTGATTGAAGCAAATTTGTATTTTATATATGTACATATAATGTAAGCAATACATATAAATTTGTGTTGATTAAATTAAGAAAGTCGCAATATTTGTGCTTGTTTTTATTTGGGATAAACAGAAAGGTCACTGTCTATAGTCTATCACAACGAACTGGAGTTCATCAATAAGGAGTTACGTGTCAGCAGACACGTTGAATTATTTCAACACTTTTAAATAAAATAATTTAAAGTTTTTACTGTTTTGTGAAAGTGAAAATGGATGCATCCATCGACGATTATACATTCGAAAGTACACTCGGCAAGGGAACGTTTGGGTATATATTATTGAACTCTTGCATAACGAGGGAGATGTTTTATATGTGTTATAGATATTTATTATATTTGGACATGGATATAACTGTTTATATATATATATATATATATATATATATATATATATATATATATATTTTTTTTTTTTACGGAATATAATTAGATATGTTCTTTTAGAACTGTGTACTTAGTGAGAAGAAAGAAAGATTTAAAGCTGTTTGTTATAAAAATACAAGATTTAAATGCGACAAGCTATTCGCCCTCCAAGGTATATAATCGTAAAATATCAATTCTTCTATTTGAATAAAATATATATAAAATTCGACATTTATTTTATAATTCAGAGAGCGTTAGGAGAGATACAATGCCTGAAAAAATTGAGACATCCAAATATAGTATTTTATTATGGAGCTTGGGAGAAAGATAATCACAGCTATATTCTTATGGAATATGCAACTCGATGTACTCTCAAAGATTTGCTGGAAAAACGAAACATACCACTTAAAGAGGAGGTAATTATAGATGATATAGTAATATGGGAGATAGAGTGCAATTACAGCGATAATTAATAAAAAGAATCTTTCAAAATTTTTTTTGTTTAATATGTTGAATTTCTTTAATTATGTTAATTGTAAAAGAGAAAAATATATCAAAGAAATCTTATTTTCTTAGGATGCACTATACTTATTTTCGCAAGTTACTTTGGGAGTACATCATATTCACACAAACAAAATTCTTCATCGAGATCTAAAACCGGAAAATATCATGTTGACTGGTAGCCGCGGAGATATCGTTAAAATCGGTGACTTTGGTCTCGCAAAAAGTATTCAAGAGTATGCATTGATAAGTAAACTTTACAATAAAAAAAAGTATATTTTTATTCATTTTTCACACATTAATCATTTAATTAGGATATGTGTATTAAACTATTCTTTTGAAATTACAACGAATGCCTACTAATATCCACATGAAGTAATAATTCTCTTGTTTTATTCTGCATATTATGTTTTGTAGAGATTCTATAAGTTGTCACGCAGGATCTTATTATTATATGGCTCCAGAAATGCTCACTGCACAACCGTACGAGTTTAAGTGTGACATATGGAGCATGGGCGTTATACTATACGAAATGATTACGAAAAGACTTCCATTTCCAGCTACGGTAAATTAAATTGTTTAATTGCGAGTATTAGTCATTGTGTATTGTCAATGTGCATCAATGAGTCAATTTTACGACAAAAATATATTTTTATTTATCCATTTTTGAACATATTAGTTACATTACATTTACATTTTGCAATTTACTATTACAATTGTAAAATTCTAAGTGTAAATTAAATTATATAGTAGTTATAATATATATTTATATTATGTATATATATATATATATATATATATACATGTATATATATATATAAAATATATAAATTAATATATAAGTTATATATAATAATAAGTATTATACATATAAATTATATATATATATATATATATATATATATATATATATATATATATATATATAATTATATAAATGTAATTGTGATTGAAAATGTACAATACAATTACAATGTGTATTGTTTCATTATAATAGATTGTACTCTTTATATCCCTACGAGTAAAAGTATGTTCTCAATTTTTTATTTCAGAGTCTAGAGGAAATTACGAAATTAGTATACAACAGTCCACCACGGCCTTTACCACCACAAACATCGGCAATCCTCGTTAATCTCATATCGAAAATGTTGAGGAAACAAAGTGCGTGTCGACCCAGCACTGATCAGCTCGTACTTTGCCCTTTTCTTGTCCCTTACATCATTCGAGTACATTTAAATCTCGGACGTAATATTAATGTCGCCGAACGAGAATCTGAAAACTTTGGGCCGCATCTTTTTTTAAAATTTCTAAATTCACCAAAACAACACTGATGGATAAATATCTTTAGATAGATAAATTAAAGAAGGAATGGAAAAATCATTGAGTTGTGATACGAAGATACAATTAACACGCGATAAAAAGCACTTTTATAAAAGCTCAATCAATATTCTTCATTTAATGTGCATTTTTAGAATGAAAAAAAATATACATTAAATGAAGAATATTGATTAAGCTTTATAAAAGTTTTTTATCGCGTGTTAATTGTATTTTTATATTATAGCTCAATAATTATTCCATTTTTCTTTAACACATATAAAACTTTTTTAAAAATATTATTAATAATGTATTAATGTTTTTATCTTTATATTATGTATATTGTGATATCTAAAAAACTATACATGTGATATGCGATTCTTTGAATTAATAATTTCTCATATTTTATAATATATCGTATAACGTAAGCTGTGTTTTTTTAAGTAATTATGCTCTACATTAATCCTCTGTAAATTAAATTATGAATGATTGAACGCACATTATGTCTACTGATTGAAAACCCATCGTTTCGGAAGCGATATGCGGAACCGATTTACCGCTAGTGGAAATGCTCAGATTTTAATCTCGACGTTATTACGGCACTCTGCTTCGATGGAATTTCATTGTTCGACTGGCTATCGCGACGAACGGGCCCCAAACATACTGGAAGCGTAACGACCGGAAGTTAAGGCCGGAACTACGTGGATACACCGCTTCGTTCCATCGCGGTCCTGAAAAACCCTACAGTTTGCATTTCGTTTGTACAGATATCACTTTGTCAGTCTGTTAGTGCCATCCGAACATTTGTTCGCGACAGTGAAAATAAAAGAAGAGTTCTCAAAGAGTATAATGCAAAAATAAGCTAACAATTCATAAGTAAGATATAGTTTTTGGTATTTAAAATAGAGCTTACACAAAGTGTGGCTTTATCTCTTGCGTTTAATCCATCGATTTAAAGTTGATCTTTGTCATTTAACGTTATTCCAATAATTCGGTTATCGTATTTTACGTATGAAACAGTTCCTTTGTATACTTTAGGGAAAAGTATTCTGCCAGACGAACTCCATGTCAAAATCATCGTTGATGGTCTTCGAAGATTCCGATGATCGAATAATAAACGATACATGACGTATGCATCCAAGTGCAAATCCTGCAAGAAATAGGTGAATTAAAAAAAGTCGCGAGAAATTCATAAAATTAAATATTCAATTTGACAATAATTAAAACAACAAAAAAAAGAAAACACACGAAAATGTATATATACCTATTTCAATTTTAAAATGTTAGATTTTAAACTGCAAAATCTGTAGTTTCTGATATTTTAAAATAGAACTTTAAGATTACGAAGAAAGAACTTATTTAACACTTATTTTACAACTTAAAAATCTTAGATGAGTCTAATTCTAACTCACTTTATAGGCAAAGTGAATTCAGATAGTGCAATCGTATCCAGACATGTGGTGGATTTTATTACTGAGCTGCTGGTCGTATTCCTTATCTTGGAGTATGACTTGGTATCCAGCGGCTATGCTCGGAGAACAAATCGATCTTGTGGGCGCAGTTAATGTGACTTCCGGTTCGACGAGAAACACCGCAAGCAATGAAGACTTCAATGATGCGATGAACGATTCAGAATCCGGCGTCGATCCAGGTCAGCCTCCCGTCATCAATTCCGTCGATCGCGATCGCGAACCGCTGGACGAAGTGGAGCGCATCGAACCCAGGCAATGGCCAGGCAGACCGGATATCCTGCCCACCCGCAGCACAGCGCCTTTTACCACAGAAACATCTTTATCACCCAGATCTCTGCATCCTACTGCGCAAAGAAATTCTTCCACGCAAAGGTTTTTAAGCATTATGAAGAAAAGCCTAAGGAATAAGAGATTTATTAACGTTGAGTAATAAATAGGTGATAAAAAGGAAGTTGGTTTCTTAATTATGCTTCAGGAATATAAAATTATATTTTTCAGTTAATTTTGATTGTGCTTTAAATGTAATAATATGGGTAATTATTTAATAGAAACGATTTTATAATTTACAAACTATGATAATAGTAATTATGTAAGATTAAATGGTCTTGTACATACCTGTAATTTTATATTTGTAAGATATCCTACGATTACCGCACCACCTCCGACGGTCACCGTTGATGAAGTCTTCTGCGATTTCGGACCGGTTCCATCAATGCCACTTTGCGAGTGGCAAAATGGTAATGGCGCTTTGGACTGGATTTCAGGTACAGGCATGGGTACAAACTGGGTAGGTGGACCATCGACTGACGCCACGACCAACACTATGGACGGAGGGTAAAGATTAATTAGATTGAAGAAAAATGTTCAAGAAAAATAACAGTAAAAAAATTAATTATTTTCAATATAAAATTGTGCTAAGAAATAAATAATATTTTTCTTTCACATACCATTACATACTCCAGAAAGATGTAATAGCTATCTTTAATTTCCTATTCATGTTTCAATGAATAATTTTGAGGATTATTGTATTAGATATGCCTTTCTGGAGACATCCGAGATATCTTCAAAAGATCTGAAGTTCAGAAGCCCGGGAGGTCTTCTTCACAGTCCTCAGCTGGGTAGCACTGGAGTCACTGGTACCTGTTTCATGTTCAAATACACCATGGATGGTCTCAGTATTGCAGGATTACGGGTATTGCTTCATCTCGGAGTAGACGAGTTCTCATTTAAGAAGGAAGAAACCGAGGAATTGCCTCGAATAGACAATGTCACAGTGACGAGACCCTGCGAACCAGTAGAAATCGTGGAAGAGCGCGTACTATGGCACGCACAATATTACACACTTGGAGTATGGCAGCAAGCTCAAATATTGTACACTTATCCTGAGATACACTCGGTACATTATTATATATAACTTGATTCTTATAATCAGTCAGAGATTTAATTAGCAAATATAAATTGACATCAATAAATTTGTACTCTGAGAGAGCTATTTTTTTATATCCAAATGATATGATGGGAATTTAACATCTAAAATATGATAATTTGACGAATAAGTTAATACAACTAATTAGAAGTATGCAAATTTATTCATAGATATATATTTTTGTTCTTTTGCAAAATATCATTCTTCTTACGTCTCGTGTAATAGTTTATTATAAATATCTCTGTAAAATCTCAGGCAAAATCTTGGTAATTAGGTGATTATTGAAGGCGTTCCGGTGGATTCCACGGACCCATCGCGTCTCTATCGTGGATATATTGCCGTCGATGACATAGATTTACAAGCTGGTACGTCATGTATTGGATTCTGCAACTTTGCCGGTGGTTTCTGCGACTGGAACAACGACGCGGAAGATGATTTTGACTGGACTATAGTGAGTGAACTATCAAAGTGAAAAAAAGATAATATAATAGAGAATATTATATATATAAAAGTTTCTTACAAAGATTGTTTCTTTCACTTTTTTATAAAATATATATTATATATAATATTATGTATTATATATTATATATCATATATAATATATTATAAATTATTTGCAATGGATACCTTGAGAAAGCACATTTTCAGAGTCGCGGAAGCGGAAATCCCACGACCGGGCCAGCAATGGACAGTTCCAGTGACCGTGCCACAGCAGGTGGTTACGCTTTCATCGACTCCAGCTTTCCACGAAGACCCGGTGACACGGCGAAATTGATAAGCGCGAGCTTCCCGCCAACTAGCGCTGATACGCCAATGTGTATGCACTTCTGGTTTCACATGTTTGGATCCGGAGTAGGCTTTCTGAAGCTCCTATTGCGTCACTTTCGCAGTTCGGACACTCAGGAGATCTGGAGTCTCTCTGGAAATGCCGGCAATGCCTGGTTCATGTCGCAAGTCACTATTAGTTCCCTCGATGATTTTCAGCTAATTTTCGAAGCATCGGTAGGGAATACGGGTCAGGGAGATATCGCTATCGATGATATCTCGTACGGGCCAGGTGCTTGTCCTGGTAGGTTCTTGAAGTTCGATTAAAATTTTAATGATTGAAAATTAAATTTCAATGTCTCTGCAAATTTTCTTCTAATATTTTATGTTGGTCCGAAAGTTTCGCCGCAAGTAGCCGGTCCGATTCCACGAGATTGCACTTTCGAGGTCGACGAATGCGAGTGGATCAATTCGCGGGATCCGGATCGCGTCGAATGGGAGAGAGTGTCCACCCAGGTGTTAAGCCCGAGAAATCAGAGGAAACCGTACAGTAACGGACACACGATCAATCGACGCAACGAATTCTTTCTAGGACTCGCACGTCTTCGGGGTGCCTCGCGATCGTCTGGAGGTGGTACCGCTCAATTAGTTAGTCGAGAGATGAAGGGCAGCGAAGAACCGCTCTGCATTACGTTCTGGTACTTTATGTTCGAGCCATTTATCGATTCCACAGGTCCCAGTTTGGGTGAGTAGATTTCCTTTAACAGAGAAAATTAAGAAAATTTTTGTTCAGTAAAATCCAATTTTTTATCTTTGAAATCGCAAAATTGATTTTAAAAATTTAGCTTAGAGATTTTTAATTCTTATTTAAAAATTAGAAATTTAATTGGAACATTTTTCTTAATTATTAATCTTTACAAAAAAATCTAAAAATTAAATTTGACGCGGAATAGATTGATTCTTTAAATAGGTAAAATATGTTTTCCAATTTTATAGGAGTCTTACGATTATATGTGCAAGCGGTCGGCGATATTTCAACGGAAGCCAAACCGATATGGCAGCTGTACAACAATCAAGGTCCCACGTGGAGTTTTGCTCAGGCTAACATCAATGAAAAGACGAATTTCAATATCATCTTCGAGGGCACATGGGGTCCGAATAGAGCGAGTGGTAGCATAGGAATCGATGATATCTCCTTTTATACAGGCAATTGCACCGGTAAATATTTTTCTCTTCCTTTTCGAGTTTATTTCTTCTCTTTCTCCTAAAAAATTAATGATTTGTTAGCACACAATACCAGTATTTTCTTTCTTACTTTAAATAATAAATCTATGTTTTACATACATTACAGTAAAACCATTGAGTGCAACCGTTCGCGCGGAGGATTGCAGTTTCGAGAAGAATTTGTGTGGATGGGAAAACATAACTGTATCCGCAAACAACCGATCTGTGATGTGGCAGCGTGCGTTTCAAACTCATCGACCGGCTCAACTATTGGATAGGACCTTCGGCGCGTCTGGTGATTTCGTCTTCTTCGACATTTTCACGACAAATAAGCAATCGACGGAGGTTCAATTGCGATCGCCCGTCATCAACGTTTCGCCCGATGAAGAGTTCATGTGTTTTACTTTCTGGTACGCTGCCTTTGGTGTGGAAGAATCCACTGCTTTGCGAGTGATCAAGATGCCCAGCGAGAGCGCTGATGAAGAAAGCCAAGATGAGGAGGAGCAGGAACAATCGGTACATATGTTGAAACTATAAAATTGAAAAAATAGAATATAATTATATAAATTGAATATTACTAATAATATGTTAACTCTATATAAATTGAATATCACTTATAATGTATTAACTCATCTTTGATTTTATTGCAAAAAAATATTTAATTTAATAATTAATATTTTAATAATTTTAATTAATAATTTTCAATCTCTATTTTACTTTTTACGTTTAGTATCAAATGGACAAATTGAGTATTACTTTGTGAAATGGAGTATGTACTTTTATTTCAAACTTGTCACCTTCATTATTACAGTTATGGTCATTGACAGCTAAAGGATTGAATAATCCACGGCCAGTTTGGATGCCAGCCCAAGTGACGATTGAAGCGCGAACCCCATATCGACTTATTCTCGAAGGAAGTGCTAGTAATGGAGGTTTTGCTGTTGATGATATCAAGTTTCAGCCTTTAGCCTGCGGAAGTAAGACTGATGAATTACAAAATATAATGAAGATAAACATAAATGTTATAAAAAATATATATTACTTTTTTCAGCTCGACCAGCCAATGCTCAACCAATTGTAAACGAGACATAAGAAAAACTACATAATAATTGTGTTTTTTGTAACATTAAAATAATTTTATTTTCTTATTAACTTATAGTCATCATTTATGTTTAATATTATGTTATTACATATACAATAGGTAATGCATATGTAACACTATATGTACAATATGTTAATTATTATTGCATAATAGTTAGAAAATAGAATAATACAATGCAAATAAAATAAAAATTTTAGTTATAGAATAAATTAACTTCAATTAATCTTTATGTAATTAAGAAAATAACAAATAAATTTATATATACTTTTAGTTAATATTGCTTATCATGTATTAATAAATGAAAATAGAACAAATTGTATAATATATTGCAGAATTAAATAAAATAGATCTGCCTGTAAAATGTAATATTTTTGTGAACATCTTTTGCATCGTATATACTATTATAAAAATACTAAATATTTAATATCACGAGTATAATGACAAATTGTATATAATAATCCTGCCAAACAAATCAGTACTTTGATTAAATACGAATTTAAAAGTCTTGGCTTTAATCTGATTCTTTAAATTGAATCGTTGTACTTTATTGGTATCATCTGGATAAAATGCTTCCACAATTGTTATGTCTTTTCCATCATTGCCAGCCTCTACATGGCAATCTTTTCCAGCAAATCCACCTTGGAATTCTATTTCAAAACTAGAAATATTGCATTCTTCTTCAAAATTGATTATAATCCATTGTGGACTTCCCTATAAGATATATTGTTCATCACGTTAATTTCTAATAAGAGTTTTGTTCAAAAGTTTAATTACTCACTGCATCAGAGTTCCAACACGTTTCATTGGAATTATCAAACATGTACATCTTTCCATAAGATTGAACATTCTTATTTAGCACTGAACTAACTCTATAAAGTATAAATTATTATTAAATTATCATTATTAAAATCATTATTAAAATATCATAAGGCAAATATTTCTCTTCTATTATCTCTCTATACTACAATTATATATATATATATATATATATTATTATATATTCTATAATTATATCATTAAAAAAAGAAGCTACTTATTACAAGCAAACTTATTTCCAGCTGTTCATTATTTTATGTAATATTTTATATATTAATATATTATTTTATGTATTATAACCATAAAACTAACCGGCAGTTAAATTTGTTTTCTTTCAATAAAGAAGACATGTCAACTAGTTACTTTTCCGTTTATAGAAAAATAAATTATCATGCTTATTATAATATTACGCGCAAATCGTTGCACTGTAATTTATTATATATAAATATATCACTTTATAAATTATAAAAACACAATCGAACAATCGCGGCTAAACAAAAACAGCCATGAACAGCAAACTTTGAATAGATTGTGTTTGAAAATCTATTTCTCCGGTAGATATCGAGACACAGATTACCTATCTATTAAATTGTTTTTTCTATGGTCTAAGAGAAATAGAAGGTTTGTTCTTTATTGCTGCACTGGTAAACTAGTGCACCCTGGTGCAGTAAGTTAGAGTGAAACAAAATATACTTGTCTCACTTTAATTTATTGCACCAGTTTACCAGTGCAGCAACAAAGAACAAACTCAAAATGCAAACTCAAACTAAATATTTGTGAAGAATCTGAGAATCATTTTTTATCCAGTATTGGTCGTTTTTTATTTAAAATATTTTTTCAAAATATACTGCTAAAATGTTTTATAGATAATAAAAATCAAAGATCAATGATAAATGTATAAAGTATAAAACAAACGATTCGGATTCAAATTACTCCTGTTAATCTCTTCGATATATAAGTATATATTTCTTTTCTTATTCTGATTATTCTGAGAATCTAATTATTTATTATTATATAATTATTTATATATTAACTTTATTAGTATGTTCTCGGTATCAAGAAGTTTGTGTCAGATCAATATTCAGCGAAGTGCAACGAAGCATTTATTCGTTGTTCGTTCTACAAGAAATCACACTTGGCAACGTAAGAAAATTCTTGGTCGAAACACAGCTGACTGCAGAAAATTACAGTGCTTAATTACTCTGCAAAAATGCAATTTTCGCACTACACCAAGCTTGCATATTCCACCGTTCGTGGCTATGTTTTTACGTCCTGCCTTACGCATTGGTGCGTTCCTGATGGGACGTGGAATAAAGAAATGGTGGGCCCGCAAGTCTGAGAAAGAAAAGGGAGAATACAAACGATGGGTCAAGGACAGGAGCAATGTAATTTTAGGTGAATTCTCTTGAGAATGCTAAATAGTTTCATTATAATACAACTTTTTATTATATTCATTAATTTAAATTGTTTAAAAGGCTGTTTTGGACTGTACGGTCTTATATTATTTCTCTATTATGTAACACATCTCGAAACTGATCCATTGACCAAACGCTCAAGATTTATCATCTTTAATAAGGAACAGGAGAACCAATTAGGAAAGATGGTTCTTGAAGTTGTAAGTACAAATGATATAATATTCAAAAAATATATATATATTAAAGATCTAAAAGATGTTGTGTGTTTGAAAATATTTTTCAAGTTTATATCATCTTATTTCAGCATTTAGAAGCTCACAAAAAAGATTTGGTACCGAAGACTCATCCTGCTTATAAGAGACTCCTAAGGGTGATTGAAAAAATTGTGACAGCTAATAAAGACTTAAAGTCGATAAGAGATACACAATGGACTTTAACTGTTATTGATACACCACTATCAAATTCATACATCTTACCAGTAAATATATTAATATTATACAGCAATATATTCAATAAGATCTTTTATATACTAAATTTTTACTTCTTTTGTATTTTTTAGGGTGGAAATATCTTTGTCTCCTTGGATATTTTAAAAATTATTGAAAATGATGATCAATTAGGTATTGTTTTAGCACATGAAATGGCACACTCTTTGCTTTTACATTCGGTAAGTAATACTAGAAAATTTTAAACATATTCATTATAATGAAATTACAATGATGAATTTTGCTGATTTCTGTCAACAGCTTGAGTCATTGTCTGATCAGCTATTGTGGGACTTTTTGATAGCAATACCTATTTTATTGGTTTGGGCATTATTTCCTGATGTAACAGCTGCTATAATTCACATAATAGGAGAACGAATTGTGAATATTATGTACAAACTTCCATATAGTAGAGTCTTGGAGAATGAAGCTGATGAAGTAGGACTTGCACTGGCTGCAAAGGTACATATGTAATGTTGTGTATAAAAGTTTAATATTATATTTTATATTATTGCTTATTTAATATTAAAAATTAATTATTATTGTTCATGATAAATATGCATAATATCCATTTTTTACAGGCTTGTATTGATATTCGTGAAGCAGTTGTATTTTGGGCTACAATGAGAACACTTACGGAAATGCATCTGTTGCCTCCAGAATTATCATGGATATCATCACATCCTAGTCATGGAGACAGAGAAAAAAATTTGAACGAAGAAATGACAAAGGCAATAGAATTACGAAAAGATTCAGGAGTATGTTATTTAACTTATATGCATATTAATACTATCATTATTGCATTTTGTATACTATCTGCTACAAACTATTTTATTAACATAGTACATATAAAAATTCTTTAATTTGATTTACAGTGTCCAATATTGCCAGCAGTAGATCCTAGAAATAAATTCTATCAACGATCACCAAAAGAACAAGAAATTTACTTTAGGCAGAAAGGAATCATTTCATGAAGAGTCAAAGACTCAAATGACTTTCGTCCAATTATCGTGCCTCAATGAACATAGTTTTTCTCAAAGATTAAAATATTCTTAAACTGTGAGTAAAATTTCAATATATTTATTTTTTTTCAGTACAAAAAGAAATGTAGTTTATATAGATATATTTATAGATTTGAGATTATAAATAGTTAATTAAAGTATTATTATAAATGTATCTATGGAAATATGTAGTGTTCTGTAAATATTGTATAGTATCATGTTTAATATAAAATCATACGAAATTGTTTTATTTTAATTGTTTTCTTGTTTCATTAATTTTGTTAATCTGATTTGAAAAAATGTACATAGTTATTTTAAATAAGAAAATTTATATTTGTGAATAAAACATTTTTAAAATAAATGTACAATATATAAATTATTTATAATCTTCCATTAATCTCTTAAATTATAGATTATTATAGTTTATATATATATATATATATATATATATATATGGTATATATATAGTATATAAGGTCTATATATATATATATATATATATATATATATGGTATATATATATATATATATAGTATATAAGGTCTACTATATAATTGGAGGATGCGAATTACGCAAAAATTCTATTAATGTGATAAATGACGAATAGCCTAATGTGATTTGAGATTGTCTTATCATCGTCCTTCCTGTACTTCTGCTTCTGATGGCACAGTCATATTATTTATTCATTTATATTTCATCAATTAGTCAGTGACAAATCATACTATTGTTTGTTAAGTTCTGTGCTACTCAATTACAAATACAGAGGAAATATAATAAAAATTATTTTATAATTTTGGAATGTACTAACATAAGAAAAATTGCGATATTTTCATTCAATAATATTATGTTATATTTTACAAAGGAGTATTATATAATTATTCAAGTATTTTGACCAAGTGTATAATCGTTAACAAATAATTATATTGCGAGATGATAAGATTCATATTAATCTCTAATATTTTAATTGTATCTGCGTATAACATTGATATAAATCATCCAATATTATATCCGAATAGTGCTACTAATGCGGATGAATATTTCTATACAAGATATGAACGCAGTTATTTCGGCTATTCAGTGCTGTTGCATCATGACTCGTTGCGGAATTCTTCATGGTAATGTATATCAATTAATTTTTATAAAAAGTATTTTTGTTCAACTCTGATTACTTTATATAATTCTGATTATATTTATAAAATATAAGATGTTTTTATAGTTTTTTATAAAGCCATATAAAAACATGTATTTGTTTTATTTTTATAGGCTGTTCATAGGAGCACCTCGAGGAAATTATTCGCAGCCATCGCATGATCGAATGAATTTTTTAAACGAACCTGGTGTGGTTTATCGGTGTGATTTGCCGGGCCCGTGTATTGAGATCAAACCTGCTGTTGTCAGGGATGAAGAAATATATATAAGTCAACTTGGTTTGCGCGCACATATAAGGAAGAAGTATTCCTGGTTCGGTGGTGCAATGTCGATAGATAGAAACAGTGGTTTTTTCACGGTACTAAAAAATGTCTAAACAAATTTTAATATAAATACATCCTCGTTTTGTGACAACTTTTAATTATTTATCTCATTACATATAGATATGCGCACCACGAACAATTATGAGCATTATACTCAAGGGGAATAATTACGTGGAAACTATGCAGGGCATGTGCTACAGCAATCAGATGTTGTCGACAAGATTAGATGCAGAAATGTCTGAAATTGAATATTTTGGTAGTAGTTATTTCTCTGTCGCTTTTTAATGCCTTTCTCTATGGCTTTTAGTTGTATTTTTTTTTATTAATTTTGCACTTTATATTTAGTAGAAAAATATAATTAATGGATACACCATATTTTTTTGAGAATATATTAATATTAAATATTAATATTAATATTAATATTAAATATATACACTATAAATTAATATTAAATTATACATTAGATTACAGCAAAGATGCATGGTTTGATCCAATCCATGGTTTCTCCGTTACCTTTGGATCACTGCAGGTATATATGATTAACATTATTTATTAACAGTTCATGTACTCTTCTTTATTTTTGATACAATGGACAGGTTTCTTTTGCTAAATTTGTTATTAAAATTTTCATTATATTGCATTAATGACAAAGTAATTTAATTATCAGGGTGAAGGAGCAATAAATCGTATCGTAGGAAGACCAAATGACGATATCAGCGGCAGCATCAATATAGCATATTTTGCGAGACGTAATTTTTTTCAGACATATACGGAAACTGTACATATTCCAGTAAACGACAACTTATCGCAGTTTGGTACGAATTCTCTCTATAATGAAAACTTTCATCACATATGATGGATGAATTTCAATTAAGATATCTTTATTGCAGGCTACGCGGTAACATCGGGATACTATTTTGACCGAAATAAACTTCTTTATGCTTGCGCAGATCCAGGATGGGACTATGTGGGACAGGTAAAACATTACTTTTATCTGTACATGAAAACGAGAGCTATATTTATAGTATGGCAATTTGTGATGCATTAAATATTTTGCAATAGGTCGCTATAGTTAATCCGGATAAAAATTCTATGATCACCCGTCTTTGGGGCACTTACATCGGCGAATTTTTCGGAGCGAGTTTGGCTACGGGTGATTTAAACAAGGACGGCCTGCATGATCTCGTAATCGGAGCACCGCATTGGGGAAACGATAACGGCAGAGTCCACGTGTATTTAGGTAGTCCGAAGGTAAACTTTTATTATTGTTGTACGAAAATTATTCCCTCGGGAATTAAATGCAAATACTCGATAAAAACGAGTGAAGAGTATCAGTATTTTTCTGATATTATATAGAAGGTTTTCATCAAGTTTATTTTGATACAGGAAGAATTCGAGGCAATCACCATTTTGGAAGGCCTTAGCGAGGATGCGCTCTTCGGTTATGCGGTAGCAAGCGGCGATTTAGATGGAGATGGATTTAGTGGTGATTAAACTGCACTTATAATTAAAATTTGAAATTATTTCTCCAATGTCTCAGATGAACCTGTAATGATACGTTATTTATGCTGAATTCTAGACATTATCGTGGGTGCACCCTGGGAGGAATCTGGAGTAATTTACATTTATAATGGCGATGCAAGTTTAAAGGACAAAGTAAGACCTCTCGTGTCGCAAAGAGTCATAATGCAATCAGGTCGTAATCTTCCGAAAGGAGTGGATATACAAACTTTTGGATTTTCGATATCCGAACCAATCGATATAGATAACAATGGGTTGGTAAATCATTATATGTAACTTTATATATATATATATATATATATATATATATATATATCATATAAATTTGAGCAATAATTATTTCTTAAAACAAAATATAACATGTAGATTCGCAATATCTTTATAGATTCATCTTCAGATTTAATATTTCTTGTTATATAATTTTATCTGTACCTTTTAAGGATTAAAACATATTTAAACTCCTTTAGAATTTCTCATTTTTAATTATTTGCAACGTTCTCTGATTTGTATAGGTATGTAGACATCGCAATAGGCGCGTATAAATCAGGACATGCCGTGGTACTTCGAAGCAAACCAGTCGTAAAAACAAATTTGACCATTTACACTGTTCCGAGTACTTTACAAAGAAACATCAGCGATTTTTTCATTAGAGTGTGTGTCGATTATCACGGCTACGACATAGCAAATACACGTGGTAAGCTGTAATAAAGTGTCAATAAATTACTGTTATTTTTTATATTACAATATATATTTTAATGTATAATTTATAGCTTTCAAGATTTCCCTTATTGTGGACAAGAGATATAAACGTACCAAGAAGACTTTATTGGAATTATTCTCAATGGAGCCTCCCGTTCATATGTGTGTAAATACCAGTGTTACACTTTCGGTATTAAACATTTATATGTTCAATGTCGTATTATGCAATTTTTTAATAATAACCGATATCTCTTCTTGACAAAATGCAGGACAATATTCAAGACTTTATCGAACCAATCGCTATTTATGCAACTCACAATTTTACATATAACGATTCGTCTGCGTCTGAATTCTGCAAGGTATGTCCTATTGAGAGTAAAAGCAGTAAATCGAAAAGTACGCAAACGCTTTTGCTTCCCTTCGATATTGGATGTGGAGAGGACAGAGTTTGCAATTCCAATATATCTGCAACAGTAAAATTCGCGGGAGTCAGGCAAGTAACATCGAGTTAAAAGTTTATCACAAAAAGGATCATCTATGTCTTATTGAAATATAAAATATAGGGAGAATAATTCATGGGTGATTGGCTCTAATGATATTACTTTCAAAATACACGTGGAGAATCGAGCTGAACCGGCGTATCTTATGATAATTGTAATTATCCTCCCGGAAGGTATAATATTACGTAGTATTTTACCATTTTGCGAAGAGGACACAGATGGAGATAACTTGAAAATTATTTGCAATGTCGGTAATCCGCTTGGAATGAATGAACAGGTATATTATCAATAAAAATAGAGCGCTATATCGTCTTGTCGATTATTTCGAGTAAATCAGTGCTAGGATTAACAAGGACAAAAATATTAAAAGAAACATTTTTCTCAAAAAATTAATTTTATTTTTGCAGAAAGTTGTAAAATTGGATCTGGATATGAAGCATTTAACTGACAGTTTATTGCACGGACATATTCTGGAGTTCAATACGGAAATACAAACTCGTAGCGTAAATCATGGCACCCATATGATTAAATCTTCGCTTACTTTACTTAGTGAGGCGTCTTTATCAATAAATGGGTCAGTATTTAAAAAAAGGGGAAAATATATCTTGTATAATAACAGATACATAATTGTTACAGGAAAACGCTTGAAGAACGTTATTATTTACCTAATTTGGATCAGGATCAATTAAATATAACGTTTCAGCATACTTATCAGATCCTAAAATTCGGTGCAACGTCAATAGACGAGGCACGTCTTACTGTTAAAGTACCAGCTGCCACAGAAGACACAGGTTCTCTAGTATTCTTATATAAACCACGGGTTGGTATTTATTCTGTACAACTTAATATATAGAAAATTATCACAATTATCTGTTACAATATTATTTTTTTAAAGAAATTCATAAAGATATTTAAATATATTTTTTTAGATATTTATATCTGGAAAATATTACAACTGTATATCGAGCGGGATAGATCTAGTGGAACAAAATTGGTTTCGAGAGGAGACAGCATCTGATTTGTACGCGTATGATTCGGATAACGAAACACTACCAAATATAGCGCACGATATCTTCAAGAGAGATGTGAACGATCGTATGAGCATGACGATTCGTATGTTACAATTATTGTATAATGCGGGAACAGTGAAATCAGAAGTATCAAATGGTAATCTGACAGTACGAGAAAGTAACATTGTATATTTGAACTGTTCAATATACGGTGTCAATTGTTCGACGATATACTGCGATCTCAGTATGTTAAAAACACGTCAGGATGTCGGCAGATTAACGATGAAATTAATTCTCAACGTTACAAAGCTCAAAGGTAGGGAATTATCTTGAACGAAAAAAAAATATCGTAGTTTCTCTAATGAGTCATTATTATGGATATTTTTTATTTTTTTTAATGATTATATAATTTAAGATACTTTCAAACTATCGGATGAAATAAAGATCGTAAAATTCAGTACGGATGCTTACGTCGAAATTATACGCCCGGCAAATAGGATTTTCAGCGTAGACACTAGGTGGATATTGTTGTCATAATAAATTACTGATATTTAGTAAATAATAATTAATTTAAGAAATATACAATTGCAGGCGTAATATAAATCTTACGACAGAATTGATTAACACTGCAAAGACACAAAAACTGCAATTATGGATTGTGCTTGTATCAGTCTCGTTGGGTTTAATATTATTATATATTGTTATTATTATACTAAGTATGGTAAGTCTTTTCTGTGTTGCGTTACTACTTTTTACGTACAAATTTACGTTCGGGATCATTGATTATTGCTTTCGATTATAGGCAGGTTTTTTCAAAAGAATAACTAAGGAAGAACTATCTGCTTTAAAGACGAATGAGGTATAAAACGATACATATAATATACGAAATTGATAAATTAAATATATATATAAAAACATTTTTACAGATAACAGAAGATGTGAATAAAGTGGAAATCACAAATGTATCAGAGTAGATTTTGCAAATATATTTACGTAAATTATTATATTGTAGATTATATATATATATATATATATATAAATAAATATATTTTTTTAAAAAAATTATTCTTTTTATTATTACATAGTTATAGTACATTGCCATACAAAGATTTGTGTTATTAATGATACCAGGTGTGTATTTCTATAACATTATTTCATATAACATTCACATTTTCTTATCACCAAAAATATTAATAAAATGAATATTTACAATGATGTTTTCCTTTGGGAAATAATATATTTATGTAACATTTATGATATAAGAAGATTTCTTCCATTCATATACAAGTTTCTCACAAATCAAAGATCTCTTAATAATTGTTTGTTGCATATAAAAACATAAAAGACATGGTTTTTCTAGTTATCTATTGTTTGTATAATCTGTGATAATAAATTATGATTGTAAGTAATGATATTTTGACATTCCTTATTGCGCATGTTATCCAAATTAAAGTATACATATACTTTGTTTTAATTAAAAAATTGTCATACTTGTGTGCATAACATGTACAAATATGTGAGTATAAATTATTTGCATTCTTTTTTCTTTCAAAATCATCTTGCTTAAACAATATTATAATCATAATGCTATTACGCGATTTTGTCATTAATAAAAATATATGATTAATGACACATTCACACGCCACCAAGGTCATTTCTGTTTCTTCAAGCATATTTTCAGGTGATTTTCTACTTCCAAAGACAGATGAAATGCAGATTGATAATATAAGCTGCATACATATATCATAAGATGTAGAAATGCTGCTATGCTTGTTTAGTCAACTGCTGCTCTCGTAATCACGTTCAACCTCTCTTTATAGTTTGGAGGACTTGATATCCTTCAAAAGAAAGTTGTGCCGCTCTTCTCCGCTTCTCGTTTCACGATGCGATAAACATCCACCTGATATTTAGGATTCGAACCGCAATCGATTCGTCTCCCGGTGATGTATTGCATGTATCAATCTTTGAGTTAGAAAGTCAGGACTAGAAATTTATACTGTCCTGTATAATAGCCCCTTTCTCATTTTTTATTCTTCGTTCTTCCGCTCATGTGTATTGGTATGCGTGTGTTGTGTAAAATGTAATACATTTTTAATAGAAAAAAATTGATATATATAGAATTTTGCGTTTCGCATATTGCTTTTGCGAATCGCTAACACATGTATTGCAAAATAAAAAATAAAAAAAATTGAATTTATACATGAACATTGCAAATCATTTATACTCACATAATGTAATCGAATTATTTTAAACTGATATATGCATAACGATTTACACATTTCAACGATTAATACAACCTAAAATAATTAATAAAAAATTACAGCACTGTCATACATGTGAAATGACAATTTCAAAAAATTGTTTGCTACATATGTATATCATTTTCTAGAAAATTGCACTATTTTAAACATTTTTTCGGAAGAAAAGAAAATATTCTTCTAATTAAAATAATTATTAAAGACTATAAACTTATATTTGTAGACACAAATCCATGTGCATAATGAGATCTAATATTATTAGATCAAGAATGTAATACAGATTAAAATATATAAAGGAACTATTTAATCTATCTCTATTTAATCCTTTTGATATATAACGATTTTTATGTTAACTACACAGTGACGCTAGACAGTTACAGAGAAGTCTCTAGCTAAATTAAGTATCTTGTTGATCTAGAGATTGTGTTTTGTGGAATTTTATACATTTTTTCTTACAAAGAATTTTTTATACAAATTTATAAAAAATCCTTTATAAAATAAAGTTTTATATATTTGTGTTGATATTTTTCTCATATCCCTAAATGTCCTTTCTTCATTTTTTTGCACAGAAAATCTAATATTTTACTTGTCTTATTTGCAAGTTTAATTAAAATTTTCTATAGTGTGATATATATCTATCGTCACTGTATACGCAAAACATTAATATGAACAGGCAGTATAAAAGCACTATGGAATATAATTTCTTTTTTTTTTGTACTTTATGTAAATCAAAAGGATTGTGTGTGTGATCATGATATACATTGAAATTTGTAATGTACAATACGTTGTAAACGCCTAAGAGCGTGTGATAAGAGAGAATAATAGTTGTTATTGATTATTCCGTTACATACCAAAAAATATTTTTGGTATTTATAGTATCTAGATATTATACTAAAAACTTTGTATTTTAATATAGTATTAATATTTCTATCTATTTTCTGTAATATAACTAAGTTTTTTTTTTTATTTTTATCATACATCAAAACCTGAAGAAAAAGAGATCTATAACCAAATGTAAAAATTATTTAGCATAATAGTATTTTTCTGTACTAATTAGATAATTAAATTATGATAGTCTGTATTAATTAGAATATGATCCGTCTTGTTTTATCTTCAAACGCACTGGTAATCTTTGTTTTTATGATAGTTTTCATCATTTATACATTTCCATTATAATATACGCACACATACACACATACATATACACTTATTAATACACAGCAGTATTAATGAAAAATGTATGAATAATCTTTTTCGCGGGTGGTATTTTCAGTTATAGTCAGTTTCTAATATTTAATTAGAAAATAACATCATCATATACCTCAAAAAATTTTTTTTAAATTTATAACTATTATATTACTTTTTTTTAACTTTTTTCTATTTCGAGTTTTCTTATAAATAAATCTGAGCTTTTAGATAGAAAATTATTCAAAATAATTTTATTAAAAATTCATAACTTTACAATACTCTAATTGATACTGCTGAATAGTATAAGTATTTATGCCAGAAATTTATTAAAAACCAATTAAATTGAAGATTACTTTGTCTTTCGTATATTAAGATTATATAATATAATCTGGCTTAGTTTTTAATAAATTTTTCCTCATACACACTGCAAAAATTTCTGTTAAAATAGCAAATTAAAACAAGATGGATAAGCGATTTCTTTATCATTAGGTTTTGATGTGAAACATAAATATACTTTGTGTCTTGAGAAAGCAAAAGAATATGAATGATATTACGAAATTGTGTGTTTCACAAGAAGATCGCATTCTCTGTTTTTTAATATTATTATCACAGTGTGACCAATTTTTTTACTCACGAATGTTATTTTGTAAAAGCTTCTGGTGGTATTTGACTACGTTTGAAGAATTCTTGAAATGCAGAGAGTGCATTATTGTAGTTCCATTGCGTCTCTTGTAAACACTTGAGACTCCATTCTAAATTCATATTCGTTTGCTGACTCAATGTCATTGTCATCTGCTGTTTTACATCTTCGCTCAGTTCCGAAAGTATAGGCTTTGCTGGCTCCGTTGATGTTTGTGGCAATATTGCTGGTGTCTCCGATTGATTATTCAGCATCGGAGTACTGTTTAGTAGCTGGTTCAATTGTTTCAGTTGCGCCTCAGGCGGTTGACTAATATGTAACTGCTCGTTACGAATACAATATCCGCCACCTTCCGGAACAATTATAAATGTTCGATTGAAGTGGCGAATGGGCTGTTCCTTGTTAAGTTCTTGGAAATAACCCGTTATCGTGATGAACATCATAACTTGCTGTGAATAAATAATAAAAATATTAATCTATTTCTTGCTTAATATTTGACATATAACAATACAAATATTGTTGAATAATTTAATAACTTACTGTAACAAGAGAGATGTCCATGGTAAAGGTATCTAAGAAATGTCTTGTTCGCGGCATTTCTGATATGAAAGAAACTACAGGTAATCTACCATGTTTCAATAGTTTCTGTCTTCTGGCCGTGTCATATATTCTGAACAAGTTTCGGTTCTCCATGAGATATCCATTTAACCTAGCAACAAAAAAATGTTATTTTTAATATGAATATTTTTAAATACTCTATATTAAGAATATTAATTACAGTAATATGGTAATTAAAGGAAAAATATTCTAAAAAAATATTAAAATTATATATTTTATAAAATATTTTTAATAGAATAATTAAAAATAATAAGATAGTATAATACGCTTTTCAAATATGTAATAAACAAAACTTACTTGTTATTGTGAGAAGTGGTTATTGTCATACTAAAGCACGCGTGTTCATCATACGCGTCAAGTAGAGGTTGACGGTTGTCACTATCAAATATTGTGAAATACTGTTGCAAAAACTGGCTTGCAATTTGCTGGGCTTTCGTATCAGCAATGAACATTCTCTGCGATGATGGTACTTTAGCGGCCTCGTCAACAACATCGAATACGATCGGTCGTGGTAATTCTGTGTCGTCCTTTCGAACGATGTAACAAAAATTTATGCGTACGTGTATACATAAGGTACATAGTTTTCAATACATATATGTAACAGTGCATATACTCACCAGACGCAGCAATCTCGGGAATCGTTTCCGAACGTCGCTGTGGTCGAGAAAGAAAAGTCCTCAAGTTCCATTTTAATCGTAATAACAAGAACACACACATGCTTCATTATTAAATAATATAAGAGAAAGTATATGAATAATTTAGTGAAAAATATTCAAAATAAATTCATTATGTAATGTTTTATAGATGTAATTTAAATTAATTTTGTGTAAGATTGATGTCTAAAAATTATTTTGGGAAAACATGTAATTTTAATTATCTATTTATATATTTGTAATTTTACTAATATTTTCGACTGTTATCAGAATATAGAATTAAACTATTTTTGAGAATCTCTACTTTAAACATATTACAGTAGAAAGATTAATAGTGTTGCGATATTGTGTCTTTTAATATTATATGTCAAATAACATTAGTTTATTTTCCATACTCTGCTTTTCAATAAAAGAAAAGATTTTGTTAGAACAATACATTACCTAATGTAGTCATTTTGTCGAGACTTGTACTTGTTACAGACAGGGTTTCCAATCAATTTCAATTCTTCTAATTTTAGGTCTTTAATGGCATCTAACTGATGGATATCCTTGATCTGCAATATATAATTCATGTGTTATATGATAGAATCAAATATATGATACAATCACAAGCTATTGTACTCACTTTGTTATCACTGACGTATAAAATTTTCAAGTTTGGAAATTTTTTACTTAGTACATTGAGCTTGTCAATACTCTGCAGCTTATTGCCTTCTAAGTTTAAGGCTTGTAAAGTTGGTATATGCTCTCCCACGATATCTAACACAGTCATTAACATTGCAGGGCGGAACAATGCACAAAAATAATCACCAATAAGATCTGTAAGATTCCATACATGTAGTCATTTGTATTAGTTACTTATAAATCTATAAAGTTAATATTATTCTCAATAAATTTATAATTTCATAATTCTAACCAGGATCTCGATGAAACTTCGACAAATCCAAAGCGTTTGTTTCTTGCACATATCTTTTAGACATAGCTTGTTTCAATCGTTCCTTCAATTTATCATCAATTTCGCATTGTGGAAATCCTGGTTTTGCTCTCACTTGTAGTTTAAATCCATCTGTCATCGTGATTTTGCGATCACACTTTAGTAATGCATTTGCTGTCTTGAAATCATCGACATAAAAGCTAGCTTCGTTTGCCATAATCTTATACTGTAAAAAAATTCCTTAATTTAGCAACAATTTAAAAATTGTCTTTACCGTATTACATCTACCTTATATGATTTAAAGCTTTACTCCTATTGCAATCATATTTGATTAGATACAATATCAGAAGGCATAAATTATATAAATATATTTCTTGTATTAAAATAAAGATAATTCTTATTATATAAATGTATATTAATTTATAAGAATTCATTTTATACGAAAAAATTACATCACTTTGATTGCTCACTTTTAATATTGTAATTGTTGTAAAGGATTAAGAACTTATAAATTGCTTACTAAATGTGTCAAATTAAAAAGTATATAAATATTCAATAAAATTAGAGGTTAAAAAAAATATTTACCATTATTGGAATGAACACTTCAGGTGCCATGAAATTTAGTAGGGTTCTCAAAATGTAATCCTTTTCGTATTTATGTCCATACGGTATCTGTAATACATAAGCAATATCAGAAATAGAAAATTAATTTAAATTTTAATGTATATATAAGCATATATTATGATGTAACAAAATTATCACTTACACTGATTCTATACCAATTAGATTCTCCTATTGTAAGTGTTTGCTGTATTCTAGAACCAGATTGACCTCCCTTGAAGTTTCTGTTCGGTAGAGGGCTATTTCTTCCTCGAGTTATTCTTGGCCATCCTTTCATTTCTTTCCTTCTTGAGATGTTGGTCACATACACTTGTCTCGTTTGTCTATTATTATTATTACAGTTGCCTGTCATTGGAATATCTTCATCTACGCTTGCCAGCGCTAAATTACGTGACAGTTCTCTATGGGGCCTAAGTGTTTTAAATGATACACGAGGCCTGGTTCCTTCAAGATGAGGTCCATTATTTCTTCCCATACGATCATCATGACCTATAAGTGGATAGTAGAAATTATGTAAAACATACATTTATTTGTTAAATAGCACATTATAAGTACCTAATATTACTGTTCAACATCTGTAGTTTACAATAAGCTATTATATACAATGCCTTTTTTGTGATTAGTATTTTCATATTAGAATTTTATTAAATAATTAAAATGTATAAAATGTGTATATTACAATGTATCCAATCATAATACAATTCACAATTTTCAACATATACAAAAAAGATATTCATTTACAAATTAGTATTCCCCCCCCCCCCCCATTCCTTCTAACCCCCACTCACCCTCTCTCGCTGTCCTTCTCTTTTTCTTAGTCCCTCTTTGAATCATTTCATCATCCATATACTCAAATTTACTTTATTATTAATTCTTATACAATTTATATGAAAGAAATTTTTGGTGTGCAAACCACGTACATAATATAATATAGAAAATGATCTCTTAATGATTAATATAGGAAAAAATAACATGAAAAATTTGCGGTAAAATTAGCTGTAAAAATATGATACGTGCCTATTGTTTTTCCGTACGTAAGTCTCAAATGTCAAAAATGTGAGGTGCATGAAAGAATAAGGGCAGGAACGATTAAATTGGAAAAATCAGTGTATCGATAAAACGCATCAGTGGGATCCATTGAAAGAGCATTGTGCGTCTTGCTGCGTAAAACGCACTTTCTGCGAGAACGCGAGCGAGGCGCAAAATTGCAATGAGGAAATAGAAAAATAATACTTTACCGAAATAATGCTTGTCCTCGGAAGAATTATTCCCGCGTCCGTTGCGGCCACCCCAAGATTTATTCGCTTTTCTCGGCATTTTTCCTCTTGTCAACTACTCGCATAGATCGTACTGTATCGAATGACAAAATGGTGTTCTTCCCTTTCAGCGATTACAATATGCGCGCATGCGTAAGGGCCATTCTACGATAGGTTGCAAGTGGACAGTTGCGGATTAACCAATCAGCTGACACGTTGCTTTGCTCTGATTGGTCGATCTGCAATTGTCAACTAGCAATGAGGATATTTGCATCCTATTGTAAAAAGGTCCTAAATGTGCACAGTCATTAGTTCGTTCGTTTTTGGTTCAGCACTTTTGTCCGGAAATCTTTGTTTCCTTCGTTCCGATTGGTCAAACAAAAATTACTTCACCCTACGGGAAGATTTTTGAACGCATCTTCATTTAACTCCCGAGCACAGACTTTACTGGCGATTCTTGAAGCGTGTGGTCTTGGAAATTTAATTATTATTTGTTATAAGACATTTTGTAAATATATAAAAAATATATTACAATGGTAAGAATATTTTTCTTACGATAAAAACAAATATATACTTTTTAAATCAATGAAATATTATTTAATCTTAAATTTGATTTGAATTATTGAGGTTATATTGATCTTAATATTTTGTATATTATTATTTTATGTATGTTTTCTGTTCTATTTTAAAGAAAAATTTTCAATGAAATTAATTATTTTACAGCCGAAAAATAAGAAAACACGTAAAGTTGTGATGCAGAGATTTGCTAAGATGAAGAGGATGATTAGTTTAAGTGATTCGCGAATGTAAGTTTAGATCAAAATACAATTTTTAACGAATTATTGTTATATATTTAAAAATATTAAAAATAAATTGTTTTTACAGAAAGCCAGAAAGACGATTGCCATCCAAAAAAACTCCAAAAGAAGATCAGAGTAAGATAAAAATTACAGAAACGTAAGTAATGCTACATTTAATCTAATAATATTTGTATTAATTTTAACAGAGATATTTTTACATAGCATTATGAAAGATTATCATAAAATATGATTTATATTTTATATTTTAAAACAAACTATGTATTTATAATTTTAGGCCACAACAATCTTCAGCATTATTTTTTCAATATAACACACAACTCGGGCCACCATATCATATTTTAGTTGACACAAACTTTATTAACTTTTCCATTAAAAATAAATTGGATATTGTACAAAATATGATGGAATGTCTCTGTGCAAAATGTACACCATATATAACAGATTGTGTGATGGGTGAATTGGAGAAGCTTGGACAAAAGTATAAATTGGCATTGAGAATCATCAAAGATCCACGATTTGAAAGGTTAAAATGCCTGCATAAAGGAACCTATGCAGATGACTGTCTCGTAAACAGAGTGACGCAAGTAAGTATAAATCATAAAATCTTATAACAATTATTAGCAAATATTTTGCATTTGTATTTGACAATGATGATATATTTATTTCGTTCAATACTATAAATATAAAATTAAATTGTACATTATGTTATTATTTCAGCACAAGTGTTATATTGTTGCGACTAATGATAAAGATTTGAAACAAAGGATACGAAAGATACCAGGTGTGCCAATAATGTATGTATCTCAACACAGGTACACGATAGAACGAATGCCAGACGCTTATGGTGCGCCTAAAATATAACTTAGCTTATTAAGATAGGTGGAGAAACAAATAAAATTTATACTGAGAGAAGAGAGTGATTTCTTCTGCAAAAATAATGTTCAATTCGTATGTATATATATATAAGTTTATATAAAATATACAAGATAAATCCATACGTGCAACAGTAGAAAGAGCAGATTGAGATATATCTATTTCCTTTTCATTCCAATTTTTATCAAACTCATGCTTATCTTTCTTTCCATCCTTTCATCTATCTCTCTGGCACAATGACAGAATATTTTTGTTCTCTCTTTTAATTAAAAGAGAATATTTCTACTTTAATATTTTGTAATTTACATTCTATATCAATTTATCTACTTATTTTTGATTAAATTTGATTTTAAATTCAAGGGCAGTGCTATTAATAAAAACCAGATTCTTTATCGGGTCATTTTGATCGAAATCGTATAAAATTTATTAGGACTGCTATATTAAATTTACATTTTAAAATTTGAACCAACATTTGAGTTCAGCAATATTGAAAAAAATAAAATAGTATTAAAATGAATTTATCGATTACTCCGACTGAAAAATATTGTTAAAAAATGTTCGTATCTTGTATCTTCTGAAAAAACATTTTAAGGATCATTGAAAAAAAATGATCGCGTATATGACTTCCTCTATCACTTCTCCCAGTTTATAAAAAAATGGTGAAATATGAAATATATATGTACGTTTTTATGCATATATACAAATATTAAATAATTTACATACGCACTTAGGATAAATCTTAATCAATTTTCCATCATTTGCTTCTTTCAAATAATGAATAATATTCAAAATTATTTGTAAAATATTTTATTTATCATATAATTAGATATTTTAACGGAATCTGTGTGACTTTGTTAACGCAAAGATGCGGATATATAACAGCTTCTCTTAATCAGGCTCTCGCGCGTATCGCCATTTTTTCGGGATACGCGATGTACGCGAGGATTAATATAATTGATAATTTCGGGGTACAAAACGTCACGGCTTTTCTACATCTGGATAAATGTAGGGATTCCTCTGGCTTCTTTCTCAGGTTGTGATCTTTCTAATATCGAGGAACAGCGTACATGCGTAATCGTACGCGCATGTTACCGTGACGAAATTACACAGGATATTAATCACACGTCCGATGAGCGATTCAATGTCCTGCATTGCATTCTTCAAAGGATAAATCTTGGAATCAATTTTCAATTTGCTTCGCTCGAGTAACGAATGATACTCAAAATTATTTTTCACATCGAGGTATATGATATGATAATATTGTTTATCGCATCATTCTTGATTGGTAGTAATTAATGAAGATATAATAAAAAGATTCAAAATTAAAGTAAAGCGTATATATTATAATATATGCGCATATATATTATAATTAAGAGATTATATTGTTAAATTTATAATCTCGTTTCTAATTTATATAATATTGAAATCACGTTTCATCTATGTTTCTCATCGCCGTACAGGTTCATAAATTATTGGATGTAGGAAAATAATTATATATTTATCGCTGCACGTTGACAGTTAACGTCGACGTGACGCACGTGTAAGGATTCGATGTAATTTGAGAGCGATGCAGATGCACTTCACTTAAGGCTCCACAAACCTAAAGATAGCGTGAAACGCATATTATTCGATGCATTGTTATCAATTATCAATGAACTCTTCTCCAATTTTCACTGTTATTTCAAACTGAAACAAGACTCGTCCATTTATTCTGGTCGTTTCCTTATCCTTATTCTAGGATATTTTTTCAATCGAAAAAATAACTTGTACTTATCTAAGTCCGTTCGAATTAAAACAAAATGCAAGAGAAGATGCATTTTACTGTGTGTACGTAAAACAGTGGACCAAATCAGGATCAACTTATGTACCGTCTATTTTTATATTTTCGATAATTTATGAAGACTAAAGTGTCCATTATACAGACGCATAATATTGCTTGGAATGCCATTACTTTTTCGTTTCAATATCTTTTATATCTTAATTTTATCACTAAAAATATCTAGTTTTCAATGCAAAAGTATTTTTCTATTTGTTTGAATAATAATTTTACATTTTTAAAAAAATATTTTGATTCCTTTAGACTATGAGTTTCTATTTTTATATTTTCGATAATTTATGAAGACTAAAGTGTCCATTATACAGGCGCATAATATTGCTTGGAATGCCATTACTTTTTCGTTTCAATATCTTTTATATCTTAATTTTATCACTAAAAATATCTAGTTTTCAATGCAAAAGTATTTTTCTATTTGTTTGAATAATAATTTTACATTTTTAAAAAAATATTTCGATTCCTTTAGACTATGAGTTTCTATTTTTATATTTTCGATAATTTATGAAGACTAAAGTGTCCATTATACAGGCGCATAATATTGCTTGGAATGCCATTACTTTTTCGTTTCAATATATTTTATATCTTAATTTTATCACTAAAAATATCTAGTTTTCAAGTTGCAAAAGTATTTTTCTATTCGTTTGAATAATAATTTCCCATTAAAAAAAAAAAAATTAGATTCCTTCAGACTATGAGGCATTCAGCCAAGAATCTTATAGTTGACAAATCGTACCTATATGTTGTTATAAAAATATCGAACGTACATCAGTAATAATTTTCGTATGCACGTGTCGGTTCCGAAATCGAAGGCTTTGAATTTCCAAGGCTTTGAAATGAGAAGAGAGCCGAGAAAGGATCTCGAGACAGCGAATTAATTCGAAGGGAAAGAGAGGATCGCAAGCGGAACATATTCTCGCGCATGATCGTAGGTAACGGATTAGTTATAAAAGTGAGCATAAGCCCGCGGACACATATCCATAGGTCCACGAGAGTCCGCAGATCTCACCCCCTAAGTCGGGGTGTCCCCCTGCCCTTCCAGGTATTTTCTTCTCCTCCCCCACGCATTATTCATCTCTCGTTCTCTGGTCTTGTCACCCTTTCTCTCGTTACTTCGCGGATCGCTCTTGCTCTCTCGTTTCTTCGACTTCCCTCCTACTCTCTCGCTCATTCTACATCTTTCTCGTTCCCGTTAACCCGAAGCAACGTTCTCGTCGCATGGGGCTCCAGCGTGCAGCGGCCATCTTGCATACCTGAGCCTCTGCATTGCTCGTTCCTCGAGGGCAAAAGGGAGAATATCTTAGCGGGACGGGATGCGCAAGTCGAAGGTGGAAGGATCGCCGCGTGGAAGATGGTGAAGGAGGTATGAGTGCGAGTGAGTAGAAGAGAAAGGCCCCTCGTGCGATGAACGAAGAGACTTGTACACCGATAGGCAGCGTAAGGTATGGCGAAATGGTAGGGGAACGAGAAAGTGTAAGAAGGGGAGATGGGAAAGAGAAGCGAGGTAAGAGAGCGAGGAAAATGAGGGACGGAGATGGAGCGTTTCTTCACGCGAAAGAGAGAGAGCGAGGGAAGTCACGATGCTCCTCGAAGCGGACAGAGAAGGTGATATCGATAGGGGCCCCGAGGAGAGATCGGGGAGAAGACGGATAAAGAGAGAGAGAAAGGACCTGATCGTAGAGGGACGGCGTCGGCCAGGCCGAAGAATGCCTCTCCTGGTTCTGGGACCGGCTCGATTCAGTCGAGTCAGGTCAGTCCTCGGGGAGGCAATATTCTATTCCGCGGTGTACACGTTTTCTGCGTTTCCTTTTATTTTTCGGGGCCTTCGCGCGCGTTTTTATTTTTTTTTTTTATCTTCTTCCTCTATCTCTTCTTCCGCTCGCCCAGCTGTCAATCGTTGCTTCTCGCGCGTGAGATTTGATCTCCAACCCTCCTGATAAAACGCCTACCCCGAAGGGCACGCGCGCGCGCGCGCGCGCGAACCCGTTGTGCTGCGGCGAATTCGAACGAGCTCTCGTATTCGCCATCGCGTGAACTTCCTCACGATTTTCGCGAGAGATATCCCGCGCGGGTCCAGCGGTGAGTCGCCAACTCGAGAGTGAATCGTAAACTCGAGGCTCGGTCACTAAACTCGTTCGAGGATATATATGTATATTATTCGATCGTGTTTCTGTGCTTCGGGTATGTAATAATGTCGCGGTATTCTCGTCTCTGTGCAGTGTTTACATCCTTGGGCCAGTGATAAAACTGTGAATTGCGAGAGAGCGATCTTCTTCGAGATCGCCACGAAGAAGCCGATATTGTTCGTCATCATCGAAGATCATCTCGGGGAAGATTGATACGTATGAGAGGAATGCGATCTGACAAAGGGAAGAAACTAACACGTGATACGTAGGTATGTGTTCTCGAGAATAAGCTTGAAGATCCGTCCCCCTGAGGGAAGAAGAGACGTTCCTTGGATTAATCGATCACGAATCGGCGATCGAAGGAGAGGTTCTATCTAGAACGTCCCGCTTTCGCGTTCGCGAGCATCTGCAGACGCGCATTTCGCGAGGCGCGGCTCTCGGCAGGTCACTGCCCCCTCTGCCGGGTGAAGTCTTCTCTGGTGTACACTTGACTTTCAGCGGCGAGAGAAAGAGAGAGAGAGAAGGGGAGGAGGAGAAGAGCCGAGATAAACGAAAGAAAGACACAAGCCGGAGGACGAGAGAGAACGGAAAAGAAAGCACCCACCACCTTTTGACAGCCGTCGAGAGAGTTTAAATCGGAATCCGAAAGGGTGGGGAAAAAGAAAAAAAAAAAAAATGCGACGCGACGCCAAACAGAGGACGATCTCCAATCCTTGGAGGATGTCGCGATACGCGCAATGATGCGCCGATACGTAGACGTGGGGGATGACGACGGGATTATCGCCGATCATGAGGAGGAAGAACGACAGATAGTGCGACAGAATCGGAGCGTCCGATTTTATGTCGACGACGAATCATACCACCCGTGATTTCGCCGGGATTTCGCTAAGAGCAGGTGGGCGTGTCGCGGTGAGATAAGAAGAGATGATCATAAGGGGATTGATGCTTCTGGCCCTGCTCCTGGGACTCATCGCGGATCAACATGGCGGCCGGGTCGTCGGCCAAGAGGCGACGGCGACGGCGATGGCGGCGTCCAACGATTACTTCACCTTGCATAATCTACCTCGAAGGTCACCGATGTTGCCGCAGGACAGCGCCGCGACGATGGGCCTGGCGATGCAGAGCAGAACGGTGGACACTCGGGTCCAGCTCGAGGTCAGGGAAGGCGAGCCCAAAGACACCCTGGTCGGCACGATACCGGTCAAGCCTGATTTCACCTACAGGTTCAACGAGCCGCCCCAGGAGTTTGCGCTTGATCCGGAAACAGGTGAGATTAGGACAGTCAAGGTCCTCGACCGCGAAGCTCTGAGCAGCGATCGCTTCGACTTCGTCGTACTGTCGAGTCAACCGACTTATCCGATCGAAGTCCGGATCTTGGTACTCGATATTAACGACAACGACCCGGAGTTCCCGGAGCCTAGCATCGCGGTGAGCTTCTCGGAATCAGCCGTGGTTGGTACCAAGCTTCTGTTGGACGCCGCGACAGACCGAGATACGCCGGAGAACGGCGTGCTGGATGATTACCTTATCGTGAACGGTAATACGGACGATAAATTTCGTCTGGAAGTGACGGGGAATCTTACCGGTGAGACTTCGTATTTATATCTCGAGACCACGGGCAAGTTGGATCGCGAGCAGGTAGAATTCTATTCCCTCAATATTTGCGTGCGCGATCGCGGTCAACCTTCGCGCGTAGGTTACTTGCTGGTAAACGTGACGGTGCTGGACGTGAACGACAATCCGCCCGTGTTCCAACAGAGCGATTACGTGGTAGCGTTAAACGAGAGCGCACCAGTCGGCACGAACGTTCTGACGGTGCATGCCATCGACAAGGATTCGGAGGACAATTCGAAGCTGACGTATTATCTACCGGACAACGAGCGCAAGTTCACGATCGACCCGGAAGTAGGCACGATCACGACGGCCGAGCCGTTGAGATGTCCTCAGCAGAGCTGCACGGTAGCGCATTCCGTTGGCAGTTGCCCCAAGAGCTGCGTCATTACCGTCTTCGCTCGGGATCACGGTTCGCCCAGGCAGGACGGTCGTACCTACGTAACGGTGAATCTGCTCGACGCGAACGATCATGATCCCGTCATCAAGTTCACTTACTTCCCGTTGACCGCGGCTTTTGCCACCGTCGACGAGAACAGCGTCAAGGATCATATCGTCGCCGCGGTGACGGTGCATGATGACGACGAGGGCTTGAACGGTGAGACCATTATCGAGATTCGGGCTGGGAACGAGCTGGATCACTTTCGATTGGAGAAGACGCAGAACGTATATATGGTGCGGGTCAACGGCCGGCTGGATCGCGAAGAGATACCCAAGTACAATCTCACGGTGATCGCCGCCGATAAGGGCATCCCGACCAGATCGACTATCGCCTATCTCGTGATTCACGTAAACGACGTAAACGATCACGAACCGGTGTTTCAGCAGAGCGAATATTCGGCGGTGCTGTCGGAACTCGCGCCGATCGGCAGCTTCGTTGCCAGCATCTCGGCCACGGACGCGGATTCCGGGTTGAACGCGCGGATTTACTACGAATTCGACAATGGCAACGACCAGGGCTGGTTCGTCATCGACCGCGACACCGGCCTGGTCACCACCGTCGCCGTCCTGGATCGCGAAGTTAAAGGTAGCATCGCGTTGAACGTGGTGGCGTTTGACGGTGGCCCGAACCCCAAGTACACGAACACGGAACTAAAGGTGACGATCCTCGACGAGAACGACGAAGCGCCCCGGTTCTCCCAAAACGTCCTCGAAATCAGGTTGTCGGAAAACACGCCGCCCAACAGTCTAGTAGCTACCCTGACGGCCGTCGACAACGATCAGGGTACTAATGGTAGCGTCGCGTACAGCTTTCATTCCTGCGTCTTGCGCGATTATCCCAAGACTTTCGCGTTGGACGCCTTGACCGGCCAGTTGACGACCAAGATCGCTTTGGATCGGGAAACAGTAGCCGAATATACAATTTTGGTGATTGCGAAAGATCAGGGTACGCCAGTGCAATCGTCGACCGCTACTGTGGTGCTAACGTTGGAGGATGTTAACGACAATTCACCGGTCTTCTTTCCTTGGAAATATCTGATGTCTGTCTCCGAAAATGCTCCCACAGGTACGACGATAGGTAGAGTGACGGCGACCGACGCTGATGCTGGGAAAACGCTGAAATAACATACGTTCTGGAGTCTGGCGGTGAAAGTCTCTTCGTAGTGAATGAAACAACCGGTGAGATCGTTCTTGAAGATTCTTTGCTGACTGTGCGTAAGACCCTCTACGAGTTGACCATCTCGGCCAAGGATAGCGGCGATCGACAGGCAGCTCGGAACGCCGTGGTGGAAATCATTCACGAAGAGGTTCTGGAACACCTCGAGTTCGAAACTTACAACGGCTATGAATTCCGCATCACCGAGGATCATGGCGATTGCGACTCCACGTCCGGATTCGGTCGAAAAATTGGCTCCGTACAAGTCACGCAGTACAGCAATACCGGCAACGTGAGCTACGCCATTGTTCTAGGCGACTCCAAGGGCAACTTCAGGATCGACGAGAGTACCGGAGTTATCAGCACCGCCGGCTGTCTGGATCGCGAGCGCGTAGCTTATTACAGTCTGCAATTGTCAGCCCGCGCCGATCTCGCGTACGGTCAAACGACCGTCAACATCACCGTGCAAGATGTTAACGACAATCCGCCCAGGTTTCCCAGGGGCGAGCGAGGCGACGAAATCTCTCTACGGGAGAACGCGGCGGTGGGACAGGAAATATGTTTAGCTCGTGCCAGGGATCGCGACGCCGGCGCCAACGCCAGAATCGTTTACTCTCTAACGCACAATCCGGGCGAGCAGTTCAGAATCGCTGAAAATTCCGGTATCATTTATCTAAACAAGCCGATCCGAGCGACACCCGGCACGATCCTCCATCTCGAAGTCACGGCGACCGATTCCGGTGAACCGTCCCTGTTCGCTCAGCATCAGATCAAGGTGACGATCGAAGACGTTAACGATCACACCCCGGTCTTCGGGTTGACCAGCTACGAGATCTCGTTGCTGGAGTCCACGCCGGTAAACAAGCGATTTTTCTCGCTGACAGCTCACGACGTCGACCTCGGCGTCAACGGTAGGATACTATACAGCGTGACCGATGGCAACGTCGAGAATCGCTTCGGCATCTTCCCGGACGGCCAGCTCTACGTGAAGAATGCGCTCGATCGCGAGGAACAGGACTATTACGCGCTCGAGGTCACCGCGTCCGATCAAGGCAGTCCTTCGCGAAGCTCCATGGTCCCGGTGGTGGTGCACGTGATCGACGAGAACGACAACGCGCCCGAGTTCACCAACAGCAGCTTCAGCTTCCATCTGCGGGAGAACGAGCCACCCGACACCTTCGTCGGGAAGCTGCTGGCCACCGATCGCGATGTCGGCCGTAACGCTGATCTAATATTCTCGCTACCTAGCAGCCAGCAGGACTTCGTGGTCGACCCGAGGAACGGTTTCGTGAGATCGCTGCGCGTGTTCGACCGCGAACTCCTGGTGAGCAACACCGGCGGCAGCTACGTCACCTTGGAGGCCACCGTCACCGACAACGGTGTCAACCATCTTCGCGATCGCGTCAAGGTCACCATTCACGTCACGGACGTGAACGACAATGTCCCACAATTTCAACGTTTGCCTTATCGAGTGCAGGTGAGCGAAGGCGCGGTGATCGGCACGCAGCTTCTGAGGGTATATACAACTGATGCCGACGAGGGTTTAAATGGTGACGTCTTCTATTCATTAGAAGACGGTAATCAACATGGTCATTTCACAATAGAAGAAGCTACCGGGCAGATTTCCTTGCTGAAAGTACTCGATCGCGAAACGTCCGATACCTATGTATTGACTGTCGTGGCTCGCGATGCCAGTCTGGAGAAGCGTTTATCATCCAGTGCGACTGTCCACATCGAAGTACTCGACGAGAACGACAACGTGCCGCGCTTTATCGACATTAAATCGCGAATTTCCGTGCTGGAGACCACGCCGATCAACACCGAGCTGCTACAATTCAAGGCCACCGACAACGATCTAGGAGCCAACAGTGAGCTAACGTTCGCCATCTCGGCTGGTAACCGAAAAGACGCCTTCTATATCGATCCTCTGACCGGTATCCTGTATCTGAGAAAGCCGCTAGACTACGAAGAGCTACAACATTACACGCTCAACGTCACCTGCAGCGACGGTGGCCACCCGAGACTCAGCAATGTTACGAGCCTAACCGTCCAGGTAATCGACACCAACGACAATCCACCGGTATTTCCGAACACGGCGATAGTGCGTCAGATAAGGGAGGATATCTCGGTGCAAATACCGATCGTCAACTTCACCGCCGAAGATCCGGATTCAGGCGACAACGGGATGGTGAGTTACTCGATCCTCAGCCAGGATCCTGAAGACCAGGTGCGACGTTTCGATATCAACCCGACGACCGGCGTGATTTATACCATGTTACCGATCGATCGCGAGGAAATAGACACCTTCAAACTGATCGTAGTCGCGACCGATCAAGCTCAGCCGCCGAGCGCTCGTTTGTCCGCCGAGAAACTGGTGATCGTCATCGTCGAGGACGTCAACGACAACGCGCCGTTGTTCGTCAGCATGTCCGCGGTGGTGTTACCGCCTCTAGCGCGCGCCGGCAACCTGGACCACCACCGATCCTCGTCCAAGGAGATCGTGGTCACCCAGCTGATCGCCCGCGATCTCGACTCCAGCTCGAACGGCCTGGTGACGTACGAGTTGCTCCGTTCGAACGTCAACTACTCGGACATGTTTCGGATCCATCGTAGCACCGGTCGGCTGACCATGAGAACTCCACGATCCGTTCCGAAGGGAAACAGCGAACGAATCTTCAAATACCAGGTCGGGGTCCGGGCGACGGACGAGGCTGTCCAGACGGAACGTCGCTCGTCGGAGACTTACGTGACCTTGATCGTGCCGGGCGAGGACGGGGACGATCAGCCGATCTGGCAACACCGGGGTCAGATCGAGGGCAGCGTTTACGAGAACGAACCGGTCGGTACCAGCATCCTGCGTGTGAGCGCGCGCCCTCGACGCTCGAACGTCGAGCTCGAGTATTACGTGACGAACGTGACTGCCGGCGGCGGCCCCCAGGTCGATCGGCTCTTCGACGTCGACGCGAAGACCGGCGTGCTGTCCACCGCGACGAAGCTCGACCGCGAAACCGGCGTCCAGTGGTACGAGATCGAGGTCTACGTCATCGGCATAGGCGGCACCAGACCCAGTACGACGTCCACCAAAGTGAGTTTACGTTTGGTTTTTTGATTGATCGTCTCGCTGATATTAATGATGCTTCCTTCGTCGGCTTCTGAAAGATAGTCGGTGCTTTTTGTGCGGTCTCCGCCACTCCCCCTCTCTTTTCCTCTCTTTCCTCTCTCGTCCCGTAATGTAATTTCTCGATTGCCGGATAAGACCCTTTCTCGCGAAACGAGTCCGAATTGTCATCGACGGCGCGAGATTCGGCAGGGATGTTTTAATTGCTACAATTATGTATTTGTGGGATAGATGTGTGACGAGCGACAGAGAATGATTCGAGTCTTTTCAATTAATTTCGTAATTCCTATATAGATTTATTCTTGTATTGGAAAAGAAAAATTTATTGAATTCGATCAAGTATTTATTTCAATACTGCCTTATAAATCATTTATTTGAAACTAATAATATTGATTTGAGGTGAAAAATATTTATTTGTTTTAAAGAAATTATTTATAAGGCAGTATATTGAAATAAATATTTATTAATTTAATAATTTCTTCAGTGTATTTATTTCTATATAAATGAACAATTAAATTGATTAAAACATTAAGCATACTAATTAACTGAATGAATACTCAAAACAGAATTAAAGTTATATTCATTGTCCAAAAAATATACAAACAAGTTTTACTTTAATATATATTTTATTTATTAAATTTCTTTTTTTCTATATAATTAAAGACATGTGGAATTTTTCATTTTTTATTATTATGTAGAAAAAAATTCTTCTTCCTCTGTGAAATTAAATAATTCTTTTAATCGTAATGATATTGCGAGGATTGACAATTTTTCACATTCTTTACTGTATGATATCTCGATAATAATTATTTGTTGGAGAAAAAGACTTTATTTGAATTGGTTTGGTTTCTGGAATATCTTATTAGAAGAATTCCCCAATTTTTGTTTACATCCTTCCTAAATATACAGATACAACAATTAATGTCTTTGCATGTTTATACTTATTTTTTTATGTATTAAATTTTGATGGAGTAATATAATGAACAGTACTCTGATTTAAAATCCTCCAGTAATTACGGATAAATAAATGGGACGTTGGTTTTTCAAATTTTATAGTAATATATTAAAGATCTTATAAAAATTTAGTTCGATATTACGAAGATAAAACAAATAATAAAAATGCGTCGAAGTCGCTCTTGTTTTCCTGTCAACATTGGCTCTAAAAATATAAAATTGTCAAATAAGGGTGTTTTGATTCTAAAATAATAAATAATTCAATTTTATATTGAATAATAGACAGCCTAGAAAATAACATCTCTTTTCACGTCAGTTTTCTATCACCATAGCGTATTGTATTGTATGCGTGCACGTACGTGTGTAATATATGCATCTTTCTTTATTCAAAACATGAAGCTAACGCATTCGTAAAAGAGAAAGAGAGAGAGAGAGAAATATTCTTGGGAGACGAGAAGCGATGGAAGGATGAAGCTTCCTTCGTCGAGTAGAGGGAGAAAGGATGCGGAGGATGGAGATCGTGAATACGAACGGTTTACAGCCGGTTCAGTGCTGCATAAATAGGGTTTAGGATCAGGGACGTTTTCTCAAATTACAGGGCGCGTTTCAAATTTATACGAAAGCATCTCGCCGCCACCGCCGCCGCCATCTCGCCTCGTTTTATTAGAACGAAGCTATCCTAATTAATTCGCACTTTTATTCTGCCCTTATACAGGGTGTCCCGTAATTCGCGATCTTATCTCCCGGACAGAAGTGTCATTTCAATATCGCACTCGACCTTTAAATTCGTCTTCTTCCAATTTGCGAAAAATAGTATATTGTGTATCAAGTGCGGAAAGTTGACAATTGGTCACGAGTGCGGGGGATGGACGCACGAGCCGAAGGCGTGGGAAATCGGCCGCTTTCCGCACAGAAAACAGCTATCCTAATTAATTCGCACTTTTATTCTGCCCTTATACAGGGTGTCCCGTAATTCGCGATCTTATCTCCCGGACAGAAGTGTCATTTCAATATCGCACTCGACCTTTAAATTCCTCTTCTTCCAATTTGCGAAAAATAGTATATTGTGTATCAAGTGCGGAAAGTTGACAATTGATCACGAGTGCGGGGGATGGACGCACGAGCCGAAGGCGTGGGAAATCGGCCGCTTTCCGCACAGAAAACACGCACACAAAGTGCCACTTTGCCTGCACGTGTAATACAAAATATCTTTTCATAATGCTCGTGTAATTGAAAAAAAATCCTTTTTCTCTGCTGCGCATATCGCTATTTTTTTATTACGTTTACATCTTGCAAGAAATTGTTTAAAAAATTCGAGGTCTTATCCCGTCCAGTCCTGTCGCGGAATTGAAGTGTAGATGAGCTCGATGTGAGAGATGAGGGAGGCGACTTTAGCAGAGAGAGAGAGAGAGAGAGAGAGAGATAAACGACAAGATGAACCGCGTGCCACGAAATCAACTCGGATTCGAGTTCGGGGCCCCATCCGTGCTCTTTCTTCTCGCTCTCCCGGAGGTTCTCGGAGGACTCGGGAGAAAAACTTGATCTTGGACGAGCGGGCGCAGCCCTTATACCTCCGCGCTCGCGCCGGGATCTCAAAACCGTCGAGAGAGAAAGAGAGACAGACGCGGTTCCATCTCTATCCTCTCCCGGTGTGCGCCACTTGCCGCTTTATTTAGTTCCGAAGATCCTTTTCCCCGTTCTCCCCCTCGCCCCTTCCTCCCCATTCTTCTCTCATCTACTGTCGCCCTTGGCTTCTCTTTATGTATCTTCGTCTTCGTTCATCTTTTCTCCCCTTATAATATGCATCGATGCAAAAATGCTACGGTCCAAGTAGGTATAATTAAAGATAATAAAATTTAGTGCACAGAAAGAAACTTGGCGCTGCTATGGCAATATTTTGATTAGCAAGGAAAAATTATTTTTAATACGTGTCTCCAACTGTTGTGTACTGCGAAAATTGAAATATCACACATATGTGTTATAATTATAAATTAAATTAATATCAATATATTACATATAAATTAAGAAAAGCTTTTCTTGCATTGATTATTTTTAATACAGAAGATCGTGATTAGGGGTGCTAAAATTAGGTAAATGAATGATCGATCGAAAATTCCACGGCGTCCACATAAACTTGCAATTGCGCGAGGGATGATTCGTGTATAAGATACAGGGTTCACTCGGCGGTGCGTGACTTTGCGCGAGAGACACTATCGTGTCTCTTGATAAATAGCGTCGTTTCTTTTTCTCCGTCCCTATTTCTCCTTCTTTCGTCGCGTCTTCCTCTCCTCTTACGATCGATTACTCGCTGTGGGATCCCCGATTCCTCAGGAATCGCCGACTCTCCCGTTCGAACGTTTTTGCTCCGCTTTCGGAGACTCGCTCCTCTCGAGGTCTCTCCGGGACGGTTCAGTTCGGGCCTCTCTTACGAGCCAAAGCTGTGCTGTTTTTCGTCGCGCGGACGGCATTATCCATGGCTTCGTCTACGTCGACGGCTTTTTGCCTTCGAGCCGCCGTGGATCACGACGGGGTTGTGAAGGCGGCCTCTCTCTCTCTTTCTCTCATACGAAGAGTCATATATAGAGTCGAAATCCCCGAAGCACGCCCTTTATCTAAGCTCTCTTTGTACCGAACGGCACTTCGCCTCTCTGCGAAGGCCGTGCTTCCCACGAAGCGTAACTTCAATTATCGCGCAATGGGGTTCGCGTCTGGATCCAGACGTACACGGCGAAGTAGGTATATATCTCGCGATGCCATGCCGCCGCGCCAATGACTTCAACGCATGTGTGTTCGTGCGCCTTCGACTCCTCAGGAACGCAATAATTTTCTGCTCACGCTGAATATTCAACCTCGAGATCCATTAAACGTATACGGAACGCTCCAGAATTCCCATCGGATGTGCTCATCTAATCGCAATTATTCAATTTCATTTTCGTTTCAACGAAACTCTGAACACCTTTTTTTTTTACTTAATATTGCGGCCGTAAGAAAAATAAGCTATATATGTATATTAAAGTAAATAATTTTGAGTATGCATTTCTAAAGCTTATAAGGTTTTAGCTATACATTGAACAAAATTATTAGATTAATAAATATTTATTTCAATACTGCCTTAATAAATCATTTATTTGAAACAAATATTTTTCACATCAAATCAATGTTTTAAATAAATGATTTATTAGGCAGTATTGAAATAAATATTTATTCGAATTCAATAAATTTTTGTTCAGTGCAGTATGTCTCCTTTTATCTTCAATTATTTATTTGCGACACAATTATATTTTTGTAGGAGAAAAATTGATCTAATATTAGCTAAGAAATTTCGGGGTACACAGAGAGAATTTAGAAAGAATTTTATAAGAATTTCTCTGATTAATATATTTACCACAATAATATAAAATAAGTTCAATTAAATTTATTATGTACATATTAATATTTTTTATTGTGATAAATATTAATCAGAGAAACTCATAAAATTCTTCCAATATCGTCCCACGATTACGCATACTTTTCAGGATAAATTCCAAGAGAAAATTCCCTCTGTGAAAAAAAACCTTGTATAAAAACAATATACGAAGAAACCAAAAAATAGCAATTTGATAACATTTTCCTATCACTTTAGAATAAGTTAATCGAGATCAGCTCGTCAGAATGACAATTAGGAGGGTATAGTTAGAGCCACTTAATATTTTTATTGTGACAAATATTAAATAGAGAAACTCATAAAATTCTTCCAATATCGTCCCACGATTACGCATACTTTTCAGGATAAATTCCAAGAGAAAATTCTCTCTGTGAAAAAAACCTTGTATAAAAACAATATACGAAGAAACCAAAAAATAGCAATTTGATAACATTTTCCTATCACTTTAGAATAAGTTAATCGAGATCAGCTCGTCAGAATGACAATTAGGAGGGTATAGTTAGAGCCACTTAATATTTTTTATTGTGACAAATATTAATCAGAGAAACTCATAAAATTCTTCTAATATCGTCCCACGATTACGCATACTTTTCAGGATAAATTCCAAGAGAAA